TTAAACCCATCTCACTCACTTGACATAGGCACGCACTCACGCACGAACACACACACACACACACACACACACACACACACACACACACACACACACACACACACACACACACAGAGAGAGAGAGAGAGATGCACACACACAGATGCACTCACGCACACACAGAGAGGCACGCTGACTATAAGGTAGCCTTCAGGGTACAATAGGAACACTGGGTAGCCTTCAGGGGTGCACACACACACACACACACACACACACACACACACACAGACAGGCACACTGACTATAAGGGAGCCTTCAGGGGTACAATAGGAGGCATGCACACACACACACACACACACACACACACACTATACACAGAGCACACTGACTATAAGGGAGCCTTCTGGGGTACAATAGAGAGGGTGCACACACACACACACAGAGGCACACTGACTATAAGGGAGCCTTCTGGGGTACAATAGGAGGGCTGCACACACACACACACACACACACACACACACACACACACTGCACAAGGGAAGCCTCTCTGACTATAAGATAGCCACACACAGGGGTACAATAGGAGATAGCCTCAGCGCAATAGACAATACACACACACACACACACACAGGCACACCACACTATAAGATAGTCTTCTGGGGTACATTAGGATGCACTCCGCGCACACTCACAGAGGCACACTGACTATAAGGTAGCCTTCTGGGGTACAATAGGACAACACAGAGATGCACGCATGCACACACACACACAGACACACAGAGATGCACACTGACTATAAGATAGTCTTCTGGGGTACATTAGGAGTGCACATGCACACACACACACACTGACTATAAGGTAGCCTTCTGGGGTACAATATTACAATAGGAGCACACACACACACAATGCCATCACCTGCATCACTTTTGGCTTTCCTCCCCATATATAGCTGGCAGACTATGGTATAAACTGATATATACCATTCTAAGAAGCATTAAACTAAGTTCTCTGACTCACTAGAAACCTGATGTTAAGACCTTGTTGATCCTTTACGTAAATTTGTGATCCCAACAACATTGTGTACACATAAGATCAGAACACAGGACTAGACCGTCTTTCCGTCGTGTTCTGTCTACTTTTACCTGTAATGATTGCCAATGGGTTTCAGGACGTTTTGTCAACAAGTTAAATCATTAATATCACATTTTTGCTGCAGTTAGTCATTGAGAGCCATGTTTCTTTATCAGTGTGTCAAGACCCTGATAAACTTTAGTTCACTTATTGAAAAGGATTTTTTTTCTTGCTTTTCCAGATAAGGTTGTATTTTTTTATCTATTGATTGTTACACCTGTAGGACTAGTGTAATATCCTTTGATTGGATTTAAGCCCAGTTCTAAAAATGTACTTCTCAAAGGAGTTAAAGAACACTGATTCATTCTTCATTGTTGTTAATCTGTCTCTGTAAAATATGATAAATTAACTACAGTAAATAAATTAATGTGAAAGATCTACACCAGTAATCTAAAAGAATTATTATTTCTTTAAATTGTTTTGAGTAGTATGAAAGACCTACACTAGTAACCCAAGAGAATTATTTGTTCTTTAACTTGTTTAAAATAGCATGAAAGATTTGCTCCAGTAATATGAAAGAATTATTTGTTCTTTAACTTGTTTACAGTAATATGAAAGATTTGCTCCAGTAATATGAAAAGAATTATTTGTTCTTTTGTTCTTTAACTTGTTTAAAGTAATATGAAAGATTTGCTCCAGTAATATGAAAGAATTATTTGTTCTTTAAACTTGTTTAAAGTAATATGAAAGATTTGCTCCAGTAACATGAAAGCATCGGGTGTACTTTCACTTCTTTTCATAGTGTATCAATTGAACACTTTTCTCAGAAGTACTGGCTTTTAAACTTTGATAATAATTTTTTTCAACTGTAGAATAAAGAGTATATGTTATCATGTTCTAGAAAACATTTCCTATCAGCCAGCCTGATAAAAGATGTCAACAGTGAAAGTATGTACTTACACTCCATAACATACGCTATCTGATGGAGTATACATGTACAGTGAATAGACCCTGGTCATAACACGAACAAGTGATCAATAGTCAGTTCACTTCTACCAACACAGCTTTCTCCATTACAATCTAAGGTTTCCTTTCAATAGATGGAGACCTCCCCGATCTCGGGGTTGTTTGGTGACGAGTCATCCAGGTAACACAATGTCAACCATATTGTCCAACAGAAAATCTCGTTCATCTCATCTACTCAAGCATTGAAAGTGAAACGTGGACACGCACATAACCAAGAAGAGATTATTGAGAGAATATTATGTGAGGGTATTTAGCCCTTCCCATTTGGCAGAGTCCCAGTTTGATCTGTTCAGAGCTGGGGACTGTGAAGGTTAGAGTCCAGTTGTCATTACATGTCAGTTGTAAGCCCAGCTGGCATTAAGTAGGACTGCAGTGATTCACCCAGACTTCGATTAGATTAGATTTTCGATATTGGACCCTGATTCGATCATTTTCGATTCGATTCTTCATTTAAGTAAAAACATCAGATTTCATTTAACTCTCATAGTTTATTAAACAAAACATATCACACTGAAAACTTTTTCCAAGATTTGACTAGGAAATCAGGAATGTAAATTTTGTAAATTTTTCAAACAAATAAAATATGATGTTTAAACACAGAACAGCACTTTTCACTTTCTTGTCCCCATGTCAGGGACCATAAACGTTAATAAAGTAAAAGTTTCAAAAGTCAAACTCATACTGAGTGCTCTCAAACTCTCATTGCTAGTCAGTGTAGATCATAAAAGTAAACAAATAAAGTAAAATTTTCAGAAGTCAAATGTGTGGAAATAATTTAAATAGGTATTCAAATATCGAATCGAAATAGTGATAATGGTTTATTGAAAATAAGGTGTCAGATTCAATTTTCGATGAATCAAACCGAATTGTTGCAGCCCTAGCATTAAGTTCTGATATTGTAGTCTGTCTGTAATCGATGGGCCCTAAATACAGCAAGTCTATATTTTCTTCGGGTTCAGGCAGACTGTCCCATGTACTCAGGGCTCCTTTTGTTTTAAATAGTTATTTCAATCAAAATTACATGTATTAAGAGACAAAGCATTAGGCCAAGAAGAAGACTAAAGTGTGTTTTCTAAATTGTCTAACACTAATTGCAATTCTGTGTGTTCTGTGTGAACCAAATTAAATGAATTGGAAATTGGAAAAACGTATAAATTGTGCAAGAATCGATGTGGGCTATTCATATCAACCTTCTTGTTGCCAACAGCAGATATCTGGATCTATTGCCTGTGTCTGAAAATGTTTGAGTTACATGTACAAGAACCTTCTCAATACTCAGAATTACAGACAGTGTGCCCACAAGGAATAGAAGCTGTCACCAGAAGCTCAGTTATTCCTTTATTCCTTCTCTTGAGAGAGACAGTTTCCAGTTCCTGTCTCTCCGTGGTTATAATCTAAATATTTTTAGTGGTCTTCAGTTAATAAGGGAACTTGACATTTTGTTATTTATCCACCTTCTCTATATTTTATGGATTAGAGACAATGTGATATCAGAGCTCCAGATAAGATTTAGCTCATGTGGGTACTGTACCCACTGTATTTTTTTTGATTGGGTATTATGAATGTTGAGTGGGTATTTCATTTTCCGTTACCCACGACTTTCAAATATGTGCGTATTTCAGTCATTTTAGTCACCTAAGGTATGTTCTGCCTTATGTCATACCTAATCAAAACCAAAACTTAAATATAATGGAAATGATTTCATAAAAAATCACTCATCCTATACTGACAGTACAACACTTGTCCAATACTAACAGTACAACTTGATAGCAAATCGATGTCTTTTTTATTACGCTAGTGATTTTTATAAATATATTTCGTACGCATTTGTTTTAAACTTTTTGTGTATCTAACATTTTTTATGCGTAATTGGTACGCAACAATTATTTTTCAATGCGTAATTGGAAATCTTCTATGCGTATTTTACCCGGATACGCAACTTATCTGGGCCTCTGTGATATGACAAAATAACAAAATTATAAAGAAATTAATTTTTAAAATACATTAGATAGTATGATTCTGTCTCTAGCTACTGTAAACACTCCGGAAAGAGAATAACAGGAAATCTCTGACAGAAGGAAATACTGATACAGGTTCTGTGAAAACAGTTAACATCTGCTCAAATATAGTTGGATTTCATATTTCCTCACATTTTCAACTGTATTATTGACAAACCCAAACAATTGTAAGTTAAATGGAATAAAGACATATTGAACTACACAAATCGATTACTATTTCAATATGACCTACCTGTTCTAATTGGTTGCCCAAGCATCTGTAAATCGCGGACATTATAATTGTGACTTGATGATTGTCATATAGGTTACAGAGAGAAATTTGAAGTTCTTAAAGACATTAGTATTTAAGAACTTTAAATCCAGTATTTTTGTTTGTCATTGACCATTTGTAGAGACTCAAGCAACAATGGTAATTATGACAACAACTAATCATAGTCTTGATGTCTAAACACTTAAAATGAAAAGCTAATTAAGGTGCATCAACAGCCTTTTTGTTATCTTCATATGTAAGATATTAATTTCTTGAATTGTCCAGAATTTATTATTTACTTACCACCATCATATATATGTCACATTGCTGAGTAAAGTGTTACACTACAAAAGAGAACAAATACTGGTAGGATTTCTCCAGCCCTGGTTTGACTAATAAATTTCACATGACGTGTTCTTCATGATGTGTTTGGGCAGTTAGGTACCCAGTGGTTTTAACGTTCGCACATCACGCCAAAGGTCCTGGTCAATTCCCCTCATGGGTACAATGTGTGAAGCCCATTCCTGGTGTCCCCCACCATGATATTGCTGGAATATTGTTAAAATTGGTGTAAAACCAAACTCACTCATTCCTTCATGGTGTGTTTCTGTATTTGCATGATGTTCATGCTATACACGTCTGCCTGTCTCTTCCAGCTGTACCGGGAACACTGACTACAAGGTGGCCTGTGGAGCAGGTAAATACAGGGGTACAACAGGAGCCACAACACCCACGGACTGCCAGAACTGTGCTTCTGGAGAAATCAGCGGTGCTGGAGCATCGGCCTGCACACCATGTCCTGCAGGCAAGACTTGCAGCGGTGGTGCCATCACTGGTGACTGTCCGTCTGGGCAGTACGCCCTTGAAGGGGATGGTACCTGCAAGACTTGTCCTACTGGAAGTATCTGCCCGACAGTCACCGGTCCGCCGCAGGTCAGGATATATTTAACATGTGATTGTTTAATTGCTTGAGTTTGGAACCATTTACAATTCACAAATAAAAATTAAATTTGACAACAGATAAAGTATGTTGGCTTATTTCAACAATGATAAATACAAGACTGAGTGATCAGTAGGAGGTAAACCCTTTGAACATTTAATTATGCTTAATCATTTCCCACTTGTTACTGCTTTAGATGATCCATTCTTTAAAAATCCAATTTAATATTTAAAAAATCATTTTTAAACTTGCATGTATATTAGAGTTCAGAAAGCAGTTCCGATTTTAACTGTAAGTATAATGAAACATCATTAAACATCCACGTCTTCCTGTCATGTTGTAGAGCTGTGCCGAGGGAACTGAACCTGATAGTGCCAAGACATCATGCCAAGACTGCACGTCAGGAAACTACAAAGGGGCGTCAGATTCATCCTGCAAGACTTGCCCTAAAGGTATGATTCCATTGTGATACGCTGATATACTGGTCTTAGCAGCACTCGGTCACTCACAACCACTCCAGGGCCCTTATTCTCGAAACGTTCGTAGCCCTAAGAATTTGTAACTTTGATCGTACCCAATGTGTTAAGAATGGGCTTAAGAAATTCGTAGGGCTACGAATGTTTCGAGAATAGCTAGCCAGACCCGTGAAGATCCGGGTTAGAATGAGTCTTCAGTAACCCATGCTTGTCGTAAGAGGCAACAAATGGGATCGGGTGGTCAGGCTCGCTGACTTCTTTAACACATGTCATCGGTTCCCAATTGCACAGATTGATGCTCAAGCTGTTGATCACTGGATTGTCTGGCCCAGACTTGATTATCTACAGACCACCGCCATACAGCTGGAATATTGCTGAGTGCGGCGTAAAACTACTCTCACTCATTCACTCACAACCACTCCACTACTAGTGACGATATGGATGAAATATTGCCGATATGACTATAAATGTTAACTCGCAGACGGCACCACTCCACCACTCCACCACTCAACCATCCACTTACTGGGATCCAGTTACACAAGATTACCTGAATGACAACCATAATTATAGGATCAAGTTTGGGACACTTTAGGCATGTTTGATAGAGCGTTGGGTGTAGAAATCAATAATTAGTATTTGCTATGTATTTTATCATTTTGAGTATGAAATTATTGGCAGGTGGGTTAAAACCTTCCAATGGTGTTTAGAAGCAACTTTGACACAATGGACCTCCCAGCTCTGGTATCCCGGAGACCAGTTTGTTACAGATGACTGTAACATGTCCTTCAAAGATTAGTGTCTTGTTTTTGAGTGAGATCCATTCTCTTGGTGTTAGCAGGGCAAATAAACTACAGCGGTGATCAGATAGGATAGTTTAGGTGCCCTTCAAGAAAAACATGATAAATAAGAATGTCGACTCTATAATGTGTTGATTTGTCTGTTTGCTTTATACAGCACACCTAATATGTTTTCAGCATTGTTACCTGTTGTTTTAACAGATTGCAAGAGTGTGAACATCATGCTGAAGGCTATTTATGATTCCTGAATAAGTTGTAAATCAAATCAGTAAGATACACACAAGAATGTTTGGGTGTGGTGTCAAACCTACTTTAGTTCAAAGAAAATGTAAAGAAACTAAACTAATGAACAATATTTGACAGTCTGACATGATTATGTGTTATTTTATTACATATGTCCATAATTTGCTTTGTGGGTATTTTTATTATGTTAATTTGGAGTTATATGGATAATTAAATCAATTTCAACCGGAACTTATCCTTCATTGTCCAATACATAGAACATCCTCTTTTTCTGTATTGTGATTGACCCGGACAGATGAGTGATAAGTTCCATTGACCCAAATGTGACTTTAGCATTGTGTAGGTAGCGATATCACTACTCCAGTTGTTTAATTCAGCACAGGATTTAGCTCATTCATGAATTTTAAAACTACAGTCAATCAAAATCACTCATATTTCTTTTTGCAGGCAGCAAATGTCCTAGTGCGAAACTGTCTGCACCCATCACCTGCCCATCGGGAGAATACCAGACGGCCACTGGTCGGACTTCCTGTATCGACTGCCCAGCAGGAAGTGAATGCTCGGACACAACAAGGGCTACTCAGTGTCCGGCTGGCCAGTATGCTCCAGCCAAGTCCACGGCCTGCACTTCCTGTCCGATTGGTATGTTACTGTTACTGATGATACAGTTAGACGGCAGAACATGCATCACTCAAACCTGGTTGGAGCATGTGGGATATGTTGTATTCAGGGCCCAGTTTCATCATGTGATCAGAGCATTAGGACTGTCATAAGCCTACATTAAAGGAACACTACCCAGTGTCTTCTACCCTTCTGATACAAGCTCACAAAGCGATCATAGCAGTAGAAGCCCATTTCTGGTGTCCACCGCTGTGATATTGCTTGAATATTGCTTGAATATTGCTTGAATATTGCTAAAAGCAGCATAGAATCATCTGTGATTTGTTTTTAAACCCATGGTGTGAAATGCTGAACGTGAAAAGTAATTCAGTAAAACAAGTTATGGCTGAAACTTTGCATCCTAAAAAGTGTATTTGTCTTGAGAGGCTTCACTTTGCCATGCCTTTGTGAAATGTGTAGCTGATGAACTGGTCTGTGGAAACAGAAATTAGGCCAGCTGAAACATTAGGTTTTTCATCTGTATGTTTTGGTATGTTTGGTTATGAGTGAGTGAGTGTGTATGGTTTTATGCCGCTTTTAGCAATATTCCAGCTATATCACGGCAGGAGACACCAGAAATTGGCTTCACGTGTAGTACCAATGTGCGGAATTGAACCCGGACCTTCCACATGACGAGCGAACGCTTAACCACTAGGCTACCCCACCACCCCTGTTTTGTTATGGCAATGTTGTATGTTTTTGTCAGTGTTGATTTTATTCCATATGGTTGAATGGCTTGTGCTATTTGTTGGGCCATATTCTTAAGAAATGTGATCTCTTTCTATATAACAAAGTTAATCTCACCATGTTTTGTACTTGTTGAATGAGATGGGATTATTTGCTGAATTTATTTGTTTAGTAAGTAACTTTGCATAGCAGTTAACGTGTGTTCTTACACAGGTATAACGTTAAGACAGCCATTGCTAATACAAAATGGATCACTCTGAAAACTATGTTTGAAATTGATTTGAGTTTTGAAATTAAACAAACACTGTTTGGTTATTCAGGTAAATACAGCAGCTCTGCAGGGTCATCGTCTTGTACGGCATGTGTTGCGGGTGAGGACTGTGACAAGCGGAATGCTGCGCCGTCACAGTGCGCTGCTGGAACATACAACCCGGGGGGGAATGATGGATGTCTGACTTGTAGTGAAGGTACGTTGAGTCCTACACATTGGGGTATCTGGGAATATGGCACATGCTCTCCTTACAGCAGATTGCATTTGTTACATAGGTTGGCTTTTGTTGGGATTTTCCATCTGTAGGAATCCCTGTGTCGCACTGGAGGCAGTTAACAGTGAAGGTTGGATGGTGGGTTGGAGACATTGCTATAAGGATAGGACTTGACTTGTTTTGCATTTTAGTAAAATGTACTAAATGTCCAACTGTCTCTTAAACAAGAAAAAAGACACCAAAACTGTTTCAACATTTCACACCTAAAAGCACCAGAACATGTCAGTGTTAAATTAAACGTACCTCATGTACAGCAAGGAAAATTTAGGTTATATAAATTGCCTGGTGTCTCATAAGTACTGTAGCTGAGTTGATAATGCTAAAAAAACCACTGCTTATTAAGAAAATATGTAAAATGATAATGTTATATTATGATGGTGGGGTTTGATTTCCCTGAATGGTACAATGTATGAAATCCCTTTCTTTTGTATCCCACCCTACTTTGGCTGGACTATTGTTAAACAGCATAAATCATTATCATAGCTGTAATCACTTAACTCATTCACTCACTCACTCACTCCGGCACTATAGGGACCTACAGCCTGGCTGGGGCTGATAGTTGCACATCATGTGACCCTGGCTATGACTGTGTTAGTCGCAGCTCCGCCCCGACCCAGTGTGGGATAGGAACCTTCAACCCTGGCGGGAATGCTGGGTGCCTGACGTGTGGGGAAGGTAGCCCTTGATAACCTGCACACATTCTCCATAACACTTTTCTTGTTTTCATTTATAACCACTTTGACATTTTTTGCATTCCATAGTACCCCTTGTGTATCAGAAATAATTGTCTGCTTTTAAGGATACATAACCATGATTTTGATGACTGACATTTTATTTCATTAAACAAATCCGTTCATAATTTTTGGTTATGGGGGGTGATGATGATTTTTATGGAGAAGCATATACAATGTAAATCATCCCCCTTAAAATTTATATACAAAGTAAGTCATGTACAAAACCAAGTCATGTTCCCCCACCCCACACCCCACTCCCACCCCTCTCATAATGTTTTAATGTACAATATTGCTGACATCCCTACCTTCAGAACAAAATGGGTGCCCCCTTTTATAATCATCATCACCCCCTAGCCTTCGATTATGAATGGTCCCTTACCAATGTTTGTCTGACAAATTTATGGCTGTTAAAGCATTTATGTATTGCTATTGACTGCTCTTTAAACATTATCAGTATTTTCTAGGCTTTATAACTCTTTCTTTTATTTGGCCATAGCTAGTTTTGTTGGTTATGATGTTTGTTTTCCATTTGGTTTTGTCTACAGTCTTATCATGTTCTAATGTATGTGTGTATCTTCTTTATTTTTTATTTTCAGTGTATATTCAACAATTTTTTAATTACACTGTATAGTACTGAAAAGTACAGTAACCTTTTGAGATAAAGGTGAAAATGTTTTTAGTTTTCCCTTTATCATTAGAAAAATCAAAAGGTTGAGAATATTGCAAGTTAGTATAAAAGTAAAAAATATTGTACCTAAATATGTCTATACAATTGAATAACACCTATAGGTAAACAATGATTGACTTTGTTCATATAGTATAAAAGTCATTTACAGGTAACTACTGATGTTAACTTAATAATCTCATAATGTAAGGCAGATGTCTACAGATAACCACAGGTTGACTTAATAACCTGGTCGTATATGCTTGGTATCCACAGATAACCATAGATTGTCTTAATAACTTTGTCATGTATGCCAGGTACCTACAGGTAACCATAGATTATTCTAATAACCTGATCAGGTACGCCAGGTATGTCAAGGTGACCTATGGTTGAGTTAATAACCATGTCCTGTACGCCAGGTACCTACAGTCTAGCTGGAGCAAGCACCTGCATCTCATGTGACCCAGGCTATGATTGTCTGAATCGTAACTCTGCCCCCTCCCAATGTGCAGCAGGGACCTATAACACTGGTGGCAACACTGGATGTCTCACATGTCCTGAAGGTACTGGAGCTCACTTGACCAACCCATCTTCTTGATTATGTGTTTCTCAGATAACTCACTAACCTTCTGGGGCAGTGTGTATTTTGACATTTTGACATCTCAGAAGAGGACACAATGGTCTTTTCTTATGGATAACTCACTAAATCTCTGTGATCATCTGTTATCTCATCCTGACATTTAACTCAATTATCCCCATACTCTTTCATGCCCTTCGGTCCTGTATCTTCATAAGACAATACTGCTTCAGATAAATCACTAATTCTCAACTGAACCATTCTGCCAAGACATCAAGCTCACAACATCATGTTATCCCCTGAGATAACTCACCACTAACGCTCTGAATGTTTCTTGAAGGACATTGCGCCTCACAATATTGCTCACCCGTGAAGGTCCGGGTTAGAATATTGACCTTCAGTAACCCATGCTTGTCGTAAGAGGCGACTAACGGGATCGGAAGGTCAGGCTCGCTAGCTTAATTGACATGTCATCGGTTCCAAATTACGCAGATCGATGCTCATGCTGTTGATCACTGGATTGTCTGGTCCAGACTCGATTATTTACAGACCGCCATACAGCTGGAATATTGCTGAGTGCGGCGTAAAACTAAACTCACTCACTCACTCACCACTAACACTCTGGATGTTACTTCAAGGACATTGGGCCTCACAATATTGCTTGAGAATTCAACTATCTCTGAGACAACCCTCTGCTCATCTCCACAAATAGCTGTTCACAGTCTTCATGTTCTTATGTCTATGCTCCTTCCTGTCGCCGCCTTCCAGTTTATTGACATATTTTCTGTGTCTCCATCTTTCATTTTTGAAAATGATGCAATTGAAAAAAACCCATTGTTTCCATGCAAAATAATGTGTATTGAGAAGTGTTGCCCATTTATCCCACGGCATATAATGCGGTGGGATATAATCGTCGCCTCGTCCGTCTGTCCGTCCGTCCGCCGTCCGTCCGTCCGTCCGTAATCATTTTGTTTCGGACCATAACTCAAAGACCGTTCGATATTTTTTAACCAAAATTGGTAGATATGTCAAAAATAACCTAAGGTGGTGCCTTTTGCTATTTACAGATAATTGTCATTTTTATTTTCTCGGTTTCCATGGAAGCGTTTTGGACTTAGTCTTAAAGAAGGGTGGGCTTCGTTTCGGAGCATAACTCAAGAACCGTTCAATATTTTTCAACAAAACTTGGTAGATATATCAAACAGATCCTAAAGTGGTGCCTTTTGCATTTCACAGATTTTTGGCATTTTATTTTTCCCGGTTTCCATGGAAACGATTTGGACTTAGTCCCAAAAGTGAGGGGTGGAAAGCCGTTTCGAGACATAACTCAAGAACCGTTCAATATTTTTCAACAAAACTTGGTAGATGTATGAAACAGATCCTAAAGTTGTGCCTTTTGCTATTGCCGATTTTTGGCATTTTTATTTTCTCTTGGTTTCCATGGAAACATTTTGAACTTAGTCTCAAAAGTAAGGATTGCTTTTCGTTTCGGAGCATAACTCAAGAACCATTCAATATTTTCAACAAAACTTGGTAGATATATCAAACAGATCCTAAAGTTGTGCCTTTTGCTATTTGCAGATTTTTGGCATTTTTATTTTTCCTGGTTTCCATGGAAACGATTCGGACTTAATCCCAAAAGTGAGGGGTGGGCTTCGTTTCCGGAGCATAACTCAAGAACCGTTCAATATTTTTCAACAAAACTTGGTAGATGTATGAAACAGAACCTTAAGTGGTGCCTTTTGCTATTTGCCGATTTTTGGCATTTTATTTTTCTTGGTTTCCATGGAAACATTTTGGACTTAGTCTCAAAAGTAAGGATTGCTTTAGTTTCGGAGCACAACTCAAAAACCATATAATATTTTTCAACAAAACTTGATAGATATATCAAACAGATCCTAAAGTTGTGCCTTTTGCTATTTGCAGATTTTTGGCATTTTTATTTTTCCCGGTTTCCATGGAAACGATTCGGACTTAATCCCAAAAGTGAGGGTGGGCTTAGTTTCGGAGCACAACTCAAAAACCTCTCTATATCTTTCAGCAAAACTTGGCAGATATGTGAGGCAGATATTGAAGTGATGCCTTTTGCTATTTGCAGATATTTGTGATTTATTATTTTCTCGGTTTCCATGGAAATGATTCGAACTTAGTCTCAAAAAGGAAGGGATGGGTTTTGTTTCGAACTGTAGCGAAAACTTCTTAATATCTTTCAGCAAAACTTGGCAGATATGTGAGGGCAGATCCCAAAGTGGTGCCTTTTGCTATTTGCAGATTTTTGTCATTTATTTTTTTTCATGATTTCCATGGAAACGATTTGCACTTAGTCTAAAATCAAGCTGGACTTTAAGTAACTGTCAGATGATTTGTTCTTTCAAAGATGTGGGGCCGAGGGGGATATGTCATCTTCTGATGACTCTTGTTCAATGTGGTTTGTGAAGCTGATTTATCAACCTTTGTTTTCAGCATGTGATCAGAAGCAATATATGAGCATGTGATTATACCATCAGGTACATACAGTGTAGCAGGGGCAAGTTCATGTACTTCCTGTGTGGCTGGTGAGGACTGTGTCAACAGAAACTCCGCCCCGTCCACCTGTGCAGCAGGGACCTACAATCCCGGGGGTAGCCCTGGCTGTTTAGCATGTAGTGAAGGTATTATACTACACTCTTGCCACACCTACTCTGGGTATGGGGTTCGCTTCTATGCTTGATGCACCAGCACTCCATGCCATTCTCCAACTCACTGTTGGGTACATTTCTTTGAAGGTCAGTTTCTGATTAATGGTGGTCTATTTCTCCAAGATTTCTCTACATAACACTGACTGTGAGGTGAGGTCTTCTTACCAACTACCCACAAGCTGTTGGTCTATTTCTCCAAGATTTCTCTGCATAACACTGACTGTGAGGTCTTCTTACCAACTATTCACCAGCTGTTGGTCTATTTCTCCAAGATTTCTACATAACACTGACTGTGAGGTCTTCTTACCAACTATTCACCAGCTGTTGGTCTATTTCTCCAAGATTTCTCTACATAACACTGACTCTGAGGTCTTCTTACCAACTATTCACCAGCTGTTGGTCTATTTCTCCAAGATTTCTCTGCATAACACTGACTGTGAGGTCTTCTTACCAACTAATCACCAGCTGTTGGTCTATTTCTCCAAGATTTCTCTACATAACACCAACCATGAAGTCTTCTTACCAACTTTTCACCAGCTGTTGGTCTATTTCTCCAAGATTTCTCTACATAACACCAACCATGAAGTCTTCTTACCAACTATTCACCAGCTGTTGGTCTATTTCTCCAAGATTTCTCTACATAACACCAACCATGAAGTCTTCTTACCAACTATTCACCAGCTGTTGGTCTATTTCTCCAAGATTTCTCTGCATAACACTGACTGTGAGGTCTTCTTTTACCAACTAATCACCAGCTGTTGGTCTATTTCTCCAAGATTTCTCTTACATAACACCAACCATGAAGTCTTCTTACCAACTATTCACCAGCTGTTGGTCTATTTCTCCAAGATTTCTCTACATACCACCAACCATGAAGTCTTCTTACCAACTATTCACCAGCAGTGTCACTGACTGTTCTGTTCAGCTTCTTTGTAGAAGGGGGCGGGGTAGCCTAATGGTTAAAGCGTTAAGCTCGTCATGCCGAAGACCGGGTTCGAATCCCCACATGGGCACAATGTTCTTTGTAGAAGGTCATTTTTTTTTCTTCTATCCTCACATCCTCTGTCTCCAAGATACCTCCATACACCACCAACCGTGAGTTCTGTGACTTTCAACCTCTGGTGCCATTGCCTGTCTTCAGGCCTAACTTCTGGAAAAAGGTTAATTCTGAGTCTGGCGATCTGACCTGATTCTACCATCTCTAGGCTCTCTGATGATCCATTTCTCTGTTCATCTGTGTCACACCAACTGGTTGCTTTTTGTCACTATGTCCTCCACAGACAGCACTAAAGCTGACAAATCTAAAACTTGCCCTGTGTTAATAACCTATTTGGACACCATCATTGCAAATTGTTTACTTTGGCATTATCTAGTACATTCAACAGGTAACAGGTCATGTATTTCACAAATATCAGATCTTTGGTCTTGTTTTTTCTTCTTTCACATTGTATCAGGACACTAAGGCGCCTCTGGCTTGAAAGCCATATTGTCACTTCTTTTAATGGTGCGTTTTTCGGTATACTCTATTTCAGCTTTTATGAATGCATCTTTTATAATTATATCATAATCATAATGTTTTGTTTTCAGTAAAACTTTTACAGTGCCAAATGCACATCATTTAAAAAATATTTTGCCTTCATTGTGATATAATATATACAGTACAACCAGAAATTATTGAGAATTTAAAGATTGTATTTTTAAAATATTTTTTCACTCATTACTCACGTATTAAATGTGAATATTAGCAGAACATAACTCCAGATTCAAAGACAGGTGAATAGTTAGTATTTTGTCAAGTCACCATAGGCAGCAATGCAGGCTTCAATGCGGCGGGGCATACTACTGATCAAAGAAGTTAGAAAGTCGTGGTCCATGCTGTCCCAATATCGGACCACCTCTTCTTTCATTTCAGCAATATTTGTCAGATTTGTCTTATTGACACTTTCCTTCATAAGTCCCCAAACATTTTCTATTGGATTAAGGTCAGGGCTATAGCTTGGCCAATCTAATAATGTCATATTTTGGGGCATGGAACCAGGCCTGTGAATGCTTTGAACGATGTTTTGGATCGTTGTCCTGCTTGAAAATGCAAAAAGTTCCATAGAACACGTGAGCAGATGGAAGTAAATGTCCCTTGAGAATATCTGTGTACCGCTCACTGTTCATATTCCCTTCAAATACACAGAGGGGCGTTGCCCCTAACACAGATATGCCACCCCACACGTAAAATTTCGGACTGTACTTTGGGCGCTGATACAAAGGTTTTTCAGTTTGTTTGGTCCAGTGTATTAGGAAGTGTATTAGGAAGCAGCCACACAGAACTTTCATCTGAGAAAATCACATTGTCCCAGTTGAAATTTCTATGCTGTAAGCACCAGTTCAACCTTCGCTCCATTTGTTCAGGTTTCATGATCGGTGATGGAATTCCTCAACTTTTCTGCCAACCCATTGCATGCAGCTCAGTTCTAACTGTCTCCTTACAGACAGCCACAGTTCCTCTATCAATCATATCCAGCCTTAAGTTTTCTAACTCCTTCGTTTGTTTTTAGAAACAAGAATACCAAGCCGCCTCCTGTCACCGACAGTCAATTTTCTGGGCCTACCTGCGCCTCCCCGGTGCTCAATGCCATATCAATTTGCAATATTTTTCAAAACACGATAAACAGTGGAGAAAGGGATGCCTGTTCAACTTGAAATCACTTTAGCTGATCTGATGTCCTTGTTATAATACTCTAAAATCAACTTCCTTTTCTCTAAATCATCCATACTGAGGATCACTGAAAATGTCGTCTGCTAGCAAGTAGACAAAGGGGGATAACTCTTCACAAACTAATGAAAGAGGATTAATGGAGTTGTCTCTCTTGAATGAAACCAAACACTTGATAGCTGGTCAAGGTTGTTTAGACTAGAAATCCAATTAAACATATTCCTAAAATTCTCAATAATTTCTGGTCATACTATATTAGCCACCAAAAGCTGACATCATATGCAGTTTTTTTGTGTGCCAACTATACATTGCCTATGTTCCAAGGGTGATAAACATATTTATTCACTGAAAATGTTGATTATTGTGTTAAAAACTTAACCTTTTTTTTTTGTTCTCCCTAGGTACCTACAGTTTAGCAGGAGCAGGGTCGTGTATATCATGTGACCCAGGCTACGACTGTGCCGTCCGTAACACTGCCCCCTCCATGTGTGCAGCAGGAACTTTCAACCCCGGGGGCAATCCTGGCTGTCTCACCTGCCCAGAAGGTACACTGATTGACATTACACAGGTGTACCTACACCTGCTTTCGTCTTTAGTTTCTTCCACATTGAAAGTAGTGGATGGTCAAGGGTTTACTAGAATATAGTGGGTGTTTCATTCAGTCTCTGAACATTCGGAGTCAGTACCATCAAGCTGACACTGAAGGGGTGGTGGGTCATTCCAGTGGTTTGACTGTTGTCCTATGTGGCGGCTTCCTCATGTGGCTTCAGTGTGTTAAGACTGACGCACATCTATTGTCATATGGATGGAATCTTGCTAAAAATATGAAACCAATATCAACCACTAAGGTTAATGTCACAGATCACATTCAGTTGAAACTGATAGAATTTGATTGGTGTCTTTAGTTGATGCCAATATCTTCAACATCATGTGTCCCCTTCAATAGCAAACTTCCTGAAGTGTATCAAAGTCCTATCTGTCCTTAGTTCTTTGAGGTCCTTTCCTTTCCTGTCTTACCCCAACTATTAAACTTGCTATTCATATACAGTGAAACCTTGAACTCCTTAAGTAAATTGATGTAACTTTTTATCCTGGTCGTCCGTTTTGGCCCTGCACCTCTCATGCTACATCTCGTAACACAGTTCTTCACACCGAAGGCCCGGGTTCAATTCCCCACATGGGTACAATGTGTAAAGCCCATTTCTGGTGTCCCCCGCCGTGATGTTGCTGGAATATTGCTAAAAGCGGCGTAAAACCATACTCACTCACTCACTCACTCACTCGTAACATAGTTTTAGAGGTCCCCAGAGTCAAGGTTTCCCTGTTTGGGTTTCAAAATATCATTGTGCCTTATTATCATCAGATTTCTATAAATCGTTAGAATTGTGTATGTATTTTTATGAATTTATCAGTTTCTATGCTTTATTAACTGCATATTTTATTGTCAGCATTCATTAATTTTACATAGAACAACAAACAATAATGTTGTGAAGGAATGCTTAATTTCATGATTGAGGTTTATACATTGTATAAGTTTTGCTGATTAACATCTTGCTTTTCTCTAGACGTGTCCGAAAAACAGCCCATGCCATTCTTAAATCATAAGATTCTGTTATCGATTGTTACAAGTTATTCATTCATATACATGTATTCTTTTCATATATCCACAGTTTCAGAATATCTACATATATAATCCCATCTTTGCTGCTTGTTCACTCACTTAGGTTACTATAGCAACACAGGAGCCAATAACTGTACCGTCTGCCCTCCTGGCAAGGACTGCAGCAATCCTGCAGCAACACCTTCAGATTGTCCTGCTGGGACGTACAGCAGGGAGGGGGATGCAGCGTGTACAAACTGTGGAGCAGGAAACTACAGCGACACTGGATCCAGTTCCTGTTCTCCATGCCCTGAAGGCAAGGACTGCACCAATTCAGCTCTTCCCTTGGCGTCTCTGCCAGATTGTCCAGCGGGAACATACAGCCGACAAGGCGACATGGGATGCTTCAACTGTGACTCTGGACACTTCAGTGTGGCTGGAGCTGCTGTGTGTACTGTCTGTCCTGCTGGGAAGAACTGTAGCAGTGCTGTTGGGTCAGCCCCTGTTGATTGTGCTGAAGGTTACTTTAGTAATGAAGGAGATGTGACCTGTTCACCCTGTGAGGCTGGATACTATAGTTCTGCAGGGTCTGGAAGCTGTAGCATCTGTGCTGGTGGTCAGGGTTGTACTGGTAACACTGTGGTTACCTGTACAGCAGGAACCTACAGCAAGGAGGGTGAACCTACCTGTAAAACTTGCCTGTCCGGGTATTACAGCAAGGCTGCAGCAGCCCAGTGCACAATATGTCCAGCAGGAAATGATTGCTCTAACCCAGCTGTCTCAGGAATCAGTCCACCAGATTGTCCAGCAGGTACATTCAGTCGAGAGGGCGATTCGGGATGTACATCATGTCCAACAAGTGACTACAGCACTCCAGGATCTAGTTCTTGCACAGTTTGTCCAGCAGGAAAAAGCTGCTCAGGAAACACACTTGCCAACTGTGATGCAGGAACCTATAGCAAGGAAGGAGAACTAAATTGCACAGCTTGTTTACTGGGATATTACAGCAAGGCTGCAGCAGCCCAGTGCACAATATGTCCAGCAGGAAACGATTGCTCTAACCCAGCTGTCCTAGGACTTAATCCACCAGATTGTCCAGCAGGTACATTCAGCCAAGAAGGAGATGCAGGCTGCACATCGTGTGGACCAAGTCACTATAGCTCAGCAGGCTCTAGCATCTGTATCATCTGCCCAGCTGGTCAAAGTTGTAGTGGAACTGTGGTGACTGATTGTGTGGCAGGGACATATAGCAAGGAAGGGGAGTCCAACTGTACCACTTGCCTGTCCGGGTATTACAGCAAGACTGCAGCAACCCAGTGCACAATATGTCCAGCAGGAAATGATTGCTCTAACCCAGCTGTCTCAGGAATAAATCCGCCAGATTGTCCAGCAGGTACATTTAGTCGAGAGGGCGATTCGGGATGTACATCATGTCCAACAAGTGACTACAGCACTCCAGGATCTAGTTCTTGCACAGTTTGTCCAGCAGGAAAAAGCTGCTCAGGAAACACACTTGCCAACTGTGATGCAGGAACCTATAGCAAGGAAGGAGAACTAAATTGCACAGCTTGTTTACTGGGATATTACAGCAAGGCTGCAGCAGCCCAGTGCACAATATGTCCAGCAGGAAACGATTGCTCTAACCCAGCTGTCCTAGGACTTAATCCACCAGATTGTCCAGCAGGTACATTCAGCCAAGAAGGAGATGCAGGCTGCACATCGTGTGGACCAAGTCACTATAGCTCAGCAGGCTCTAGCATCTGTATCATCTGCCCAGCTGGTCAAAGTTGTAGTGGAACTGTGGTGACTGATTGTGTGGCCGGAACATATAGCAAGGAAGGGGAGTCCAACTGTACCACTTGCCTGTCCGGGTATTACAGCAAGGCTGCAGCAACCCAGTGCACAATATGTCCAGCAGGAAATGATTGCTCTAACCCAGCTGTCTCAGGAATTAATCCACCTGGCTGTTTGGCAGGTACATTCAGTGAGGAAGGGGATGCAGGCTGTACTTCATGTTCATCAGGATATTACAGTGCTGCTGGTGCCTCTTCTTGCACCATCTGTCCAGCTGGCCAAAGCTGTGTTGGAAACACACTCTCAAATTGCCCAGCGGGAAAACACAGCCAAGAAGGAGAATCATCATGCAGGAACTGCCTCTCAGGCTACTACAGCAGAGCTGCTGCTGGTTTGTGTACAATATGTCCAGCGGGTAAAGATTGTTCTAACCAAGCAGTGACAGGAGCAGGTCCACCAGACTGTCCTGAAGGAAGCTACAGCAAAGAAGGAGATGCCAGCTGCTCATCTTGTGGTGCAGACTCCTTCAGCCAAGCAGGATCAGAAAATTGTACCCTGTGCCCAGCAGGGAAAGCTTGCAGTGGAGGATCAGAAAGTGACTGTCAGGCCGGAACATATAGCCAGGAGGGAGAAACAGTATGTAAGCCATGTCAGTCTGGGTACTACAGCACAGTTGCCTCATCCAGCTGCATCATCTGCCCTGCGGGTCGGAACTGCAGCAATCCAGCAGTTCTGTCACAGCCTCCAGCTTGTCCAGCAGGAACATACAGCAGGGAAGGAGATAATGGATGTAATACCTGTCAAGCTGGTTACCATAGTGATGCTGAAGCCTCTGTTTGTATCATATGCCCTGAAGGTAGAGACTGTTCAGATCCAGCCATGGCAACAGTTGCCTTGCCAACGTGTGCTGCAGGAACATTTAGTCGAGAAGGGGAAGCTGCCTGCCAGCCTTGTGCGCCTGGCTATTACAGCACGGCAGGTGCTGGGACTTGTGTCATATGTCCCGCAGGCAGCAACTGCACTGACATCAACTCCATCACAACAGCTCCACCAGACTGTGATGCAGGCTACTACAGCAAAGAGGGAGATTCAGGATGTACAAACTGTCCTGCAGGTAGAGGATGACCTAAGTACATACACACGCACATGCATGATGCTCACAGCACTGGCACTACTCATGCTACACAGTAGCTTCTCTATCACTGCTTGCCTCTCTTTGACAGTGGCAAAGGGAGGTAACTAATGTTTAGTTAGCTGACTCACAAGCATGTTGAGTTTTTACTTAATCCACTGCACTGCACATTGCAATAGAGAAATACAATGATGGTGTCATTGGTAGCTTAGCTGCTTAGCAGTCATATATACCCAATGTCTATGTTGTTTGTAGATTGCTTTGCATGACTTTACAAACTGCTTGTAGAAGAAAGTTGTGTTGTGGAAGGTGGGAATGTGGCTTTGTCATAATAGCCAATTGCAGAAGATTGCCGTGCTTCACAACAGAGATTGGTTCTTACCATTTACGGAACTAACCAAATAAGTACGGGTAGTATGAGGATGAGGTCTCTGGCTTGATCTGTCTGGTTGTACCAAGATTACTGATAAGAGGGCCACAATGACTGATGTATGTATAGAGCATACGTGAAGAACCACAGGGAATGATAAATTTGGTCATTTTAGTGTGGATGGAATGGCCGTTGTAAAAGTGTGGATGGGATGGCCGTTGTAAAAGTGTGGATGGGATGGCCGTTGTAAAGTGTGGATGGGATGGCCGTTGTAAAAGTGTGGATGGGATGGCCATAAAGGATAAAGCTCTTTAGGGAAAACATCAGGAAAGATCACCTCTCCAATATGACTTTAATTCTCTTACCTTATTAATCCATGTGTACATGTTGTACCAATTCAAAATATTGTTTTAATACATAGTATAGACCTAAATAGTGAACCTCACCTGCACATTGTGATGTTATGAATGTTATGTTGTGTCAAAATATGTAACTTGTTTGTCAACTGCAACATCAACTTTTTTTCAGCACCATGTTTTAGAGATTTTCCCCCACAAACAAATATTTTGTCATATCTTTGATACATGTTTTTGTTTTGCACATTTGTCGTTTAATTTATGTCACTATAAGGTAGGAATACATTTAGTGATAGTTATATAATGCAATGTTAATCATGTTTTGTCATTATAATGACTATATGTGACTGCAGTAGCCTCAGTATCATTGTAGGGCGGTGGGGTAGCCTAGTGGTCAAAGCGTTGGCTCGTCACGCCAAATACCTGGGTTCGAATCCCAACATGGGTACAATGTGTGAAGCCCATTTCTGGTGTCCCCCGACGTGATGTTGCTGGAATATTGCTAAAAGCGGCTTAAAACCAAACTCAGTCAGTCAGTCAGTCAGTCAGTCAGTATCATTGTAGAGTTTTTTGTGTTGTATTTTTTAGTTTGATGCCTTTGAAGATTTGACTCCTATATATTAGCTTATTGACTAAGAACATCTGTTCAACACATAACTAAGTTTGACTCACCTAAGTTGTCCAAGATGTTAAATTATCATTTGTAATTTCTATTAAAGCCTTTATTCAATATCATCTCACTATATATATACATTCAATTATACTTGGAGGGAGGTGTTACTTTAGGTCAGTGCCTTTCATTCTTGTTGATGTTGTATCACTGTACATGAGTTTGTAGTTTGGAACATGAGTGTTTTGGTATTTATCTATTCAAGTTATGATGTTCTTGGAGTGATCATGTTTATTATTAGTTAAATATATACAACATTATTATTCAGTCATGTTTTTAGGAAAGTGATGCTGCAAAATGTTAGCTAATTAGTCTTTTCACGCAAAAATAGCTATCTTCCTACATACTAAGGTTATGGACTTAGAGAAAAAGATAAATTATTTGTTAATTTCAGTTCAATGATTTGTTTTCAGATGATATTTTACAATGATGTTAAATCTAAAACAGTTAAAGTAAACATTTGTCTACATGGAAAAACTGTAAACATTTTTGTTTTGAAGCTTATGATATGTAACATTACGTGAGGAAATGATTTATGTTTGAAAATGTGCGAAAGGTGGATAGTGCTACTATTGTCCGTTTTCCAGGTCACTATGCCAGCAGCCCGGGGGCGTCAGCCTGTACGGAGTGTGCAGCGGGGTCGTACTGCACCTCGACTGCACAGACTGCATGTGACAAGGGCAAGTACAGTGCTACAGGTGGCGCCACTGCTTGTCAAACCTGCGCTGTCGGCCTTTACCAAACTTCAACAGGACAAACATCATGCACAGACTGCCCAACTGGTAATTATAATAAATGTTGCCCATGAAGTATTGAAATATCACAAAATTATTGCCTCACCAAATTAATGCAAATGTCAACCTCTGGATAAAATGCATAATAAAATGCTTGTAGCACTGTCTTTGAATTGAGACAACATATCTTGAAATGATAAAACCAAACCTAGACCTACAATTCCATGGTACTGTATTAGTTGAATCCAGTGAATAATATCACTTGTTATCTTAAAAATATTACCTTCAACTGATACACACTGAAATCGAAAGCATCGAGTATACCAACAGCCCATATTTATTGAGATAGGTCATCATCAACAAAGAGTGTACAGGCTCTGAGCTTTGTTACACAAGATAGCATGGCTCTTTGACCATAATGAGTTATCTGTTCACCATGACATGATGTTCACTATGCATGTGAAGCAGTGTTTTCTTCTAATTCAAAATAGTTAGATTAGGACAGACCAATTTTATTTCTTGTTTTACGGATTTTGGTCCTCAGAAAACCTAAAGGCAGGAGGGAAAAAAAAAAAAATTAAAATCACCAGTCAAACTAATATTCCTTCTAAATATTCAAAGTATGTTACTTTAGGCAATTTATGAAGTGTATATGGGGCAAAAAACATTTTGGCCAATAAAAACATTAGGATTATATTTTTTGAACAGGGAAAATAATTTCTTTTTTTTTCTCTTATTCTCTTATTGATCCACGACAGGTGGATCTGTAAAACAAGAAATAAAATTGGTCTGACCTTACCTGACAAATTGACAAGAACAAAGGCATAGTCATACATTATCTAAGTCTAGTCAGCAGTTACCATGTGTTTGGTGTGTTTTGTTACCGATGTCAAGTTTTCTGGCCATACAGTGACCTTGACATAACAATATATACTTCCTTTCAAAAGTTTAGACTCACTTAGAACACTCACTATATGTTATGTATATGTATATATGGTTACATCGAAGATTGATTTCTCCACTAACTTGGGGGAGCCAACTGCAAACCTTATGCAGATAATTGCACGAGGATCATCCATCAAATTGCTGAAAAGCATGTGCAAATATCGTGCATGTGAACAGCTGCGTTTTGGTGTAAAGTTTTGTTAAGAATTCGCCAATTTTTATCATTTATTGAACTCATGACAATAATCTTTTCAGCCGTTAAGAATTTGTTTTACAATACATCAGTTCATGTGTACCTTTAAACAGTATGGAATATTTTGCAAAATTTAGTTCAGAACAGTTGCCTGAAGTAAGTGGATACCTTTACACTACAGCTTGTTCAGCTTGTTCAGCTTGTTCAGCTTGACCAGATCAAGTGAATACTAATGCATTACGTGACTGTGTCACAACTGGTCAGTTGATTGTCAACATGTCCGAACAGCCGAGACAAAGTCGCCTTTTGACATCTCAGTGTCGAGAAATTGCCAGTAACGTCCTAACTGTCTTTAAACTTAAAAAAAGAAGCTACAGATGGTTTAATGTTTCCGATCCGAACTTTTTGGCAGCAAGCAGCAACATTAATAACATTCTCTGCTCCCCTATTTAATGAAGTTAACTCGACCTGCCGTTTGTGCCATTTGACCTCCCGGGTCATGTGAGATACAGATATATGCCATACAAAAGAGAAATAGATATATATATATATACATGAATGTCATAATGAATGTCTATGTCATGTAATTATGAAGAGTAGCTCAGGTCAAGCTGAACAAGCTGTAGTGAGTCTAAACTTTTGAAAGGAAGTATACTTGGTGTCCCTTTGTTAATGGATGCAAAGAACATTAACATTTTCCCATTAGTTTTGTGCTTGCAATAGTTTCATGATTTACAGTGTTATATACAACCTATGATGTGGTTTGGTAGCCGGGGTTTTAAATGTTTTCCTCATTACTTGATATGGTGAAAACAACAAGGGTTCAACATGTGAAGCTGATTCTTCATCATTGCCATGATTTCTTGAATGTTGTTAATATCAGCACTTAATGGCATCTGTTTAATTTAACTGTCATCAGATATGATTCACATGAAGCATACATTTTTGGTAGAACTACAATGTTATATATATGTTGTAGTTAGGCTGGGCAGGAAGATTTTCTAATTGTTCTCATGTTCTCTGGCTCACAGATAATGTTAGTCTGTTATACTATTTCACTTTTGATAGGGATAATCAGATATGTCATGCTGTTCAAATATACACACATACTTGTGTATCTTGGGATGAATTAAATGTCCCTAACAAAAGTTGAGTAGTATTTTTCACTCGGCAGATTTGTAAAGATGTCATCTTTGCTCTCTCCTTATTTGTGAATGCCTTGAACCAAACTACTGACCAACTACATTGTCCCTATACCTCACTCAGCACCATCCTCACTCATTTCTATATAAAAAAATAGAAAAAAAACACCACTCTCATGCACACAGCCAACTGTGATCCTTGATGTCCACTCCCTTGAGTGTTTACAGAACCTGTACATGGTATATAAGGAGTCCTAACATCATGTTATGTTGACATTAGTACAAGAACTGACACATCTCATGATGACTACAAAGCGTTCTGCTGGTGTGTGGCTATAAATGTTTGAAGTATCCATGCATCGCTGACCACCTTTTGTCAAGCGGCAGGTCGGAACTGGACTGTATACAAGGAATGTGGTGTTTATGACTCTGTTATTGGTTCAGTCCAAGATGACCCAGTGTACATTATTCCTGTTAATACCACAGTCAGCCTAGTGGCTACACAAAGCTGGGAAATTGACCTGCCGATATCACTAATCATTGTGTAACAAAGGGGAAGAATCCACTCAGGACCAGGGTTTATGAGATTGTGTAGTGTTGACAGGAGGTATTGTTAGCTATTTGTGGCTTATTGACAGGGTCTCAAATATAAGAGTGCTCCACAAGGTTAGCTGTCCTCAAGAAATAGTTTGGATAGTTTGTTCCATATGTAATTGTGTCTTTGATAATATGAACTGGGCTCACTTAATACTGCTTGGTTTGGTTGTTGTTTAACACCACACTTGGTGTTATTCCAGCTGTATTGCCTGTAAATAAGCACATCTGGACTTGACAATCCAGTGATTGATATCATGAATAAAGACCCCACCCAAAGGGTTTACACAGTCAACCAAATCATGTTGTTACCTTGTACAGCTAACATTAAGTTCCAGTTTTAGCCAGCAATCTTGCATGTGGTAATATACCAGTATTTAAAGAATGGTATGCATGTAGCCGAGTAATATTTAGTAATAAATATAGATATATGCATGTTGCTTAGTGATATTAAGTAACAAATATGTACAAATTGAGTAACATACTTGTCATGCCTGTTAGCATGACTTACAAATCTTCATAATTACATGACATAGACATTCATTATGACATTCATGTATATATATCTATTTCTCTTTTGTATGGCATATATCTGTATCACACATGTATCATATATACTTGTGTATCTCACACATATTATCTATACTTCTGTATCTCATATGTATGATTTATACTTCTGTATCTCACATGAATGATCTATACTTCTTCACATGTGTATCTCTGTATCTCACATGTATGATCTGTACTTCTCACATGTATCTATACTCACTCATGTATGATCTATACTTCTGTATCTCACATGTATGATCTATACTGATCTGTATCTCACATGTATGATCTATACTTCTGTATCTCACATGTATGATCTCTACTTCTGTATCTCACATGTATGATCTATACTTCTGTATCTCACATGTATGATCTATACTTCTGTATCTCACATGTGTATCTGTATCTCACATGTATGATCTATACTTTGTATCTCACATGTTTGATCTATACTTCTCACTTCTGTATCTCACATGTATGATCTATACTTCTGTATCTCACATGTATGATCTGTACTTCTGTATCTCACATGTATGATCTATACTTCTGTATCTCACATGTATGATCTATACTTCTGTATCTCACATGTATGATCTATACTTCTGTATCTCACATGTATGATCTATACTTCTGTATCTCACATGTATGATCTATACTTCTGTATCTCACATGTATGATCTATACTTCTGTATCTCACATATGATCTGTACTTCTGTATCTCACATGTATGATCTGTATCTCACATGTATGATTCTGTATCTCACATGTATGATCTGTACTTCTGTATCTCACATGTATGATCTATATTACTTCTGTATCTCACATGTATGATCTATTCTTCTGTATCTCACACATGTATGATCTATACTTCTGTATCTCACATGTATGATCTATACTTCTGTATCTCACATGTATCTCTATCTGTATACTTCTGTATCTCACATGTATGATCTATACTTCTGTATCTCACATGTATCTCATCTCACATGTATGATCTATACTTCTGTATCTCACATGTATGATCTATACTTCTGTATCTCACATGTATGATCTATACTTCTGTATCTCACATGTATGATCTATACTTCTGTATCTCACATGTATGATCTATACTTCTGTATCTCACATGTATGATTTATACTCTGTATCTATACTTCTGTATCATGTATGATCTATACTTCTGTATCTCACATGTATGATCTATACTTCTGTATACATTCTGTATCTCACATGTATGATCTATACTTCTGTATCTCACATGTATGATCTATACTTCTGTATCTCACATGTATGATCTTATACTTCTGTATCTCACATGTATGATCTATACTTCTGTATCTCACATGTATGATCTATACTTCTGTATCTCACATGTATGATCTATGATTGTATGATCTATACTTCTGTATCTCACATGTATGATCTATACTTCTGTATCTCACATGTATGATCTATACTTCTGTATCTCACATGTATGATCTATACTTCTGTATCTCACATGTATGATCTATACTTCTGTATCTCACATGTATGATCTATACTTCTGTATCTGTATCTCTATACTTCTGTATCTCATGATCTATACTTCTGTATCTCACATGTATGATCTATACTTCTGTATCTCACATGTATGATCTATACTTCTGTATCTCACATGTATGATCTATACTTCTGTATCTCACATGTATGATCTATACTTCTGTATCTCACATGTATGATCTATACTTCTGTATCTCACATGTATCTTGTATCACTGATCTATCTACTTGTATGATCTATACTTCTGTATCTCACATGTATGATCACATCTCACATGTTTGATCTATACTTCTGTATCTCACATGTATGATCTATACTTCTGTATCTCACATGTATGATCTATACTTCTGTATCTCACACATATGATCTATACTTCTGTATCTCACACATATGATCTATACTTCTGTATCTCACATGTATGATCTATACTTCTGTATCTCACCTGTATGTGTGCCATGTATTACAGGTAACAAGTGTGTGGACCCAACCGTGGCACCAGAGCCATGCCAGCAAGGACAATACCAGGACACAACTGGCTCAAACTCTTGCAAAAATGTAAGACATTCACAGAATAGGCATAGAAATGCATTTTTTCGACTTGTGCCATAAGGCATCAGACAAATAATTTAGGTGTGCTTTGGTGAAAATAAGCATGCTCATACTTTTTATCCCCCCGGCATGTAATGCGGGGGGATATAGTCGTCGCCTCGTCCGTCCGTCCGTAATCATTTTGTTTCCGGGACATAACTCCAAGACCGTTCGATATTTTTCAACAAAAATTGGTAGATATATCAAACAGTACCTAAGGTGGTGCCTTTTACTACTTACAGATATTTGTCATATTTATTTTTCTCGGTTTCCATGGAAACGTTTTGGAAATCAAGCTGGACTTTAAGTAACTGTCAGATGATTTGTTCTTTCAAAGATGTGGGGGCCGGGGGGATATGTCATCTTCTGATGACTCTTGTTCATTATCCAGTTACACTTTAAACATTACAACAATTATGTCATGTCAATTTATTGTTTAATAAATCAGTAAACATCATGAAAAACTGTAAACTTGAGAGCTTGATTTCCACTGTCAAGTCTGCAAGATTAGTTTTTTACTTCATATATCCTGGATCCTTTCCCACTCAAGCCATTGTTAGACTTGATGTTTTCAAGTCAGACCTAAAGTGAGTGAGAGTGAGTTTTAGTTTTATGACGCACTCAGCTATATTCCAGCTATATGGCGGCGGTCTGTAAATAATCGAGTCTGGACCAGACAATCCAGTGATCAACAGCATGAGCATCAATCTTCACAATTGGGAACTGATGACATGTGTCAATCAAGTCAGCGAGCCTGACCACCCGACCTCTTACGACAAGCATGGGTTACTGAAGATAAATATTCTAACCCGGTCAGACCTAAAGACCTTTCTCTTCTAGAAATACTATGACCAGTGAACTAGTCAAATTTGTTCTGCAATGAGCACACCTTCTGGCATGGAGTTTAGTGCATTACAAATGGACTCATTATTATGATCCTTAAACTAACCCACAAAGTATGTTGCAAAACACATATTTCAATATTTACCATGAAATGGCACACAAATTAAGCACTATTTTGATCCCTTCAAAACTATTTTTACAGAGAAATATCTAAAAATATTGCACATTCTGCTGGGCAATAAGGTAAACAATGGTTAAACATGTCAGAGGTTTCCTAGGTGTTCCCACAATTCATATTAATATGGTTATGTCTGACCTTATACCAGAGGTAATCATGTATCTGAAACAACCAATCAAGATGAAGAGGCTTTCATGCTTATTATCAAATCATTGCAATGTTTAAATACCCCAGAATTTAGGACAGTTAGAACTTTTAGATTGATAGAGTTAGGGATATATAAATCTTTAAGAATATATAAAGTTGAATATACTGCTCAGAATTAATTTTTCAAATGTCAGTCTGTCATGGTTGATGGGCATTGCAACGCCTAGCCATTAAATTGTGAGTGTTAAAAAAAAGACCAGGGCCTAGATTTTTGAAGCTCTCTTAGCGCTAAGATAGTCTTAAGTGCCAAACATTAACTTACGACTATCTTAGGGCTAAGAGAGCTTCGAAAAATCTAGGTCCTGTACTTTAATCCACATAATGAGTGAGTGAGGTAAATGCTGCTGCAATGTGTGTCAATCTGTGTCAGTGTGATCAGGAGGCATTATGTACTCACCATCACTGTCACATGAGGATGTTGTCCAGGGCGTATTCACCACCTTCACCATCCTAACCTTGACGATGGCCGTCAGCACATCTGGCCACACTGTACCTCAGGCTTGACTGTTTGTAGCATAGACTGGCATGGTGGAAGTTCCACCTCCTTTCACATGTTCTAAAATCATCAATATTCATCAGGTCCCTTAGTCGCGAAACGTTCGTAGCCCTAAGAATTCTTAACTTTGATCGTAGGCAATGTGTTAAGAATTGGGCTTAAGAAGTTTCGAGAATAGCTAGCCAGCTCCCATTAATGTGAATTGTTCTTAAGTTCTTGGCACGACCTTGTGAACAGCACAATGAGCGGTGAGGGAGATGGTTGATAAGGAGTAGAAAGGAAAGGTACGATGTTAAAGCTCCACAACCCACTAGGGTGAAAATACTGATACTATATATTAAAAATATAATTAGGAAAGGAACCTTTCCATTTAACTGGCCATGTTCTGCTGATGAAAAAAAATAAATAAGAGTTGCTGGAAAAATGGATTACTGCCTATTTCTAAGGCACCTAAAGCCATAATATTTTTGTTTGTTTTTTTATTCCTGAAACATCAACTGGATATTCTTCAAAGCTTACAAAAAATCAGAATTTAGAAAAAAATATTTTGACATTACCCACTGTTTTAAAAATGGCATCAGCAATAAATAATGCTTCATTTCACATTCATTGGATTGGTTCTGTAAAAAGTTATAGCCTCAATAAATCTAGTGTTCCATCTCTTGAACTAGTCAGCACTTCCGACAGGTGTACCTATTTTACTGGTTACCAACCCTAACCCAAATTCCTCTGTGGGAATCAAACTCACTCACTCACTCACTTACTCACAAGTCAGTGAGTAAAGATGTCATGAGTATATTGTTCATGTTCCAGTGCCCCACTGGCTACCACAACACTGCCACAGGCCAGACCAAGTGCACCATCTGTCCAGCAGGCTACAAGTGTCCAGACTCCACCGTCAGCCCTGTTACGTGCAGTAACGGAGAGGTACATGACGTCACTGGCTTTAGTTGTACAAGAAACTGTATCCATAACAAGCATGTGTTTGTTTATACTGATTCTTCATCACAGAATATAAGGTCCATTTCATTATAGCGATTATTTCTAATCAGCAAATCACGCCATGACCTGGTTCCAGTAAGAGGGAAACCAGCAATAATATATCATAATAATAGTAATATTTCTTTTGTACCCTGTGCAACAGCCCTGTGGATATATTCTCTGCACATTTCTCAGTATTAGAGACCAGTAAGGTTAACAGAAAGTTCAAGTTATGTATGTCCAATTGTACGCATGTACGATTATGAAATCTGTGATTTGGTAAGGTACTGAGTTTCTATTGTGCCAGAATGGAAGCTGGACCTCAGATACCAGGTCAGTGGCTTGCACAAAATATATATATGCCCTGACATCTAACAGAAGAAATATGGTACTTTCATATCTGACATGAAAATACAAAACAGTGGTACCTTTAATGTGCTTCATGCATGTTAAATGGGTTTAAGATTGTGTAAAGCTCACACTGGTATAATCTTGATATAAGACCTTTTTAGTCATGATAAGCAATGATTCACAACAAAGGAGATCTGTGATAATGGGTCCATATGTTCTTATGGCTCAGTGTTAATTATATTTGTATCAATATAACAGATCTCTGGCTGTACAGTCACGTGCCTGTCAAACATTTAATCTGGGTTCCTTGGTAAACATCAAGTGGTATTGCAGACGTGAATAAACTGAGGCAGTGAGGTTGACAACAAGGTCCAGGTGGATGGGCTATGTTTCTGTTGAGTCATGTGATAGTCAGTTGACTGATGTACTGAGTTGACTGGTATGAGAGTTTAGTTGACTCAGTGGCAATGTCTTACGCCTGGTATTCATGTACTACCAACACTCTGAAACATGGCACCAGACTGCTGAATATTGTGTATTTGTTGTTTCTGTTTGGGCAGTTTTCGAATGAAGGGTCGACCGCGTGTCAATCCTGTCCCCCAGGTCAAGTGTGTGGAGGGACTGGAACACCCACATCGTGTCAGGTTGGTTCTTGTTGCAATTACCTATTGTATTCTTTATTTATCCAACATCCCTACTGTACTTACCCATTGTATTCTTAATTATCCAACATCCCTACTTTACGTACCTTTTGTATTGTTTATTTATCCAACATCCCTACTGTATTTACCTATTGTATTCATTATCCAACATCCCTACTATTTTTACCTATTGTATTCTTCATTTATCCAACATCCCTACTGTATTTACCTATTGTATTCATTATCCAACATCCCTACTGTATTTACCTATTGTATTCATTATCCAACATCCCTACTATTTTTACCTATTGTATTCATTTATCCAACATCCCTACTGTATTTACCTATTGTATTCATTATCCAACATCCCTACTATTTTTACCTATTGTATTCTTCATTTATCCAACATCCCTACTGTATTTACCTATTGTATTCATTATCCAACATCCCTATTTGAGTCATTGAGCCAAACCTCCTGATCCCATCAGTCTTCTCTAACAAGCATGGGCTGCTGAGGACCAGTTCTTTCATGTTGATAACTGAACCTGACCAGTCTGTCTGACACATTAACACACCCTGTATGTTTACAGTCCGGACAGTATGTTGGTGCCTCTGGGTGTGAGGACTGCCCTGCCGGGTCAGCCTGTCCCTCGCCCATCACCCCACCACAGGCCTGCCCCTCAGGGACCTACCAGGACGCCATTAAACAGACCAGCTGCAACACCTGCCCTGAGGGCAAGTCCTGTGTGGATGTTGCCACCACCCCTGTCGACTGTACTGCTGGATTCTTCAGCGCAGCTGGGGAGGGAACGTGCACGGTAAGTTCACCAACTTCTGTAAGGTCAGCAACATAGTCAGATCTCTTCCTGTTTATAGTATTGTCTTAATCCAGTTGAAGCTTAAACTACATGGAGGTATGGGTGGGCATTTTGTTTAAGGTCAATATATCTGTGCAGAGTTGTGTACCTTACATACTCCAGGATTCAGTGATCTTTGATTTTCTAGACAGTAAATGACACAGTAAATAATACAGCATGTAATCATTTTTGTTTCTCTCAACCTAGCTGTGTATTAATTCAGGGGAAATGGGTGGAAAATGAAGCAAGAGAAAGCTAGGTGAAACATTGGGTATGGGGTTCTAGTAATGGAACTGACCAGCGGTAACTCCAGCAATCATTGGGACAGAGTTATGTCCCCATATCACGACAGGATCACCCAATTTCTTCCTGATCATGGTAACTGCTTTGACACCATCTTTCCCATGGGTACAATGTGTGAAGTCATTTATTGACATTATGAAATGTCTATGCCTGAAATATTACAGAAATATTGCTGAAGTCAGTGTACAACCCTTCTCTGTCATTCTCCTGTGATAGTCCGACAGCAAGACACTATGGTGTGTTTTCAGAGATGTCCAGAAGGATACTACAGCGCTGCTGTTGCTGGCTCGTGTAGCGCCTGCCCAGCAGGACAGATGTGTTTCGATGGCACCAACTTCATCACCCCTGTCAACTGTGACCCTGGGGAGTACAGTCGTCTTGCAGAGGCCACGTGCAAAAACTGTGATGCAGGTGCGACAGATATATCAATATTGCAGGTTTATGTTGAGCAGATGAAAATCACAGATTAAAGATTGTTAAATGTTATTTATGTTATACTAGGCCTACTTGCAAAAATAGTGAAGTGTTCTGTAATTGCATGAGTGGAAATTATCAATATCTAGAAGCATTGTATCACAAAATTTATAATTAGTTGACCTTGGACTTTGTTTTTCCTACATTCCTTGAAACAACTGGATAACATTTCCCTAAATAGAAGAATGTGACATCTTCCTCAAGATGTTTTCAGATATAAATTTATCACATCTCCCATTTTATGCAGGGGTTCTTCTAAGGTTGTGTGAGAGAAGTGTGAGTGTTATTTGAGAGTTTCATGACAGTTCCTACCAATGAAGGTCCAGGTTAGATTATTGATCTTCAGTAACCCATGCTTGTCGTAAGAGGCAACTAGCAGGATCGGGTGGTCAGGCTTGCTGACTTGGTTGCCACATGTCATCGTATCCCACTTGCGCAGATTGATGCTTATGCTTTTGATCACTGGATTGTCTGGTCCAGGCTTGATTATTTACAGACCGCTGCCATATAGGTGGAATATTGCTGAGTGAGGCATAAAACTAAACTCACTCACTCACTCACTCATGATAGTTCCACAGGGATCTGGGCGCGTGGTGGGCGTGCTGGTTAAAGCGCCAGGCTAGTGATCCAGCGAGGTTGAGGTGTCGGGATCGAGCCCACCTGTGACCGGGTGTAAAAAACCTTGGAGTCAACTTTGTGTGCAGACTCTTTCAGTGTTGTCACAATCCCTAGTGTACAGTACACAACCCTGTGCACTTAAAAGAACCTACGAATCCATTGGTATGTGACCAGATGGTGGCCACATGAATACGTGCAAACACCTAGTTGTGGGTACAGCAACATGCAGTGAACTTGGACAAAGTACTGTGACTATGTGTCCCAGTCCACCCAGCTGTGAGTGGGTACCTCGTTAGGATGAGAAAGCCACAATAACTCGATGCGCCTAGTGGCTGCAAGAGTTGTATACTCCACAGGGAGTTGAGATTGATAATACGATGTGCCGTTGAGATTGACATCCAATGATCGAGGGAAAAAAAATACCAGTGCCTTGAGCAAGCACTAGTTGCATGGATATGTGCTCTATATAAATATCCTATAATGATCATTGACAAATGTCTCAGTGTTACAATGTGTAAAGCCCATTTCTGGTGTACCCCGCAGTAATATTGCTGGAATATTGCCAAAAGTGGTGTAAACCTAAACTCACTCACTCTGTGTATCTAGTCCGTCTTGTTCATCATACCAATTTCTAATGATTCTAAAATAAGAAAGTTATGATTTACTAAAAGTAAGGAATTAAAAGTACTTTTTAATACAGTATTGCCAAACTGTCTTTCTTTAATTTGTTTTTCAAATAACTGTTACTACAACAATAACTAAACTAAAGATCTGGGTTAGAATTGGTCTTCACCAACCCGTGCTTGCCATGGTCACTACTCAGAGTGTGTCTGTTGTATAACACAGTCATTAGACTACGTAAATCTGTCACTTCCTAGTATACAAATTGAGTATTCTTCATTTGGAAGAAATAATAGATATTCAAGAGGGAAATACTTTTCTTTCAGTAGTTGTTATGTATTGCAATACATTGGGGAATTAGTTTCTAAAAACGTGTGGTACCAAATTTTCACACATTTTCTTGCTTGAGTGGGGCAAGGCAGAAAATTCTGTTTCTTTAGCCTTCAAATTGTATTCTTAAATTAATCATCAAGTAAAACCTTAAGTAGCAAATGACCTAGATGTGAAACAGCTGAAGCAGATCAACATTTTGAATATATGTATCTCACAGTACTAACAAGTAATTATCCCCCTCAACGAGTTTTGCAGGGGGTATTAAAATGGACTCCATCCGTGCGTCCGTCCGTCCGTCTGTCCACATTTGTCTTTTCCGGAGCAGAACTCTAAAACCGTTCACTATTTCTTCACCAAACTTGGCACAAAGATAGATCTGGTGGTGTACTGGTGCCTTTTGGTAGTTTTGGAATTCTGAATAAAATATTTTTGGCGTTTCCATGCCAACAAGTTCGACTTAGACTGAAATTAGTGGTAGTGCTCTTTTCCGGAGCAGAACTCTAAAACCATTCACTATTTCTTCACCAAACTTGGCACAAAGATAGATCTGGTGGTGTACTGGTGCCTTTTGGTAGTTTTGGAATTCTGAATAAAATATTTTTGGCGTTTCCATGGCAACAAGTTTGACATAGACTGAAATTGGTGATAGTGCTCCTTTCTGGAGCAGAACTTTAAAAACCTTTCAATAGTCTCCTTCCACTTTTCTATATACACACCTAAATATTTGACATAATCATAACTCGTAGACATAATCATGAAGAGTATTTTGCCATTGCGGGGCATATTGATGACTTTGTCTTCTTGTTAACTTTGTTTTGGAATCTGTGCTCGTCTTATTCAAACCTCCCATCATCAGTTTGTAAAATGGCCTCCCAATGGCAATGTTTTAAGTGTAGTCTTTCTGTGCTACATTTAACATTATTAGAAAGAGACACTGTTCAAAATGTAAATTAAACTGAAAATGTCAAAACAACTAACTGTTTACTAGAAATCAACTGAGAGGAAGACCAAATTGTTTTTTGTTCAATTATTGCATGAATTCTTGGGATTATGCTTCTATAGGCACGTACAGCACTGGCGGATCCTCAGGCTGTTCCTTGTGCCCTGCTGGCAAATCGTGTTCAGATCCTAGCCTAACACCAGCTGATTGTGCCACTGGATACTACAGTCTGGAGGGCAAGGTGAGACTGATTGGTGGGGTTACCACTGATAACCCTGTCCCCAGTATCGTGTAGTTTAAGACCATGTTTAATGGTATCTGTTATCAGTTTTGGCCATTTTTAACAATACTCTGAAAAATATAACCTTTACCAAATGGGGTGATGCAGTACATAAATGTTTGTGAGCTTATCGTTTTCTTTAATGCATGAGCGCACAGGTGCCCGTGTCGTCTTGGGTGTGCTGTAGCTGTGCAGAGTTGTGTCCCGTGGATATGTTTGAAGCATGATGCTTTTCAGAATTGTACTGTCCTGTTATAAAACACACCATTTAAGTCGGTTACCAGACACATTTCCTTTACTTCACGGCTATATATTTCACAACATGTAGCATTCAACTTTGTAAAAGTGCCAAATATTCCACTGTAATGATGATCGTTTGTACAATATGTTTTTGACTGACCTGTATTCCCTTAGGTGGAGAGCTGCACCATCTGTCCCGCTGGCCATGAGTGTGCCAGCAAGTCCGACCCCCCCATGCTTTGTGCCATTGGTCAGTATGCCACCCAGGGCCTGACTGCCTGTCTGGACTGCCCCACTGGTCAGTCCTGCTTGGACCCTGCTGGAGCCCCCATAAACTGTGTAACTGGCTACTACAGTCCTGCTGTGAGTCTTGCAGTCACCTTCAAAATATATGAGTCATGTCTTTCTTCTGTCCAGTTCATTCTTGTTTTGTATGTAGAGAAACATATCATTTTACCAAAGAAAGCATTTTAAACAGATTGTCTAAAGCTTTTACAAAAAAATAGGAAGATTGTGGAGTCAAGAAGGGAATTCATGTATTTGGGATCATTTCTTTCTTCCATCTTTTTTTGAGAATATTTTTTTAAGCATTGTAAAAATATGGAGCTTGCAGAGGAACACAAAGTATCAAATTACTTGAACCAAGCTTGCTACCACAGCTTGCTATCTTTATAGTATGATATATGTGGTATCTTCGTTCACAGGGAACAAGCACCTGTCTGCCCTGCTCAGCTGGATATGGCTGTGACTCCTCCAAGGATGTCCTGGATGCTTGCACCACTGGCTTCTACAGCACAGGGTCCATGGCCTGTCAGGAATGTCCAGCAGGGTCCATGTGCCCCATGCCATCAATTGGACCAATCGCTTGCCGAAAAGGATCTTACGCTCTCGCTGGATCGACAACATGTACTACCTGTCCAGCTGGTAGCAAGTGTCCTACTACAAAGTAAGTGTTCAACCACACAGGAGGACATGGGATTTACAGCTCAGTATTCCTTGTTTTCCACTCATTTAAATCAGATCTTGGTGCTACACAAAGATCTACAGCGGCCTACTTAAGGTCCCAACTCGTGAAGGTCCAGGTTAGAATTGGTCTTCAGTAACCCATGCTTGTTGTAAAAGGCGACTAACGGGATCGCGTGGTCAGGCTCGCTGGCTTGGTTGACACGCCATCGTACCCAACTGCACAGATCGATGCTCATGCTGTTGATCACTGGATTGTCTGGTCCAGACTCGATTATTTACAGACCGCCACCGTATAGCTGGAATACTGCTGAGTGCAGCGTAAAACTAAACTCACTTACACTCACTCACTAAAGGTCCCATCAGAATCACCTTTCATGCAGCCAATGAGATCCCAAAAGTGAAATCTTCAGATTTTTGTGTAGCTGTAGCAAACACTAAGGTGTGATTTTAACGAGAGACAGGGAATGATTTCAGTAGGAAATCACATAGCCTTGTTTTGCATCAAGAGTCATGTTTTGCATGGAAGACTTCCTGTAACTGCCTACAGGAAGGGTATGCAGTGATCATGTGGTACAAGCGGGTGAAGCTGCTCTCAAGGTTGTTTCCACTCCACGGTCAAGGAAAATTGCTAAATGGGACATAGGATAAGATTTTAAAAAATATCAGAATGTTTGAAAACTGGGTAAAGATGGCAAAGAATGTCCTATAAAAAAGCAGCTTGATGCTCATCTACTAAGTTCCCATTCTTTCACCTTAGCGCTGCCCCTGTGCCATGTGTGGGTGGGGAATACAGTCTGAGTAGCTCGGATGCCTGCACCAAGTGTCCTGCCGGCTATTCCTGTCCAGCCGGGGCAGGTTCTCCCACAGCCTGTGTGTCTGGAACTTACGCAGTCACAGGCCAGGCAGCATGTCAAGGTTGTCCAGTTGGGTCAGCTTGTCCATCAACTACAACAGCAAGCAACCAGTACACGTGTCCTTCTGGTAAGTTGGAATGACAGTTGTTTGAAAAAAGGAAAGAAATACTTTTGTGTGTATGAAGGGTAATAGAATTCATTCATAATTTAGGGATTGAGGTTAAAATGCTCATTAATACTTGTCCTGTGTACGTGTCAGTTATATACAATCACATGTAAAGGTTTCAGTGTTTACCAATATTAGCTATGTTTTTTATGAGAAATAAAAGCAGACCTCCGTTTATGATAAATCACAATGTAAGGTAGATACATGCATTGTTCAGTACACTAAGGCATAGTGGATACAAGTTGCTTGCTCCAACCAGAAGTAGTTGCTTGTATTTATACTGTAATGAGAAACTTGTTAAAAAAAGAAGAAAATAGGACATTCCCCTGATATGAACAAAATTTACGGGCAGCCATACAAGCATACAGTTGTCTAATTTATTATTATTTTAATTTTGTCAGGAACCTATTCTCTGGGTAACCAGTCTAGCTGCACAGTGTGCACAGCAGGATTCTTCTGTCCCGACACCAGTAGCGACACGAGCACCGCCTGCCCCGCGGGCTTCTATGCCCTCAGTGGTTCTCCTTCCTGCAACCCATGCGAGGCAGGCTGGCAGTGCCCCACTGCTGATGCTACCACCAGAGTAAGATGCACACAGGGATATTTCTCAGTAGGAAACGCTACAGCATGCACAGAGTGTCCCGTCGGTAAAGCTTGTCCAGCCACTGACACCGACCAGTTTGTCACCTGCGGACCTGGGTCATACTCTATTGGTAAACAGACTGCATGCACATCATGTCCTGCTGGGTATGAATGCCCCAATACTGACGCTGACACCAAGGTCAAATGTCAGGATGGAACGTACAGCGAGGGAGGAAGAGATGCATGTGTGGATTGCGAAGCCGGCTACATGTGCCCCACCATCTACGACAGCTACAAGATTGCCTGTGCTCCAGGAACGTTCGCTGAAGCTAAGAAGATCGAGTGCACAGCTTGTCCTGCAGGAGAGGAGTGTCCAGATACCACAGCTCCGGGGACTGCATGTGTAGATGGTTACTACAGTTTAGGAAGCCAGCCATCCTGCACTGTTTGTCCAGCAGGATTCCAGTGTTCCAACAAAGGCATTAAACCAGCTATATGTCCAGAGGGTCAGTACAGCCCAGAGAAGTCCATAGCTTGTAGTAACTGCAAAGCAGGATATGCTTGTCCTGAAGGTAGTACTCAGGAAGATCCCCCAAGTGCCAAATGTAGGCTAGGATACTACTGTGTTGATGGAAAGGAAGAACTGCCATGTGCTAAAGGAAAATATGGAGATGCTTTTGGGTACACTTCTGACACAGACTGTAAACCGTGTCCTCAAGGGTACTATTGCCCAGAGGGAACTGCAGGACTGCCATCATCAAGTCTGATTTGTCCAAAGGGACACTATTGCGGTCCTGAAACTGGAGACTATAAGGAATTCCCTTGTCCTGCTGGACAATACTCCAATAATCTTGGTAATGTACAACAAAGCGAGTGCTCTACTTGCCCAGAGGGTCGTTTTTGTCCAGAGGGCACAACAGATCCATGGTTTGATGCCAATGTCTGCCCAAGGGGGTCCTACTGCCCATCAGGGACAGGCTCACCTAATGCATGTCCATCTGGGAAGTACACTGCTGAAACAGGCTCCACTGGTTTGGAGTTTTGTAGACAATGCCCTGCTGGCCACTACTGTGCTGCCGGAACACCAACACCAACTCAGTGTGCACCAGGAACCTTCAACCCGGATCCTGAACAAGGCGATATCATTAGCTGCAAGGCTTGTACCTCTGGACAGGCATGTACAGAGTACGGTCTTACTGAACCCAACTCACGATGCTCTCCTGGCTACTACTGTCCCGGAGGCAATCACCGTGCCAACCAATCTGAATACGCATGTCCCGCAGGAACGTTCACCAACAATAACAACCTGACTGCTATAGAACAGTGTGAGAAATGTCGTGAAACCGTGGCCTGTCTCATCGGGACTGGAGGAGTTCAGAAACCTCCTGTTGCATGTGCTAAAGGTCACTACTGTAAAGAAGGAACTGGAGCTCCGACCCAGTGGCCATGTGCTGCTGGCACCTGGACCAACTTGACCAACTTAGCTAACCAGGAGGGATGTTCCCCCTGCCCCAAGGGATACTACTGTCTACAAGGCTCTGCGGCTCCTACAGGCCTCTGCTCCAAGGGACACTGGTGTCCTGAACGTAAGTGCACCATGTAGGGTGAGTGAGTGACTTTAGTTGTACGTCGCATTCAGCAATATTCCAGCTATATGGCGGAGGTGTGCAAATATTCGGATCTGGACCAGACAATCCAGGGATCAACAGCACTTCAAGTAGCAGTGTATAAATATGTGTCATACAATTTTTAAAACTATTACATATGTTGATGTATACATCAGCTGTTTTGCAAGGTGTGTATTTAATACAAGCAGGCAATTATTTTTTTCCCACCCAAAGTTGACTGCTTACACATCACCTGATATAATCAAATCCACAGGGAAGCATGTTATTACTCTGTTTTGTTATGGAAAGTGTTCAGTGAATTTCATGATTCAATGTTTATAATTATTTCACATGTATTATCTATAGCTATGCATATTAAGCATGTGTATTTGTGAACTGATTGATTACACTAACTGACGCTATTTAAATCAACCATGATCAGGTTTCTTTATGGTGCAGGGTGCCATTGTACAAGCGATCTTAGCACTAACGTGATTGTAACCCATACCTTAACATAGGCGTACGACTGGCATAGCATTAAGCTTCCCTTTTTGTAATCCCACACTCGCTGTATCCAGGCACAGAATATGGGGACCAGCACCCCTGCCATGCCGGCTCCTACAGTAACAACACCGGCAACATCAGGTGGGAGCAGTGTGTGGACTGCCCCGAAGGCAACTACTGTCCACAGGCCTCCGTACTGCCAACTTCATGCCCAGCGTGAGTATTGTCAACAGAGATACATATCTACTTTCAATTTGCTGTATAACGTTTGATTTACTTATTTGTATGTAATGAAGTGAGCTGCGAATTGTGATGTCTGATGTGGGTAATCTGGATAATTGAAGGTGGCCTACTTGTTTTTATTGTGGAATGATACTAAGATGCTCTAGCAAGCCAATGGCAGTATTTTATGATATAGTCTAGAGTTAAACTCTTACAAATAAGAAGTAAGCTAATTGTTTTATGAAAATTTTCCTTCACAAACATGGTAAATACCATGATAATTCTTTTGATAAATATGTTCACTGATACACTTTTGAGAAAACTGCATTTTGCTAATTAACAGAATCTAGTCCAATGGTAACCCTTATAAACAGTGGAATTCACATTTTGACTGATAACACTATAACAAGAATACATGTATTTAACAGATCTGCAGATATTTTGTGATAATGGAAAATTAGATATGTTTCTTCAGATATGGGTATTTCTACTTTTCTAATGTTGCAGTGGGTCATTCCGTGAAGACAAGAAGGGAGAGAAGCTAACAGACTGTGGAGACTGTACAGCTGGTTACTATTGTCCCGGATTGGGGAACATCGAGCCGCTTCCTTGTGAGAAGGGAAATTACTCAGCCAGCGGTGCCGACTCCTGCACTACATGTATGGCAGGGTACTACTGTGACCAGAACGCAACCAGCCTTGCCTTCATGACCACAGAGAGGATCTGCCCCGCTGGAGTGGAGTGTCCACCAGGGATGTCCAAGCAGCCGGATCTGATCGTCGACAAATGCAGGACTGGTCACTACTGTCCAGCAGGAGATGTCAACCCCTACCCTGTCCCGTGTCCGAATGGCACCTACAATCCTGATTTTGGACGTAAACAAGTGTCTGACTGTGTTCAATGTACACCTGGGTCGTACTGTATTCCTGAAGGGTTATCAGCTCCTGCAGGAGATTGTCCTGGTGGTTACTACTGTCCATTAGGAACAGGTCCTCCTGAATCTTACCCCTGCCCAATAGGATTCTACAGAAATGGGTCAGCCAGAGAGTCGTTCCAGGACTGTACAGAATGTATCTCAGGTTTCTATTGTGACAGGGAAGGTCTGGCAACACCAATAAGCTGTCCACGAGGATTCTTCTGCGTCAGTGGAAGCACATTCCCTCAACCCTGTCCACTAGGTACATATGGAAATTCCACAGAGCTGAGAAGAAGCACGGACTGCACCCCCTGTCCAGGAGGCTACTATTGTGATGGCATCGGTAGAGTGGAACCAACTGATGTGTGTGATGCTGGCTTCTACTGCAGAGAAAAAGCTTACACCTCTGCCCCTCCTGATGGACCTACAGGAGGTGTGTGTCCAGCAGGAGGATACTGCCCACCTGGAACTGCCTATCCTGCATCCTGTCCAGTGGGTAAATACAGCAAATCTCCCGGGGCGAAGACCGAGTTTGATTGTATACCATGTGACCCTGGGTTTTACTGTGCAGGCTCCAGTAGTACTGATGCCTCCCAGAAGTGTGCTGCTGGCTACTACTGCACTGGTGGTTCTGGAATTGCAACTCAGTTCGACACCCCAGCTGGACATTACTCCACAGCAGGAGCCTTCAAACCTGAACCATGTCCAAAGGGTAGCTACCAGAGAGCCAGCCGATCTGGAGAATGTGACCTCTGTGCTCAAGGCTACTACTGCAATGGAACAGGAACGATTGAACCCATCCTGTGTCCAAAGGGCTATTACTGCCCCGAAGGAACAGACTTCCCCAATCCATGTCCAAGGGGCACCTTCCTGCCAGACGTAGGCCGATACCAGGAAGATCACTGTAACCCATGCACTCAAGGTGAAGCATGTGAATATGTTGGCCTGGCAGATCCAAACATCAAATGTATGCCAGGCCACTATTGTACCCTGGGATCAAATATATCCACCCCAATCGGCCTACCATTTGGAGATCTGTGTCCACCCGGATACTTCTGTCCTGAGGGAACATCAGAGTATGTGCACAGCCCATGTCCTAATGGAACTTACACCAACTATACAGGGCTCCAGGCAGAGGAGAACTGCACCCTGTGTGACCCTGGCAGAGTCTGCAATGGCTATGGTCTCACTGAACCTAATGGGGTGTGTGCTCCTGGGTACTTCTGCAGGGGTGGAGCTGGCACAGACAAGCCCAGTGATGGTGGTGCTACAGGGGACCCTTGTCCTAAGGGGAACTACTGCCCAGAAGGAACAGGTATGTTGTGTAGTGAATAAATACTTCTTTGGAGCACATTTCCTATTGCAAGAACTTCCTTCTAGTGTTAAAAACTAGGTTAGCTGAAAGACCATGAAGTTAAAACTTATGGAAAGGGCCACTATACTATGCCACTGTAAAATTCTCCCTAATTTCTAACATTGTATAACATGCACAGCCTGTACGAGATAGACCTTTGCCCTAACTCTGATGTTGATCACTGCATTGTCTGCATCTGCTGAAAGTGGCGTTAAACAATCAACCAACCAACCTAACTCGGTGCAACTGGGCTCAGTGGGTCATGTGGTTTTGTTAATCCCTATTTAGGACACTATTGATCCCTGTGTGGCAGACTAGGTCTATGGTTTTGTATCTTGCACTACAGAATTATGCTGGTAATATTTTAATATCTCAATGATGCAAATTCATTTACTATGTGTAATTTTTCATTAATGCCCATGAAGATAATGATTCTTGCGTTGTCTTGTTCTAGGTGAACCCCTACCCTGCCCGCCCGGGGTCCTTCAACAACGTGACAGGGAGAGACACCTGTATGGACTGCCCGGCCAGCTTCTTCTGCTCAGACGGTGAGATCCCACTCCGATGTCCGCCCGGAAGGTACTGCCCAGGAAACACCACCACTGACCAACCTAAGTGTCCCAGAGGAACCTACAACCCAGACTTCGGTATGTAATACCCAGCAGTAGTGTTATCAGTGCCATGCTCTTATAGAAATTCCTGCTAATGCTCTATTGGATGAATGAACTTGCACACTGCCATGGGCCATGTGTAGCCAACACACTTGAAGAGTTGGTTTGCCAAAATGAGGACTTTTTTGGGGGATTGTTTTTGTTTTAAAATATGAATTGCCTGTTTCTTATGTGATGTGCTGAACTTAATTCCACTTTCGTCTTGACATCCTCCTCTAGAAATGGCACATGTGGATGACTGTCGACCATGCAAAGGAGGCTACTTCTGTGATGCCCTTGGAGCTAAGAACTTTGACTTCAGTGAGAATGACACAGGCACTGGACCATGTGCAGCTGGATACTTCTGCAAACAAGGTAAGCTGACATCAGGAGCTGCTGTAGGCTTGTGGTGGTGGGAGAGACATCTTCAGACAAGGTAAGCTGACATCAGGAGCTGCTGTAGGCTTGTGGTAGTGGGAGAGACATCTTCAGACAAGGTAAGCTGACATCAGGAGCTGCTGTAGGCTTGTGGTGGTGGGAGAGACATCTTCAGACAAGGTAAGCTGACATCAGGAGCTGTGGTGGGAGAGACATCTTCAGACAAGGTAAGCTGACATCAGGAGCTGCTGTAGGCTTGTGGTGGTGGGAGAGACATCTTCAGACAAGGTAAGCTGACATCAGGAGCTGCTGTAGGCTTGTGGTGGTGGGAGAGACATCTTCAGACAAGGTAAGCTGACATCAGGAGCTGCTGTAGGCTTGTGGTGGTGGGAGAGACATCTTCAGACAAGGTAAGCAGACATCAGGAGCTGCTGTAGGCTTGTGGTGGTGGGAGAGACATCTGCAAACAAGGTAAGCTGACATCAGGAGCTGCTGTAGGCTTGTGGTAGTGGGAGAGACATCTGCAAACAAGGTAAGCTGACATCAGGAGCTGCTGTAGGCTTGTGGTAGTGGGAGAGACATCTGCAGACAAGGTAAGCTGACATCAGGAGCTGCTGTAGGCTTGTGGTGGTGGGAGAGACATCTTCAGACAAGGTAAGCAGACATCAGGAGCTGCTGTAGGCTTGTGGTGGTGGGAGAGACATCTGCAAACAAGGTAAGCTGACATCAGGAGCTGCTGTAGGCTTGTGGTGGTGGGAGAGACATCTGCAAACAAGGTAAGCTGACATCAGGAGCTGCTGTAGGCTTGTGGTAGTGGGAGAGACATCTGCAAACAAGGTAAGCTGACATCAGGAGCTGCTGTAGGCTTGTGGTAGTGGGAGAGACATCTGCAAACAAGGTAAGCTGACATCAGGAGCTGCTGTAGGCTTGTGGTAGTGGGAGAGACATCTTCAGACAAGGATTGTGGTAGACTAAGATCAGGATCTTTTGTAGACTAGGGTTGTGGCTGTTACAAAGTTCTACTTTTGTAGTTGAATTACATATCTCCATATAGTAATATTTTACAGTAACCAACAAATCTTTCAACAGACTTCATCTACATTTATATACTTCCATGTTTTACTCATGAACCACCATTTTTCATTTGCATACAAAGCAGTAGACCAAGCTGAGCTATTCACCTCAAATGAAGTCTACATCACTTTTAATCCACTGTATTTCCAAGGTGTGAATGTAAGCACTCCAACTGATGCAACGACCACTGGCATTGGAGGGCCATGTCCTACTGGTTTCTACTGCCCAGAACAGACGGAGGATCCCATTGCTTGCCCCAACGGCACCTACAGAGACGCCATCATGGGCACCAACCCCACCGACTGCCTGGACTGCAAACTGGGACAGTACTGTGGCTCAACAAACTTGTCCGACTCCTCGGGGCCTTGTTGGCCAGGCTTCTACTGCTATCGAGGAAACAATGTTCCAAATCCTACAGGTTTGTCAACACACTTTCTAAGATACTCATGATCAGTGCAAAGAAATTCTTGTCATTTACCTGTGCAAACTATTATTTCGGTCTGTAAACCTCCTAGTTCAGTGTTGTCACGTCTGCTGAATTTGGGTATTTAGAAGCAGTTATAGTAATAATGATAATAAAAGTAAAAGATATGCTATTTATTTATCCTTGACAGTTATTTTAGAAATATTTGTTGTGAAAAAAGTCCTTTGAAATCTAGTAAATGGCTGAGATAGCATTAAGTATTTAGTAAGCAAATGATATACAATTTAACACCTTATTCTAATTCTTGAACTGGATGTTTCTGTTGAGGAGAGTTAACTTATGGTCCTAGCGGTGTTTTGGATAATACTATAGTGTAATGTTGGCATTTTGCTCATCAACTGCAGAGAAGTGGGTGTAATCTTGGTGGTTCTGTAGACTTCAGATTTGACCAGTACCAGGTTTTCATTCATGAACACAAAGATTCAAATGCTGATGTGGAGCTTTCACTGTATCTAAGAAATCTTGAAAGTGCTCATCCTGAATCCAAAATGAATCTCCACCCCTGTAGGAGCTGAACCCGAGAAAGGAGGACCGTGCCCTGTGAGCCACTACTGTCCTCCTGGAACATCCTACCCCTTGGAGTGTCCAGCCGGAACGTACAACAATGTCACGGGAAGGGATGTCTGCTTCCAGTGTCCACCGAGCTACTTCTGTCCAGAGAATATCACCAACTACGCGCTGTACCCATGCCCTCAGGGACACTACTGTCCAAATGGTACAGCGTTCTCCACCCAGTTCCCGTGTCCTAGGGGCTACTTCAGGAACAGCTCCATGGGACAGTCACAAGAAGACTGTGTGCTGTGTCCTGGGGGGCAGTACTGTGGCACTGAGGGCCTTGCCTACCCGTCAGGTCTTTGTGATGAAGGTGAGGACAGATACGACTTCCAGCTGGTTGACTTGATGTTCTTTGAAAATATGTATTTCAGTTGAGAGAAGATGTTACATTTTAAGGTGACGTGGAACTTTTGATGGATGGCAACTTCTTTCTTCTTTTTTACAATGCTTCAGGATGACTTTGTGCCCCTTCATCAGCTGAGGGACAGTGGGGGATCCTTGTGGTTAGAATGTTAGCTTGTCATGCTGAAGCTCCGGGTTCAATTCCCCACATGGGTACAATGTGTGATGCCCATATCTGGTGTTCCCTGCCATGATATTGCTGGAATATTGCTAAAAGTTAAAACCCAACTCACTCACTCACTCATTTGGTGATTCATAAAATTACAAACCATAACACTGAAATGTTTCAAAGAAAAAGGAAGTTGTCATCAGTATAAGAGCTTCATTTCTTCATGTTCTTCTAAATACCTCATAAGACTTGTGCCACCTCCGTGATGTAGTGGTTAGACTGTCTGCCCGGATAGCGGAAGGTCGCAGGTTCGATCTTACCAAAAGACGTTAAAATATAATACTTGTTGGTCATGGCCTGGCGCCAGGCATTAGTGGGTACAACAAAGACTGGTCCAGTCGGAGTCAGTATAATGTGTCTTAGTGGGGTATACATGCTTAACTGAGGCATGGTATTGCACACACGTCGTCATATGAGTGAAATAGTCTTAAGTACGACATTAAACCCCATTTCACCTCACCTCATAAGACTTGTTCAGTATATATGAAATACTCACCCAGTTGTCGTGTTAAGTATGTTGAGTGGTTGTTCCACATAGGGTACTTCTGTGTGCTGGGAGCTTGGTCCAACAGGCCTACCGACTACAACAACTACACCTTCGACGACTGCCTGTGTCCAAGCAATGCGACTGGAGGGCAGTGTAGGCCAGGATACTACTGTCCAACCGGCTCTCAGGAACCCACCATCTGCAGGGAGGGACAATACTGTACCACACCAGGTGAAGCCTTCTTCTTTCATTTGTCACATTTACTGCTATATTTGAGGGTGGAAGGGTTACAGGATTCCCTCATCAAACCTGATTCAAGTCACATGTCCATAATTTGAAATTTAACCTTCAACTTATTCTGTTTGGTTGGATGGAAAATTTGTGTTTGACCTATTGTTGCTTTTAGGTGAATTCTTTATCTATTAGTTTGAAACAACCGTACGTTTTCATCACTTTAAACATTATATCCACAATAGGTATCATTGAAAGAAATATTGCTCTTAGCAAAAGCCAACAAGCTAAGTTCTATAGTGGATGTTGTACCATTAACTAGCTAGTGTAGATATGTCGCCTTTGGAGGCTCAGTTCTCTTGATTTAATGAGTACAACAATTCTTGATGACTTGAATTTATGTTAAAGTGTCTATATTAAACCTTTTTATGGTTTAGTACATCATGTGAGTGAATCTGAGTGTGAATGAGTGTCTGTGTGAGTGTTAAATGTTTACAATATCTGAGTATATAATATCATACCTCTAGTACGCCTACCAATAGCTTTTTGCTTAATGCTAAGGTAATCTTTCTTGTATCTCATCTGATTTGGGTATATAATATCATACCTCTAGTACGCCTACCAATAGCTTTTTGCTTAATGCTAAGGTAATCTTTCTTGTATCTCATCTGAATTGGGTATATAATATCATACCTCTAGTACGCCTACCAATAGCTTTTTGCTTAATGCTAAGGTAATCTTTCTTGTATCTCATCTGATTTGGGTATATAATATCATACCTCTAGTACGCCTACCAATAGCTTTTTGCTTAATGCTAAGGTAATCTTTCTTGTATCTCATCTGATTTGGGTATATAATATCATACCTCTAGTACGCCTACCAATAGCTTTTTGCTTAATGCTAAGGTAATCTTTCTTGTATCTCATCTGATTTGGGTATATAATATCATACCTCTAGTACGCCTACCAATAGCTTTTTGCTTAATGCTAAGGTAATCTTTCTTGTATCTCATCTGATTTGAGTATATAATATCATACCTCTAACATGAACCTCACTAGCAGAATAAGTATGCCTACCAATAGCTTTTTGCTAAATACTAAGGTAATCAATCTTGCTTGTATCTCATCTGATTTGGGCCAGCCACTACCTTGGTGTCTGGTTTTGTATGTACCGGTAACAGGGACTCAGACGTCAAATATTAATTACAAAAATAGAAAGAACATGATATGTCTGGATTGCTATGTAACATAAATCACAAAAATTTTATCTATGTGAAATATTGAGAGTAGAATAAATGGGATTTTGATTGCATATTCTTTCCTACTGGGTTCCTTTAATTGTTTGCTGATAAAAGAATATTTTATGTGTGAAACATTTTCTCTATCAATGTCGTTGTCTCAGGTCTTGCTGATGTGACGGGACCATGTAGAGCAGGCTACTTCTGCGCCGAGGGAGCCACTCGAGACGACCCCACGGATGGTGTTACGGGAGATATCTGTCCAACAGGGCGATATTGTGGTGAGGGAACCTTATTAATATACCTGGAACATTGCTGAGTGCAGTGTTAAACAACAAAACTATTAATTAAGTAGATAGATTCTCTTGTGGGAGAATGATGTAACCTTTGTTGTAGGGATTGGATATTTGATTGTAGAAAAAATTATATACCATTTGTCATAAGGATAAGGATATGCTATTATGAGAGAGAATAATATACCCCTTATTGTATGGATAGGTAGATTCTATCATGAGAAAATGATATACCCCTAACTGTATGGATCAGGAGATGTTATCATGAGAAAATAATATACCCTTTATTGTATGGATAGAGGGTGTTATTTGTAAAGATATAGTCACCATGCGCCACTTCATTGCCAGAATTATAGAGGGTAAGGACAGAGTGATATCAAAGATGTCTGCCACGTTATGATGGTGAGTATAGGAATGAGTTTGGTAAGGTTCAAGTTATGTACACAGGAACAGGAACAACGACTGACCAGGAGAAGTGTCCTCTGGGAACCTACTCCAACCGGACCGGCAACCAGGCTGCTAGTGACTGCACTCCCTGTACTGAAGGAATGTATTGTGGAAGCCTCGGTCTCACAGAACCTACAGGGCCATGTGACGAAGGTGACCCAGTAGTTTTGATAATTTATGATTGACTGTTGGATAGGAATGTGAAAAGTAACTGAAGCAAATCATGAAGTGAGCAAATATATTGACACTGTTGGCAAAGTGTGCACTTCTTATAATAATGGCATTATAGTTGATACTATATGAACAATAATATGAACAAAAAAATAGGCAAGATTGTTTTTGGTGGATGTTTTTATTAAATTGTTTGAATATTCTTTACCACAAAATATGCCCTAAATATTTACGATCTGTAACATGTTTTGTTCATTATATGTTGAAAATTATGATTTTGTCTCATCCTTGCAACAACTACATGTACCTGTGGAAGGTTTTGTAACTATGCCTGATTATGAGTTTGAATCCCATATTCCACTGTGATTGTTGGTGTGTCTGTACCATACCCATGGTTTAACCATAGGTGTAAACATCTACAGAATCAGTTTGCTTATTTCTGTCTCATTAACCTGACAAACATGATTGACACAGTACTCTCCGTCTGTTTGTTTCCAGGGTACTTCTGTCCCCCCGGCCAAAACCTGAGTAACCCGTTCCCCTGCACCACCGGTCACTACTGTCCCCCTGGCAGCGTCCAGCCAACAAACTGCCCCTCTGGGACCTACCAGGACAGCACTGGGCAGGGAAGCTGCAAGGAATGCGTGGCAGGTATGTACACACATTCACTCAGGTCAAACCTGTCTGGATATGTGGGCCTTCAAATACTTCGCTAATAGTTTAGCAAATATATTTACCCCTTAAGATCAATGAAAGAAATATTATCATCATTTACTATTTTCATAATATCTGCTTTTTCAGCTCATACCAAATTTCCTCTTTTAGAGAATTTTTGTTCAGTCTGATGTTTCAGTTTTGGAAATTTTATAATTTTTAGGTTGTTTGGTCCCTTTTTATTAGAATTGTCTGCTCTTGGTTATATCACCCTTTCTTTATAATAAACTTTTATCTTGATTTGTAACTCTTAAATTATTCGTCCAATGATGTTGGTGGCAACTAATGTGATTGTGTGGTGAGGCTCACTGACTTGGTTCATGGATGTCATGGTATAGATTGATACTCATGATATCAGTCACTGGATTGTCGGATCCAGAATCGATTATTTACATGACTGCCATCATGTAGTTGGAAAACTGTTAATTTTCAGAGAGATCGTCCCTTGGGGTACATATTATGCATTTTCCGCTGAAAAATGTCCTGTGACAGTTGTATCAATGTTTTTGAATAAAAAGATTGTACAATAAATAAACTCTTTATTTATTATAATGGACTCCTACCTCACGGAGTTACCTCCCCTTAGCGACGCGCACTAACTGGGTAGGCTCCTAGACCCGTGATCATCATTCCTTCTGCTGTCACGGCCGCGGAACAGACGCGGTACCTTATAAAACGAAAGTACCCATCTCATGAGCCGCACGGCACTGTTGAAAGATATGTCTGAGACACCACCACCTGTATGTTTGGTCTTTATTTGTCTAAAACAAGAACAGTAAAGCTTTTACAGTGGTTGTTTCATAATTGTGACTTTGTATTAATTCTAATACGCCGAACTTTCCGTGGTTTACGCAAGTAATTGCGCTTCGCCATGGCGGGAAGTTTAGCTGCGTCGCTGCGGTCGTATTATTGGCGCTTTTAAAACCAACTATTACTTTCCGCGGTAACCTTCACGTAGTTTTTCAATGTTTTCTACGCGGTTTATATGCTGCTGGCTGCCGCTACCTAACATGTTTGCGTGTTTGTTTCAGGCTTTTCATGCTGTTCGGTCTGTGGGGAAGTATCCCCGGGCCGACAGTCACTCCAGCTGGGCGCGGCCTGTCTAGAGAAGACAGGCCATGAAGCAGACTCATGTGCAATTTGTCTGGCCTTTTCCCCGGCCCAGAAGAGGCGGGCTGCCGGCACACTTTTCTACCGAGAAATGCGCGGAGGCGGAGGGGACCTGACGCAGGTTCCCCGCCAAAGACCAAACGCGGTTCCAAAAGGGAAAAAAAATCCCGCGGCCCTTCCCCTCCTGCCACTTCGAGTGGTTTTGACATGTCACTTATGGAGTCTATGTTTCAGCAGCAGATGGACTCGATGAGTCCTTCGTCCGTGAGTCGGTTGGAGGTCTCCGCAGGAGTTCCTCACCCACTCCGGACGGGGCGGAGAGTCCGGGGTGGGATCGCCAGCTGCTCGATCCTCAGCCTTGAGGCGCCTGTCGATCCGCTGCCTCTGGCTTCGATCCGACGCCTCGCTGCTCCGAGAGGGTGGTGCTCCCAGTCCCTCTCTCGAGCTTGGCGCTTTGGGCCGCTGAGTATTCCTGGTATTCCGTCCTTGCGCACACCCGCCCCTATGAGAGCCGGGAGGCACCAGTTCTGCCTGGCCTGCCTCCAGCGCCTCGGGACCGGGTCCACGCACGCCGGGCTGGCGCTGACGGGGAGCAGTCGGTCTGTTCCTCCTTCCTGTGGTGCCCAGCGCCAGGCAGTCCACCGGGTCGGGTTAGGGTCCTCTTACGGAGGAGACCCAGCCTCTGACTCGGCCTCGGACGCCGAGGCAATGGAGCTTGGGGAGGTCGAGGAGCATGACGGGCGGCTTCCGCTTTGCTTCGCCTTATGGCGGGAGGTCCGCAGAGAATTGCCGAGGGCCTACCCCAGGCCGCTGTGCCTGCTGGTAGCGCGGACTCGACTGAGTTCCGCTTTGCCTGGCGCAGGCGCTTTGCCCCTAGGGCAACCCTCACAGACGCAGCCCGCGATTCTGCCATCGCTGGTCTCGGACGGGTCGATCCCCTCTTGTCTGGTGCCCGAGTAAGGTTTGACTTACCTGAACTCGCAAGGGCGCTACCAGCTTGGGGAGGATTCCCTGTTCGCTGTACCCGATTGTTGACGAATGTGTTTTCACTTCCGCCGCCTCTGGGGAGGCTCGGCTTCCTCCGGAGCAGCCCGCTGCCTCGGCAAGGGCTTCTAACTCCACCTTTGCCCTCGCTGGCGCCTTCGCGCACGCTGCATCGACCTACGCAGGAGGTCTACCGGAACGCTGGCGCAGCAGGTGCGGGTGGTGGTCCATGAGGCCTACCTCACCTCGGTTCAGAGGTCGGCCCTGGAGGCGGAGGGGCATGCTGGCGACGGTCGCCGCGATGTCGCGGCTGCTCCGCCAGCTGGAAGTGCAGGCTCACCTCGCTACGACTCTTTGGCGGTCTGCTGCGCCGACGGTGATGTGCGCAGTCATGGGGATGCGCCGCTGTGGCTGTCGACGCCTAGGTACTCGGCAGCAACACAGCAGACCTTGCTGGCCCTCCTTTCCGCCTGGGAGCCACCTCTTCCAGGGCCCCAGCAGGTCATACGGGAGGCTGCCGCTGCAGCTACCTCCTTCAAGGACTCTAAAGCCTTGTTGGAGCACCCGCTGGTGTCTCGCCTCTCGCCCCCCGCTACCACCTTCCTCCGCCGGGTGCAGCCTACACCCGAAGTCTGCCGGGCTGGCTTCGCCGCTTGGTAGGGGTAGGCGGAGGAGTAGGTCCGCTAAGGGTAGGGGCAAGGAGCAGTCCTCGACTAGCTCCCAGCCTTTTGGGCGCTGGAGGTCTGCCCCACCTCCCCGCTAACCCAACAGGCTGCCGCCAAGCCGCGGTGTCACACCCAGTCAGCTCCGCTTACTAGGGTCCACGACGCCGCCCCTACCCCATATCCCAGTGGGAGGTCAGCTTCTCTATTCCTGCCGGAATGGGAGAAGGCTACCAACAACGCTTTGGGTGCTGGCCACGGTCAGCATAGGCCATCTCCCACTGTGGAAGCGGTGGTCCGCCCGACTTCACCGCATACGACGCGACTCCGTGCCGCCATGCCAGGCCAGGGCGGACATATTGCGCGACGGTTCAGGCTCTGCTGGACAAGTCCGCAATCGAAGCGATTCCACCGGAGAGGAACAGGCGGGATTTTACTCCACGCATTTCCTCGCCCCCGAAGAAAGACGGCGGGTTCCGTCCCGATTCTCAACCTCAAGGGGTTGAATCGCGATGCTCGGTACCATCCTTCAAGATGGAGACACTGCGCCGGGTGATCTCATCTGTTCAGCCCGGGCGATTGGCTCACGCCAATCGACCTAAAGGATGCGTGATTCAGATACCCATACATCCCTCGCTCAAGCAGTACCTCCGGGTTCTCTTTACGACGGGATGTATTACCAATTCAGGGTGCTCCTTCTTCGCATATCGACTGCCCCAAGGGTGTTCACCAAGCTCATGTTAGTCCCAGCTACCCTAGCTCGCCTTCGCAAGGAAGGCGCTGTTACCCTTACCTAGACGACTGGTTGCTCGGAGCACTAACACAGCCAGCGAAGTCAAGATGCTACTCACACAGTGATAGACATTCTAACTCGACTGGGGTGGATCATCAACCTCAAGAAATCCGACCTGGTACCCACCCAGGACTTGGTTTTTCTTGGAGCGCCATTCCAAACGAACAAGGATCTCGCTTCCTTTGTCGCCCGACCGGGTCACCAGAGTTCGAGATGGTATCTTCATTCCTCTCCCAGCCCCAGGCACCAGCACGGACTTGGCTCCGCCTACTGGGCCATATGGCGGCGAATGCATCTCTGTAGTGTGGCGGGCGCTGCTTGAGGATGCGCCCCATACAGCAAGCTTTGGCTCGGCTGTGGACTCACACGGAGGATCTGGAGCGCAGTCTCACAGTCCCCGAAAGTGGTTGACACCTCACCTTCAGTGGTGGACAAATGTCGGAATCTCACCAGGGGTTCCCCTTGGAAATCCCGACGCCAGCTCTCACAGTTCAGACAGATGCGCCCCTCACGGGCTGGGGGCGCTCTGGCAGTCTGTCGGCTTCCGGACTCTGGTCCGCCGGCTCACCTTCACATCAACGTGTTGGAGCTGAGAGCTGTGCGGTTGGTATTCGAGCGCCAGAGAGCATGTCCGCGGGCCAGGTAGTCCGCCTTCAGTTAGACAACCAGACGGCCATGTCGCATATCCTGAAGCAGGGAGGCACGGTGTCCCCAGCGCCCTCCGGAAGCGTGGACTTTCTCCTCTGGAGCCACTCAGTACGCATTGTCAGGTACTCCCTGTTTATCTCCCCGGGCTGGAGAACGCGCGAGCAGATGCGCCTTCGCCGGATCCTGGCCCCGCACGAGTGGATGCTCGACAGGGCAGATATTCACAGTAATCTCCCAGTTGTACGGTCGCTCGAGGTGGATCTGTTTGCGCCCGGGCGGGACGATCAGACACCCGTGTTCTGCTCTCGGATACCGACCAGAGGGCGCTACTGCCGACGCCTTCCTGCTGGATTGACGGGCAAAGTGCTCTGGGCGCTCCCCGCCGCTACCACTCATTCCCCGCGGTCCTTTCACAGCTGTCCACCCAGCCAGCTCGGCTACTTGTGCTACTGGCACCGCTTTGGCCATTACAGAGCTGGTTTCCGTAATTCTCAGGTTTCTGGCTCAGCCTCCTGTTCTATTACCTTTGCGACCGGACATTCTCACTCAGAACGGAGCTTCCACCCAAATCCACGGATTCAGTGGGTGGCTTGGCCTCTGTCAGGTCTAACCTCGAGGCACGCTGGAATTCCTGCAGCAGTTGCAGACACAATTCTGGCTTCGAGGCGGATTCGGCAAACGCTCAGTATGAGGATAGGTGGTCCCGCTTATGCGCCGCTGGTGTTCAGATAGGGCATTGCAGATCCCTTTTCTGCGGATTTAGTCCGAGTATTGGAGTTTTGCAAGCTCGCTTTGGAAGAAGGCCTGGCGGCTTCACCATTCGCGGGCTACTCCACCGCTTATTTCCACTTTTCACACCCCTGTCGATGGTGCTCTTCTGGGGCAGCACCCTCTCGCATAGCGCTTAGCTGGCGCTGAACGGATTCGACCTGCTCTCAGGCTTAACCAGTCCACCTTTGGGATTTGTCGATCGTGCTCGATTGGCTGTCCGTCCCACTTTCTCACACCTATCGGCTATTTCCATTCAGTTGTTGACCTGGAAAGCTGTGTTTCTGGTGGCGTAACATCTGGTCAAGAGTCGGGCGATATACATGCTATGTCGTCCGACCCGGGCGCTGACTGTGTTTCACACGGATCGTGGTCAGCATTCGGCCTCCCAGATACTTTACCGACCGGCCAAGGTCGATCACGCTTTCCATGTGACAGCTCCTATCGAACTTCCTACTCTTACCCAGCCTTCCACATCGGACCACTCCTACGCAGCACTCACCCGCTGATGTCCGTGAAGACGCCAAAGTCTATATCAAACTAACGCAGGGGATCCGTGACGGGTACCCAGCTGTTCTGTTGTTACGGTGGCGGAAGGCTGGTCTGCCAGCCAGCAAGCAAACTTTGTCTCGCTGGCTTGTTTCGTATTTTTGCCGCTTTATCAGGCTAAGGGCAAGCCTCCCCTGAGGGGTTGAAGGCTCACTCGGGTCAGGGCAGTAGCCGATCAAAAGCTTTTGCATCGGCACTCCCCATTGAAGAGATCTGCTCTGCCGCTATTTGGAGCCGCCAAGCACTTTTATACGCCATTATCAGCTCGATACACATTCACGCAATCGCGCGCAGCTTTGGTCGCATTGTTCTTCCAGTGGACAGTGTCCTGCCACCCTGACCAAGTGAGTCTTGGTTTATTGGTTTGTGTTGACGCTTACTGTACAATGATTCCATTATTGACATGTCTGCTACGAGCACTCAGAGAACCTGTACCCCTTCGATTCTCTAAGGAGTTACGATATCGTTAGTGAGTGGTATTTTTGTTTTCCCCACGGTGCTCTCATGAAGAAGCCACTTAGTGGGTCGGATTTCACTGACATTCGCACTACGCGCAATGTCTCATTATGCTAGAGGTCGCCTTTGAGCACAAATCCTCCTGTCAGTTCCTCCCATAATGCCTCTCGAAGCTTAAACTGGGTCGAAAGTGACAGGTGAGTGTTATGGCGCCTGTTCAATTTTTTTCCATGATACGATCGCTATATTTTGTGTGTGCTTGACAGAATTCCTCCTCCCTGGCCTCCGGGTCTTTGGGAGTCTGTGTTTATGCATAATATGTACCCCAAGGACGATCTCTGAAAAGAATTTTCCAAACCTGCAGAGGTTTTCAATTCTTTGAAGAGAGTCGCCCTTGGGTAGGGCCCACCCACCTCCCCGCAATTCTGTTCACTGATGAGAATTCAGCAGAAGGAATGATGATACGGGTCTAGGAGCCTACCCAGTTGGTGCGCATGCTTAAGGGAGGTAACTCCGTGAGGTAGGGTCCGTGATAATAAATAAAAGAGTTTATTTATTGTACAATCTTTTATTCAAAAACATTGATACAACTGTCACAGGACATTTTTCAGCCGAAAATGCATAATATGTACCCCAAGGACGACTCTCTTCAAAGAATTGAAAACCTCTGCAGGTTTGGAAAACAGATGGAACATATCAGAAGTCAACTCAAGCCGAGACCTGTGAACCGTGCGCTCCAGGGCACTGGTGTGATGGTGTGAATCCACCTAGTGTGTGCCCAGTGGGCTACTATTGCCCCGAGGGAACTGGAGTAGTTTACAGAAGTTGTCCCCCTGGAACGTTCAGCACTGCCACTGGTCTGTGGGATGTCTCTAACTGTACTCAGTGTACTGGAGGCTACTACTGTGATGCTCCCATGGCACAAACAGAAGCTGGGGAATGTGAGCAGGGATATTACTGTACAGAAGGTGCCAGCTCTCCTACCCCAGAAACAAATGCCACAGGCCTGTCAGGACCCTGCCCAGAAGGACACTTCTGTCCAGCGAAGACGGTCACTCCTCAGAAATGTCCCCTTGGAACCTTTAATCCAAACCAGAAGGCTGTAGATGTTACAAGCTGTGTTCAGTGTACGTATGGACAGTACTGTGGGGAGGAGGGTCTTGGAGCACCATCAGGACCATGTGATGAGGGATTCTTCTGTCTGGAAGGAGCAAAAAACGCCAACAACCCAACTCTGAACTCCTCAGGAGGACCTTGCCCTATTGGACACTACTGCCCAAATGGAACCTCCTATCCTCTTGGGTGTAATCCAGGAACATATAGTCCATCTACAGGTCTAGCACAGTGTCTGATTTGTCCAGCAGGATACCACTGTCCAGAGAATTCAACTGACTTTTCAGGCACAGAATGCCCAACTGGACACTATTGTCCAGAAGGAACGAAGGACCCCTACGAGCACCCATGTGAGCGAGGGACATACAACAACTACACCCGGAAGCAGAGTGCGTCTGACTGTATGACATGTGAGCCAGGCCACTACTGCGGAAGTCCAGGTCTGACCGTCCCGACAGATCTGTGTTCTGAAGGCTGGTACTGTGTAAGGGGAGCCTGGACATCTAAACCCACAGAGATAGGGAACTACACGGCCAACGACACGTCCTGCACCTGCCCAGCAGACATCACTGGCGGACAGTGTCAGCCTGGCTACTATTGTCCCCAAGGATCCAGTGAACCTCTACCATGTAAACCAGGTAAGTGTTGTTGGGAAGCTGGACAGCATCATCATTTTAAGGAATGGCAGGTTTGTGTACATGTAATTCCAAGAATTATGTTAATCTTCCATAAAACATTGTAGGTTGGGTCAGGAAAGGTGATTCTTCAGATCGAGTTTGTATTGCTCATTTTAAGAAACACTTAAAAAACATTTCACAGTAACTAAGCAGTAATTTGTGTAATTTTGCAGGATACACCAAAAATATATTGCTTTATGTTTTATTCAACACATTTTTACTTTAGTATGCAAATAATTACTTTTGATGAGGACATTGCGCAGGTCTTGCCAAGAATATTCACTTGTATTTTTTATTTATGTATGAAGTGCTTAATGTCACTTTCATTTCACTTGAATTTAGGTTTGTATTGCCACTAACAATGGCTGTGCTGTTATTTAGCTTACAGATATTTGTGTCGTCATATAGAGTAACCAATAAAAGTAACACATATATTCATGGTAGGTGTATAACAAATGTTGTGCCTGTCCACAGGTTATTACTGCGAGACTCCTGGCCTGGCAGATGCAACAGCACCATGTACAGCAGGGTATTACTGCACCCTGGGGGCCATCCGCCCTGACCCACAGGGAGATGCTACAGGGGGGACATGCCCCAAGGGAGCATACTGCCCTGAAGGAACTGGAGACCCTGTCAAGTGCCCACCAGGGTCCTTCACCAACGCTACAGGAAACACGCAATTCAGCGATTGCAGGTTGTGCTCTTCAGGTGAGGAGGCAGCTCAGGCTTCTGGGACCATAACAACAGGAAGGGCGGGATAAATGGCTTTGATATAAAGAGAGATTATTAGCCATATGCGTTTACATGTCATATTTATCACATGCTAAGAAGAAATTAATGGGATGACTTGTCATGCTGGACACAGCAAGCCAGTTCTTCACATGGGTGAAAAGGTTTGTTTTGCAAAGTCAGAAATGTTCATCCATGTGCTTTTGTTTAGAACCGTAACTAAAGTTTATCAAACAGCAAAAGAATAAAAACAAATCTATATAAACACATGACCACTATTACGGCTTGTCACATTTAATATTTTCAGCCCTGCTCTTACATATACTGCATAGCAAGTCCTTAGACACAATATTGGGTTCAAATCTTACCATATTTATGATAATTGGTTTGGCTGTACCAGACCCATGCTGAGGGATGTTTCTACATTGGTAAATGTCGGCTACTGCAGCACTTCAGGCCTTCTCCCCACATTAAGCTGACAGGCCTTGATTTAACAGAAATATCTAAATAAAACATGCTGCCCACACTTATGAGGCTGTATGTTGCAATACCTACCAGCCATGACTGATTGGAAAAACTTGGCGTTTGAACTGCTTTTGAATAGTATACTTCTTGAACAATGTTGTACTCCCTTGAAGGTGTTGTACTCCCTTGAAGGTGTTGTACTCCCTTGAAGGTGTTGTACTCCCTTGAATACTCATGTCAGAAGATCCGGGTTAGAATGAGTCTACAGCAACCCATGTTTGTCGTAAGAGGCGACTAACAGGATCGGGTGGACTGACTGACTTGGTTGGCGTACGTCATCATATACCAATTGCGTAGATCGATGCTCATGCTGCTGATCACTGGATTGTCTGGTCCAGGCTTGATTATTTACAAGACCACCACCATATAGCTGGAATATTGCTGAGTGTGGCATTAACAACAAACCAACCAACTAATGTCAGAAGTCTGTAAAACAGAGTTAGTGTTTCCTATTTGAGCATGCACTGATCACTAAATGCAATGCTATAGTAACTGTCAACTCAGCAGCAGCAGCCATGAGATGTGACTACACAGGTTGAGGTGATCAGGGTCAGTGATTCAGTTGGTTACATGTAATGATACATAGGGCTGCGCAATATAACCGGTTGACCGGTATTTACCGATTCAGACATGAAAACGATATGTACCGCGGTATTGCGATACGCTGATTGAAAACCGGTATTTTACTTGCATTCGGAAAACTTCGTAACACTCGGAAATCTTCGGATATGTCCTTGTTTCATTTGTGCCAAATACTATTCACATTTTTATTTTATCATGATTAAAAGTTGTTATTAAAGCTTAATCAAGCCTAGTGATTATGTTGTGTTTTTGCTCTATAAATCAAGAATTAACTCGATTATAAGTAGTTTTTTGTTTAAAAATACTTCATGCAATACATATCGCAATACATGCTTTCGCATCGCAATATATCGCAATATGAAAATTCTCTGCAATACCCACCCCTAATGATACACCAACAAACTAGGACATTACTGATATCAGTCACTGGTTTGTATGGTTGAGACTAGGCTATTTTCAGGCTCCCATTGTGTATGTCGAGGGAGGTGTGATGCAAAGAAACTGCAGTAGTATAGCGTGTCAATGCTTGTTTCAGGTTTCTACTGTGACAGTTATGGCCAGGAGAGTCCAACAGACTTGTGCAGTGAGGGTTACTACTGTCCAGAGGGCCAGAACACCAGCACACCCATCTCCTACATCTGCACACCCGGCCACTTCTGTGTCAAGGGGAGCAAGATGGAGGAGGCTTGTGAATCTGGGAAATACCAAGATGAATTTGGCAAGGTACTCCACTGAATACATGTGCCCTTTGTGGTATATTCTACATGGGATTTTAAATACAGTGGTTTATTGTAAGACAATTGCAGCAAAGCATATATTGTATGTTAACATTTTTTAAATGTTCTTTTTTTAGAACTATGAAGATCTTGGCAATATAGTAACAATGATCCAAAATAATACATAAAATGTAACTATAACTCTGATTGATTGAGTAAGCAAGCATATTATTGAGTAAGAAATATGGTATCATTCTGTCTCCTAGATGTTCTAGTTCCGTTTTGTCTTGTGTCCACTAGCCATGGTTGGATCAACATATTTTTGGATTAAATCTTGAATTTGCCATAATGATGATCTTTGATCAGTCAACAACCATGAGTTACAACACAAATCTGTGCCCGTACCACTTATGTTTCCCATGGCCTGATAGTACTGTGTAAGGCAACACTAAGCCAGAGTTGTTCACCCACATGCTTCCTTTACAGGCATCCTGCAAGGACTGCCCTGAAGGGTATTACTGTGATGGCACAATCCAGAATGACACAACTTGCAGTCATGGAGTGCAGAACCCATCGCCCTGCGAGCCAGGCAGCTACTGTCTACCAGGAACCAAGTTTGCCAAGGAGCACAGATGTCCCAATGGAACATACAATGACATCTTGTACCTGAAGAAGATTGATGAGTGTACCCCATGTCCTAGTGGGCAGTACTGTGGCCAGGATGGCCTGTCCTCGCCGTCTGGCTTCTGTGATGGAGGTTTTTACTGCCTGTCTGGTGCCTCTGTAGCAGCTCCTATAGATGGAGTCACAGGGAACATCTGCCCCAAGGGAGCCTACTGCCCTGTGGGATCTAATGCCTCAACACTGTGCCCTCCAGGAACATACAACCCTGTAGAAGGTAGGATCACTATATGGCTCAGAGGGGATTTTCAGGACACTTAGGAGTCTGATAACCCAGACTTGTTCATTGCCTCTTGTGACAAGACTTGGTGGCCGAGGATTAATTCTAAGCCAGAACATAATGTTGGTTGTTATAAGAGTTGACTTGTGAGGATTAGTTGTCACAATATGTGATCTTGCTGATTGTGTAACTAACATCATGCCCTGATTGGGACTCATTCTGTCAATCACTGGTTCATTTAGGATAGGCTGCATTGACATGGCTAACATGTGGCTGACTGTAGGGCACATCTACTTATGCTTGTAATATGAAGTCTTATTAATATTTCATTATCATTTTGAGGGCGTTGGGGTAGCCTAGTGGTTAAAGCGTTGGCTCGTCACGCCGAAGACCCGGGTTCGAATCCCCTCATTAGTACAATGTGTGAAGCCCATTTCTGGTGTCCCCAGCCGTGATGTTGCTGGAATATTGCTAAAAGCGGCGTAAAACTAAACTCAGTCAATCAGTCATTATCATTTTGAAGTATATCTTATTTCTTACCCCCCCAAAAATGTCCCCCTTTTCAAGATGATGTGTAGCATTTCTTCTATTGCCATCCCTTTGCTTGTAGGTCTTGAGTTCCTGCACCAATGTAAGGGATGTGAAGGTGGTCAGTACTGCCCAACATCAGGTATGGTGGCACCTGCTGGAAACTGTACAGAGGGATACTACTGCTCAGGCAACTCAAGTTCAGCAACCCCGACCGACAACACCACAGGAAATGAATGTCCCGTTGGCCACTACTGTCCAGAAGGAACAGCCTATCCCATAGCCTGTGACCCAGGAACATTCACAGATGTCACCAAGACGAAAAAATGCGAACTCTGTACACCTGGTCACTACTGCATCACTGGTTCAAATCCCGATCCATGTCCAGCCGGGTTCTACTGTCCCGAGGGCACTGGTTATGTCTGGCAATCCTGCCCAGCTGGAACCTTCGGCCAGTCAACCAGTCTGTCCACTCTTAGCCAGTGCTCGCAGTGTACTGGTGGATTCTACTGTGATGTGGCCAACCTGACTGCTGTGTCTGGACCTTGCGATGCTGGCTACTATTGTAAATATGGCTCCGATTCCAAATCCCCGACTGGTAATGTCACAGGGGATGCAGACGTCTGTCCAGTAGGCCACTACTGTGAACAGCAAACACAAGACCCTGTTCCTTGTCCTGCAGGAACCTTCAACAACCAGACCATGAGGCGATGCATACAGAAGCGGCCGGTGGCTGACAGCAGAGATCGCCATGCAGCCTTGATGCCTCTACTGGGGCTCCAGCTGTCATGCATGAGAGAGGGCACCGAACTTAAAATTAAGCACAATATCATGGCCATGCGATGGAGGGGCCACTAAGGTCGAGCAACTCCCGAGCTTATCAGGACGATACACAACATTGTGACCACCTCAGCAGAAGGGCCTTAATCGGCTAGTTCGTCATCATCTCCTGTATCTTAAAGGACACGGAAGTCGGGCGGCTAGCGCCGCTCCCCAGGGTCGGGAGAAAGTGATTTGAAAATGATTCTGAAGCTGTCCTAGATCTGACAGATGTTTTTGTTTTTATGATTGTATGGCGCAGAGGCATTGTTCCTTTGGCCTAAATAGATCTAGAGCCCATCAATGGGACACTTATCGCCAGATTTACGTATTACGACCTCACAGAGATGATACAGGATGATCTACTCGGCCCTACTGATGCAAAAGAAGGACCAGCAGTTCCTTACAGATCATCTCATCTGTATCTCCAGCAGTGACTGACCTTTAGCTTCGTCAAGTCAAGGCCTCCTGGCGCTTCCTGCAGCTGGGGTGAGAACTTTATAAGCAGCTCCACTCTATATACAGCCCCGTGGTCATCCCCAAACATCTTTGGCGGAGGAATAGACAAAGTCTCAAAGGGAAGTCACCAAGGACTCCAGAGAAGTCCTTATGATCAAAAATTCGATGGACACGCTGCAAAGCTGCCATCAGGCAGACTTCACAAAGATGCCAGGGAGATCTAAGTTCTGGCGGGGCTGCACAGAAGCCGCGGGATAGGAAGATGAAAAGCCAGCGCCAGAAAGATTCTTTTAAATTAGCCCATGTAAGCAACTATAGAGAGGGTCAGAAGAGCCAGGACACCCAGAGGTTCCTATAAGCGTTGAAAGACAGGTTCGGAGCGACTGGGTGCTTCTGCACTCCCAGCCAGTTCTACAGTACAAGCCGTCACAGTGGGTGGACGCCTCCAACTACACTGGGAGAATCTGTTAAAGGAACCACTTATAAGGTTCCTGTTCTTCAACCACGGATTTCGTGTATCCCACACAGGCCACGCCTCCGCTTCGACAGTCAACCATTACAAGTTCGAATTTACAGGCACAGCAACTAACCAAAGTTAAGAGAGAGGCGGTTACATCACTCATAACCAAGCAGCCATAGAAGTACTAGATCAAGTAGACATCGAACCAGGCTTCTACTCCCCGAAGTTTTCCTAGTACCCAAGAAAACTCCAAGGAGAAATACAGACTCTTTACAACGCTGGCTTTTCAGCAGGAATTATCTTACGCAAACCACCAAAGTTTACGATGATACACCTTCTCAGTGAAGTTACGGCAGTTGATTAGCCCCATGGATTACATGGCCAGTATAGATCTGCAAAGCTGGCTTATCCATATCCCGGCTAATCCCTAATCCGGAAAGCCATCTAAGATTTACACTAGATTCATTCCTTCAACAACCAGACCATGATCAAGGCTCTCTCTGAATGCCAGGACTGTTTGCCAGGCTACTTCTGTGATGTGCCTGGCCTGGATTACCCAACAGGACTGTGTGAGGAAGGCTTCTACTGTGCTGGTGGCTCTATCTCCTCCAGGCCGGCCACGGTCACTACCACCGGAGGACCCTGTCCTACTGGGACATTCTGCAAGGAAGGATCGAGCCAGCCCACGGACTGTCCTCCTGGGCACTACAATATCAATGAGATGCAGTCCAACTGCACAGCATGTCCGGCAGGCTTCTACTGTGAAGCTGGGGCTCCAAACAAAACAATATGCCCCAAAGGTAACTCAACATTGTGTAATGGCTAGTTGTATCTTAAAGGACAGTAAGAGAAAGTGATTTGAAAATGATTTGTCCTAGACTGACAGATGTTTTTTTGTTTTTTATGATTGTAATACATTTTAAAACCAAGCCTACTTTCTTTAGGAAGTAAGCTATAGTGTTTCGCCTGCATGTTTGAAATTTGAATCTCCTACTAGTGGAAGATAAATATTATTTGAAGGGACATTGCACCAACTCGCTCACATACGTGTCCATTATCTTTCAGGATACTATTGTCCAGCGGCCACAGAATTCGCACACCAGTTCCCCTGTGGAAACGGAACCTTCAACAATCAGACCCAGGCCTCTACATACGATGCTTGCCAGATATGTCCAGTGGGTCACTATTGTCCAGGAGAAGGCAACGAGGAGCCAGCAGGGCTGTGTGCAGGAGGCTGGTACTGTTCCCTGGGGTCATGGACCGACAAACCCTCCATCCTTGGCCTGGACTCAGGCAGTGATTGCTCCTGCCCAGCGTCTAGCATAGGAGGAAGGTGCAATGCTGGTCAGTTCTGTCCCCCTGGGTCGGAGTCCCCCAGGAGTGCCTGCCTGGTCATTATTGTGATGTCGATGCCCTGTCCAACGTAACTGGTGAATGTGATGCTGGATACTACTGCAACATTAGTTCAACTTTGAAGAATCCTGTGAATGAGACCTTTGGAGATATATGTCCAAAGGGCCACTATTGTCCTAGAGCTAGTTCCTCACCTATAGCATGCCAAGAAGGAGAGTACAGTGACTGGTTCGGCAATCACAACATCAGCAGTTGTCTCCCTTGTACTGCTGGTATGTACTGTGCTGGTCCTGGTCGGGACCTTCCTAATGGTGACTGTGACGTAGGTTGGTTCTGCCCCGAAGGAAGCATTCAGCCACAACCACCAGGAAATAAATGTCTTGCAGGTCATATGTGCCCACAAGGAAGTGGCGTTCAAACACCTTGTCCATCAGGACAGTATCAGCCAGATCCAGAGAGAGGAGAGTGCTTGATCTGCCAGGGAGGAACTTACTGTGATCAGAATGAGGCTATCACTGAAGAGCAGAGTGGAGTTGGAGCGCCTTCTCATGGAGTTGTAACCCCCAAGGTCTGCCCAGCCGGGTTCTACTGCCCCAATGGCACCATGACAGCACGACAGAATCCTTGTCCTTTGGGAACATACAGCAACACAACAGGTCTTGAGAGTCTTGGAGAATGCAGGGACTGTCCAGCAGGGTTCTACTGTGAGGCAGAGAACATCACTGAACCAACGGGGCAGTGTACAGCAGGATACTACTGTGTTCTGAAATCCACATCGCCCACACCTGCACAGTCAGTATCAGGAGGACCATGTCCACAAGGAACCCACTGTGTACAAGGATCATCATGGCCAGAACCATGTCCCAAGGGAACATTTGGTGATAGGGACAAGCTCCCATCTGAAGCTGATTGTACCATCTGCCCGCCAGGAGAATTCTGCTCTCACTCCAGTTTGTCGGCCCCTAATGGATCATGCCTTGCTGGTTACTATTGTAGTAATGCATCAGAGGAAGCTAACCCAGTTGGTCAAGTTTATGGAGACGAGTGTCCAGCCGGTTACTACTGCCCAGAACACAGCTACCAGCCAACAGCTTGTCCAGCCGGAACCTACCAGCCTCATGCACGCAGAACCAATATGTCTGCTTGTAATGCCTGTGATCCAGGGAAGTATTGCAACACTACCGGACTACCAGCTGTATCTGGAGACTGCGATGAAGGCTTTTACTGCACCTTGGGTGCCAGTTCGCCGGCTCCTTATGATGGTGTGACGGGCAACATCTGTCCAGCAGGATCCTACTGTCCTCTCGGCTCTCCACAACACTTCTTCTGTGCCAATGGTACCTACACCAATCACACGGGAGCGGCTGTATGTTATGACTGTCCTGAAGGTCATTACTGTACCAACAGGGACCGAGCTGACCCCTGCCTGCCTGGCTACTACTGTCCATACAAGACCGGGGCAGACCTTCAGCCTTGTCCAGCTGGCACCTACAACCCAGTTGAGGGGATGAGCTCAGTCGGGCAGTGCACACAGTGTGATGGTGGCAAGTTCTGTCAGACTCCTGCTCTGTCGGCTGTCAGTGGAGACTGTGCTGCTGGATACTACTGCAGACTGGGTGAGTTACTTTGACAGTATCTTCTTAATACGATCTTTCACTCCATTACAGCAACTCTCTGCATTATCTCACAACACCTCCAGGGAAGGTGGAATCAGTCGAACCCTGTACAATCTTTGATTGCCCTAATGGAGAACGATAGCCAGGTCTTTAGCCAGGGTGTAATTTTCATCGCTATCATTCATATACATTCATTTCTTTATAACCTCCATGTTAATGTAAGCAAAAGAAGCCACAATACTGATTTGCTGCATTGCATTGTATTAGATCTGATTTAATGTAGGCTTCTCCTATGATGCATGGACTATGAATTCAGTAAAGTCAGCTCAATTTCTTGTTATTGATGATGTTCACTATGATGTTATTGATGATGTTGACTAATTATAATTCTGTAGGTGAGGAATAACATTTTATAATATTCAAAACTAACAAACATGTTACCTTTTAAATTAGTTATCTGTTTAAGTCCCTTAGAACATCTTTGACTTATTAGAGTGAAGGTTTATATAAAACAAATTTCCTTAGAAGAAGATTGTGTCCTGAGTTCTCATGTAATTGTGTTTACATATCATGCCTTATTTTATATACTGGACAAAATAAGTTAGGGATATTGGTACTTTTATGATTGATGTTTTATCAGTGTGTCAATGAATAAATAGATCATTATTCATAATTTCAAAATTTACACATATCCCTAACTATTTTTGTCCAGTATATTAATAACCTCACTGCATATACTTCAAGGTAATGCTTTAAAAACAGAAAACAAACCGATATTGAAACGTCCTGAATGGTGTCCAGCCATGTCTGTATGACCTGTGTTTGTGTTCCCCATGCAGGTGTGGACACTGACAAGCCGTCCAGCAACCACACAGGTGATGGTGGAGAGTGTCCCCTTGGCTACTACTGTCCAACAGGCACCACGGACCCCCTCTCCTGTCCACCTGGCACTTACAGGTGAGATGGGAAACTTAGCTGAACAAAATTACAAATTTCTTTGACTGTGTCTGTTATATCCAAAAATAGTATTTATCAATATAAGATGATTTCAAGAAGAAACAGCATTGATCTTATATTTTATCAGGGTTTTGGCTGACAGTTATTAAGATATCACTACCTAACCTGAATCCATACCCTCATAAGTAGGGGATGGTGGGGTAGCCTAGTGGTTAAAGCATTTGCTCATCTTGTAAAAATGTTGAGGATCCAGGTTCGATTCCCCACATGGGTACAATGTGTGAAGCCCATTTCTGGTGTCCCCAGCCGTGATATTGCTGGAATATTGCTAAAAGTGGCTTAAACCAAACTCACTCACTCACTCACTGAAGTGGTTGTGGTTGTAATTCATCCAATGAGTTGTGAACTGTTTACCTTTGTTGCCCTTCAGTGACAGTCCCCTGCAACAGAACTGCACCATGTGTCCCAAAGGCTACTACTGCCTGGAGAACTCCACCAGCTTCTCAGGTCAGCCATGTCCAGAGGGCTACTACTGCCCTGCAGGCACGGCCAACCCCTACGAGAAGCCCTGTCCTAAAGGATCCTACAACCCAGCCAGTGGCAGCGATGGAGAGGAGGACTGCCTGGTCTGTCCACCTGGACAATACTGTCAGAGTAAGTATCGTCTTGGACCGCTTTCCACAAATCAGTCGTGGGGTTACATCAGTCATAAGTCTATGATAGAGTAAGGAGTTATGATCACATTAGTGCTAAGAACGCTTCGTGAAAAGATCCCTGGAGACCTAACATCATGCTGCTTTTGTCGTATTTGCATTGATTTTTCAATCTTTATGTAATGCTTCTTGAGTTTGAAAAGAAGGGAAGTCTTATGTTTGCATACATTACAAATGTTTAAAAATGAATAATGAATAAGTAAACATACAGAGAACTAGGAATCTTTACTGACATTCGATGTCTGTGTTTCTTCAGTTGATGGTCTTGCTGCACCTTCTGGCAACTGCACAGCAGGCTGGTATTGTACTGGAGGAGCCTACATGGCAGAACCGGTGACAACCATCAACGCCACCAGCCTCCCAGACTGCACCTGCCCTCTCACCAACTACACTGGTGGCAAGTGCTGGCCAGGTGGGTTCATCAGTTCCATGGGATATTGGGGTCATCCTAGCTATTGTTATGAAATACACAATGCCATTTTAGTAAGTAGTCAAATGTAACATGTGTTAATATTTTGGGATTACACTTTCTTAGTAAAGTACAGATTCTAGTACTTTTTGGGTTGAGTCCCATCCGGGATTCAAACCCACACCTTCAGAGTCAGGCACCTAATCGCCAGCACACAAAGTCAGACGCCTAGACTGCTCAGCCACCGCAGCTTCCATAAGTTCTTTTTTCAAGTTATCAAGTTTTCTAAATGCATTTTAAGAACCCTCAAGGTTGATGAAGATGTTTGTGGATTGTACTATGTGTTCTGGTTATTGCAGGCACCTACTGCCCCGAGGGATCCCCCTACCCTGTGACCTGTGATGGAGGGATGTATTGCAGCCTGTATGGACTCACACAACCTGAAGGCCTCTGTAATGCCGGCTACTACTGTAGTGGAGGAGCAGTGAGGCCAGACATACCCTCCAACATATGTCCCACGGGTAAGTCATGTCAACATATGTCCCACAGGTAGGTCATACATACCCCAACACCTGCCCTACAGGTATGTCATACTTCCAACATATGTCCCACAGGTAGCCTAGGTCAGACCTGCCAACATTTGCTGCTCAGGTATGTCAGCCATACCTGCTCTACAGGTAGGTCAGACATGCTCCTACAGGTAGGTCAGACATATGCTCCTACAGGTAGGTCAGACATATGCTCCTACAGGTAGCTCAGACATATGCTCCTACATGTAGGTCAGTCAGCTCCATAGGTCAGACATATGCTCCTAAAGGTAGGTCAGACATATGCTACTACAGGTAGGTCATACATACGCTCCTACAGGTAGGTCAGACATGCTACTACAGGTAGGTCAGACATACGCTCCTACAGGTAGGTCAGTCATACCCTCCAACACCTGCCTACAGGTAGGTCATACATATGCTCCTACAGGTAGGTCAGACATATGCTCCTACAAGTAGGTCAGACATATGCTCCTACAGATAGGTCAGACATATGCTCCTACAGGTAGGTCAGACATGCTCCTACAGGTAGGTCAGACATATGCTCCTACAGGTAGGTCAGTCATACCCTCCAACACCTGCCTACAGGTAGGTCATACATACGCTCCTACAGGTAGGTCATACATATGCTCCTACAAGTAGGTCATACATATGCTCCTACAGATAGGTCAGACATATGCTCCTACAGGTAGGTCAGACATGCTACTACAGGTAGGGACCTGTGAAGATCCGGGGTAGAATAGGTCTTCAGCAACCCATGTGCTTGCCATAAAAGGCGACTATGCGTGTCGTAAGAGGCGACTAACGGGATCGGGTGGTCAGTTTCGCTGACTTGGTTGACACATGTCATCGGTTCCCAATTGCGCAGATCGATGCTCATGCTGTTGATCACTGGATTGTCTGGTCCAGACTCGATTGTTTACAGACTGCCGCCATATAGCTGGGATAATGCTGAGTGCGGCGTAAAACTAAACTCACTCACTTACTACTACAGGTAGGTCAGACATACGCTCCTACAGGTAGGTAAGTCATACGCTCCTACAGGTAGGTCAGTCATACCCTCCAACACCTGCCTATAGGTAGGTCAGACATATGCTCCTACAAGTAGGTCAGACATACCCTCCAACACCTGCCTACAGGTAGGTCAGACATATGCTCCTACAGGTAGGTCAGACATGTGCTCCTACAGGTAGGTCAGACATATGCTCCTACAGGTAGGTCAGACATGCTCCTACAGGTAGGTCAGACATGCTCCTACAGGTAGGTCAGACATGCTCCTACAGGTAGGTCAGACATGCTCCTACAGGTAGGTCAGACATATGCTCCTACAAGTAGGTCAGACATACCCTCCTACAAGTAGGTCAGACATTCCCTCCTACACATGCCCTACAGGTAGGTCAGACGTATGCTCCTACAGGTAGGTCAGACATATGCTCCTACACATGCCATACAGGTAGGTCAGACGTATATTCCACCACCTTCCCCACAGGCATGACAGACAAATGCTCCAACACCTATCCTACAAGGAGTTGTGTAGGAAACTCTGCTCACTCAATCATTTCTTTATGAATGGTAATATTAAACTCGCCAGCTCAGCTTGTGATGCCTTGCATTGCTCCTTACAGGATTCTATTGTGAGAAAGGTTCCTCCACACCCAGCCCCTGTCCAGCAGGCACGCTGTCCAACACCAGCGGTAACATGAACATCACCGACTGCATCCTGTGTCCTCCTGGTTACTACTGCGCTGGCACTGCCAACAACTTCAGCACAGGGCCCTGCTCAGCTGGATTCTACTGTCCTGCTGGCCAAAGCTCCCCTAATCCTGTGGACTATAACTGTACAACAGGCCACAAGTGTCCCGAGGGGACAGGCAAGCCAGTGATGTGTCCCGCAGGGTTCTACCAGGACGAGACCCAGATGAGCGACTGCAAGGACTGTCCTGCTGGAAAGTAAGGAACACTTTACAATAGCATCTGCTATGATTATACCTGCCATGAGATCATAATGTTGTTGTGCTGGTTGATATATCTCACTCACAGCAGTATTCCAACAATGTCATGAAGGCATGTAAACAATAATGTCTGGATCAGACAACCCTGTTATTGATAGTTTGAACAACATGCAATGCCAACAACAGTGAATGGACCTAATTACCATTGTATGACCCTGTTTAGTTACAGTGAAAATAAATGGTATAGTATGACCAGAAATTATTGAGAATTTTAGGAATATGTATAATTGGATTTCTAGTATAAACAACCTTGACCAGCTATCAAGTGTTTGGTTTCATTCAAGAGAGACAACTCCGTTAATCCTTTTTCATTAGTTTGTGAAGAGTTAGCCCCCTTTGTTTACTTGCTAGCAGACGACATTTTCAGTGATCCTCAGTATGGATGATTTAGAGAAGAGGAAGTTGATTTTAGAGTATTATAACAAGGACATCAGATCAGCTAAAGTGATTTCAAGTAGAACAGGCATCCCTTTGTCCAGTGATTATTGTGTTTTGAAAAATATTGCAAATGGATATGGCATTGAGCACCAGGGAGGCGCAAGTAGGCCCAGAAAATTGACTGTCAGTGACAGGAGGCGGCTTGGTATTCTTGTTTCTAAAAACAAACAAAGAGTTTAGAAAACTTAAGGCTGGATATGATTGATAGAGGAGCTGTGGCTGTCTGTAAGGAGACAATTAGAACTGAGCTGCATGTAATGGGTTGGCAGAAAAGTCCGAGGAATTCCATCACCAATCATGAAACCTGAACAAAAGGAGCTAAGGTTGAACTGGTGCTTACAGCATAGATCTTTAAATTCTCAATAATTTCTGGTTGTACTGTAAAATCTTACTTGTGTTTCCCTGATCACTTCAGTTTATGGTACTATTAGCATACTGAATGTGTTCAATGTTAAAGCCATTAAATGAATTGACTGATTTTTATGTATGAGTATATCTGGATGGTATAATGTTCACTTCCTGTGTGGTGATGTATTAACGATTGTTTGTGGTATGTAGATACTGTGACCCTGTAGAAGTAGCGAATTCAACGGGTGACTCTGACAGTGGAGTGACGACTCCTGCCCCCTGTCCCCCAGGGTACTTCTGTCCCCTCAACACGGGGGTGAAGACATCCAGCCCCTGCCCTACAGGTACATACAGTAACGAGACTGAACTACAGACAGATGCTGAGTGCAAGCCCTGCACTGGAGGATTCTTCTGTGAAAATCCAGGTAGGTCATGAATATTAACTAGAGGTGAAGTTCTCCATCAGACTAATTTCCTTTCGCTGTTAATATAGAACTTCACTTTTAGGAAGTATACTGGCTACTGAACAGTTATTGCCATATTTTAGCAGCATTTACAAAATTACTCTGCTGTTTGTTAAATTAATGAAACAAAATTAATCATGATACTTAATTAGCTATTCACCAATGTGTCCAGCCATTCACTGCTGCTGATCATGTTTATATATAACGCAGCGGAAGGGAATCATGGCAGTATAAATAGATGTTTTCTCATTACTAACTGTAACAGTTATCGGCATTTAGAATTTCTCATGCCATTCTTGAAATAATATATATATTTATGTCATACAATATCCTCCAATAATTGATTGTGTGACTATTGAGTGTTTGTTAAAGTAGATTGATAGGGAATAAAACAATTAATGACTTGTGAACTTGAACTTGCTATTATATAGGTTGTGGGACATCCCCCCTGACTAAGTTAAATATTTTTTATAGGGTTCATAACTTTATCGTTAATTTTTCTCTTATGTTACTTGCTGTGAAAATTTTTCTTTTGCTGTCCTTTATTGTTGTTAAATACCGTGGGGAAAAAATACCGGAATTGTAATTGACTGGAACTGCGCACGTGTAATACTGAAGTATTGGCGATAACTGTTATGCGGCGATGACTGTTTGCTAGCCAGTAGTTTTACTATCCCTGATACACAAAACTGATTCTCATAATGTGTCAAGGGTATTTTTTAAAGTATGACATAACTGATTATCCTTTCAAAAGTAGTATGATTTAGTTTTGCCAGCCCAATCAGTTCATTATTGTGTTTTTGACTTTCTGTTTATCCTGTCCATAAACGGACATGTTTGTACACCACTTTGTACACCATTTTTCATTTATTCTACTGTAGTGTTGGTGATCAATGCTTATTGTTGAAAGCAGCCATCTTGTATATATGAACTGTTTGCAAACTACGTTTTGAACACATGAAGTAATCATTTAGTCATTTTGGCTTTTTGGCTTATAACAAGATGTTGATACCTTGTTGAAATAACTTTTGCTTCTTTTTCTAGGCTTGACCGAACCAACAGACATGTGTGACTCTGGCTATGTGTGTGTCAGTGGTTCCCAGACGGCTCGGCCCACCGATGGCACCACTGGAGATGTGTGTGAACTGGGTGCCTACTGCCCCAAGGGATCTGACCAGGCTGTCAAGTGTCCCGCCGGCACCTTCAGTGACCGCACTGGACTGCAGAACATCACCCAGTGCCAGGACTGTCCCCCCGGAGACTACTGCAACACTGAAGGTGGGAGCTTGTTGCTGCATTGTTGGTTATTATTAACAGTGACAGAATGTTGAATATACTGCCTCAGTGTCATCTCAGGACATTTGTATGTGCAGGGGTGGAAATAACTTGATAGTTTACTCCCGGTACAGTGACACATGCAAAGTCACTTGCCCTGATAATTTTCCCACTATACTGACCGTTTTCTTGCTGATTTTTTAAATAAACAACATAATTAACATTGGAAAGTCAACTGGACACCGGTACAGTGTGATATACAAATTTGCTTGCCCAACAGAAAAAAACACTGGACTCGGACATCGGGCAATGGGTTATTTCCACCCTTGATGTGTCTGTTCTACCAGGTCAGATCTATCCAACAAACCGTAATTCTGATGGCTTACATTTTAAGGCCTTGTTATCCATGCTAGCACTATAAACTAGCATTAGTCAGGTCTTGGAGAGACAGTCACGCCAAGTGCTATAATCTTAACGTTAGACTCGACGACCAGGACTGAGTGGTGAGGTTCACAGACCTGGTTGATGCATATCATTGTATGTGTAGATTGATGCTCATGATCTCAGTTACTGGTGACCTGTGAAGATCAGAGTTAGAAGTGGTCTTCAGTAACGGGTGGATACAGCTTTTTGAGAAAGAGGGGTGCACAGTTAATTTTCACCCGTTTTCATGAGAGTTTCAATGGTCATTTAATAAACTTTCGTGACAAAAAGGGGGTGCGCACCCCCTCCTCTGTATCCGCCATGAAACCCAGCTATAATACTTTATGGATAAAAACTATAATACTTTATGGATAACAACTTATTTATTTGTTATGATGCGCCGTTTCAGTATAGCTTCTTATACCGTTGTCAAGCAAGAGTGGAACAGATCTTGCTGACCTGGTTGACACATGTCATTGTATATCCCATTTCCGTAGATTGATTCCACCAATTTTTAACTGTTGGATGCTTAAATGGAAGTTTCATAGACTCTGCCATCTCTTCCAGGCTTAACTCAGCCTGTTGGCAACTGCAGTGCAGGTCACTACTGCCCACTTGGGGCTGTGGAACAGAACCCCATTGGTCAGACATATGGAGACTACTGCACCAGTGGCCACTACTGCCCATCCGGAACAGGAAGCCCAATACCCTGCCCAGCTGGAACCTACCTCCCCGACACTGGACACGACTCTGTGGACGACTGTATTGACTGTCCAGGCGGCAAGTACTGTGAGCGTCAAGGACTCTCCAACTTCACAGGTGGGTGGAACAGGGAACTCACTTCTCTCATGTGTCTGCTGAAACTGGAATAATGCATAATAATATAGAGATGAACTGGTGTACCTCATTGGTTATGAGAGTCACAGATCATAAAAAAACATCTCATAAGATAAGAAAAGGCATCTGCTACTTGTTGTCCCGAATCCCTTTGAAATTGTAAATCCAGAGTTGCCAAATCATGACCCGTTATTTATCAGTCACAGTCTTCAGCAGAAGTGATCACTGGATCAGATTTTATTTTTACAAATTGCCACCATATAGCAGGAATATTGCAATGTTAAATAACAAGCAAACACAACAGAACTGCTGATTCAACATGGAGTTGGACAAGAGACAGGAAACCCATGTGTTGCTACATGTAAATTGTCCTTCACATGTGAAGCAGCAGACTATCTGAACAAAATAATACATTTATCTTGTATATATACTTGTGGCAAGGATGTTTGCTGCATTGCATTTTGTTACCATGAGGACAAGCCATGCCAGTGCTGATCAAGTTAATACATTTCCAGGTGACTGTGATGCTGGCTACTACTGCGAGGCAAAGGCTGTATCCAACACGCCGACTGATGGCGTCACCGGCAACATCTGCCCGGTCGGAACATACTGTCCAATAGGAACACATCTGCCTCTGTCTTGTGAAGATGGTCAGCATCCATTTTGACTCTTTCTGTATTACCCAGTATGGTACACTGAGACAGTTGCCATGCTTTCCATTTTTAAAAATCTTTTTCAGAACTCATCTGTTTGAGATCACCTTTCAAGATAAGTGTTACAGTGTGATTGCAGAGTGCATGCTTGGAGCACACAATCACAGTGAAATATTTAACTTTGAGTATAATGCAAAGGGCTATGCACAGTAAAAGTTGGCGATTCCTGTTATGTTGTATTTGTTCTTGTTATTGTCTTGATACTTCTGTATCACAGAAATTCTGCAACTATTGCTTTTTAAACTTGCTGAGACTTTCTAAACCATATGGATGTGGTATATAAACCATGTGGTCCGTATGGTCAGTAAGTGATGTTGATAGCTTTTTTTCGCTTCAAGTATATATAACTTATTTTGTTATACCGTGTTGGTAATCTACACAGCTTGCTGATGACAAAACCATTATCACCTGTGTATGTTCATGCTAGAACACGTCACAATATGGCTGAAATATTGCCGATATGACGTTAAATATTAACTCACTCACTCACTCATGCTAGAACACTAAGTGTGATGTTGTTCATATTGTGACTGATGCAACTCTTCTCCAGGCACGTACATGAACCACACCATGGCCAGTGCCTGTGACATCTGTCCTCCCCGCTACTACTGCGTCAACAAAGACCGCCCAGACCCCTGCCCCAAGGGCCGGTACTGTGAGGGCAACACAGGGTTCAACATGTCCCTGTGTCCAGCAGGAACCTACAACCCTGTAGAGATGCTGATGTCTGAGTCGGAGTGCACAGCGTGTGACCCGGGGCACTACTGTGATACCCCAGGCCAGGTGAACGTGACCGGCATGTGCTCCGCAGGCTACTACTGCCAGAGTGGGGTCAACACCGCCGCACCCAGTAACAACAACACAGGATTTGGAGGTGAGCTGGAACTAGGGTATATTCTGTGTCACTGAATAATGTATTAAAGAGGAGTATTGTTTTGTAATGTGTTTTTTACAATGAATTATTTAAATTATAAATTATTAAAAAAAATATCCAAACATCAAACAGAAATTTATTTTGTTCGGAATTGTCTCATTTGTGCAAGCATGAAACATTATTAATAACAAATGAGATCTTATTAAAATTTGTCCTTTTAACTTAGGCTCTTTTGTGAGAATTGTTTTCCCAATATTATTTTGATATTCAAAGTTTCTCATATATACTACTCAAAATAAGTTAAAAATAGCAAATGTTTTCATGATACTTTAGTTAAACCTCCATGAGGTGAGGTGAAATTGGGTTTAACGTCGTGCTTGAGAATATTTCACTCATATGACGACGTGCATGCATGTGTATGTGTATGTGCGGCTGCTTGTACTAGCCCAGACTGAAGCTGTTTTTCATAGTGCTAGCCCACTGAGATACCAGGCCGCAGTGAAGCATGAATATCCCACTCAGACACATTATATTGACTCCGAGCCGACCAGTCCTTGTTGTACCCATTAATGCCGAGTGCCAGACAGGGACCAACAAGTACCATATTTTAACGCCTTTTGGTTTGACGAGGTCGGGGATTGAACCCGCGACCTTCCGCTCTCCGGGCGGACGCTCTAACCACGACACCACGGAAGGCGTAAACCTCCATGACAGGCCATCACATTCAGTGAATGTTAAGTTGAGAGTCAAAGTAAATCTTGATGTTATATTTGTTTCCAGGATGGTGCCCTACTGGCCACTACTGTCCTGAGGGTACAGTTGACCCCTGGGCTGTGCTGCTGGCACCTACACCGATGTCACCCATCAGGACACCTGCACCCCCTGCCAGCCAGGATACTACTGTCTGACCAACTCATCCACATACCTCGACACACCATGTCCAAAAGGTGAACAAGCAATATTCCTTACAGTCACTAATACCACATTGAATTTAAAGTTGACATTATCTTCAGTAGATTTTATTCATTGTGTATGGACTAAACAATACCATCTTATCAGACAAGGAGACTCAAACTTTGGACAAGTGGTTAAAAATATCAGACTGAAATGGTTCTTTTCAGATCCTATGACTCAAAAGTTCACATTGTTTAACCAGATTTCATGTTTGAGGACAGTCTCTCTTCCCCCAAGATCAGTTAACCCTGTACGTTATTAGTGAAAATGTCAAAGCAGGATGTCCTCCCACATGTAGGTGGCATGCCTTGCTTTCAGACTGGTGTCAAACCAGAGTTACTTTGTAGTGGAAGAGAAATAACAGTTTTACTTAGTTCCTTACAAAGTTCTTTGAGTTTTATTTCATTATTATTTTTTTCACATGAGCCCGACCTGCCTGATGGTCAGTCATCTTAACGAGATGACTCCATTACTGATAATAATATTCAACTCTCACTTATTACTGTCATGGCAGGTGCATACTGTCCCAGCGGCACGAAGTCAGCAAGAGAGTTTGAGTGTCCTGCTGGTACCTACAACAATAGAACAATGGCTGATGACATGTTTGATTGTCTGCCATGTCCAGGTGAGCAATAGTTTTTAGTCTTCAGGTAGAAAGATACAATGATATAACAGTCTTCAATATGAATTTTGAAAATATTTTAGTCTAATTGATAAGTCAGGGGTTTCAAATCACAATATCCATCTCTGGCTGAATCTGTTGATTTGATCATGAATATTTAAAGTTTTGTAGACAATTCATTGATGGTGCTAAATTTAACATTTGAAGCCTTTGATTTCAGTCTAGCTCTTCTAAATGTGCAGTTCTCAATATATACACAGCATTATAATTCGTCCATCATTAAAATTGTCCTTGCTCTTGTTATCTCCCTTGGTGGTGGGGTAGTCAAGTGGTTAAAGCATCCACTCGTCACGCTGGAGACCTGGGTTCAATTCCCTACATGGGTACAATGTGTGAAGCCTATTTCTGGTGTCCCCTGCTGTGATATTGCTGGGAGATTGCTAAAAGTGGTGTAAAATTAAATTCACTTGTTATCTCCCCTGCTGCTACCAGGAGGCAAGTACTGTGCTTGGGATGGTCTGTCAGAGCCTACAGGGGACTGTGCACCAGGATGGTTCTGTACTGGTGGATCCTACACAGACAAACCCTCCCCTGTCGTCAACACCACTGACACAAGCACCTGCCCAATCTACTCCCTCAACTTCACAGGAGGAATCTGTACTCCAGGTGAGTCATGAGGAAGAAAGGTTTTTTTACCCAGCTTCAACAACCTTACAGCCATTCACAGCAATGGTGACCATGTGATGATTGTCAGATAGTCAAGGATGTTAGATTTGAATCAAGTGATCAGAACTTCATTGCCACCTCTCTGAGAAAATGACAGTTATTTGACAAACCAAACAAATCAATTACTTTAGAACCAGCTCATTATGTTGTCAGACTGAACAATACAACTTCCGTGAAATACTTTCATGTATGCTTGAAATGGGGAAACCATGTTTCCTCTTTATTTTAAGGATCTTAGAAAATTTACCAAGTCATCTGAGGCTCAAGATGGTAGGACTGGCATCGCCATACATGCGATAAAAATTTTGATTAAAAAATGTACAACCTAAGACACAGCTATCAAACATGCAAAGTTTCTGAGATACCAAAAATGTCAAGATGTTGTGTATCAGTGATATTGGTCAGATACATTCACCTGCTCATTGACACCATTTACCTGTGTACTCCAGGGACCTTCTGCCCTGTCGGCAGTCAGCAGGCACAGCAGTGCAGCCTGGGAATGTACTGTGAGCTCCATGCACTGGAGGCTCCCACAGGCAACTGTCATTCTGGCTACTTCTGTAACGGCAGCGCCATCGTGCCCGACCCGTGCCATGTGCCAAGGGACACTACTGTCCAGAAGGAACTACAGTGCAAGAGGCATGTCCACCTGGGACTTTCTCAGGTAACTAATTACTGTATATGGAGTGAATCATTCCCTCTCTTTTAAAACAGTAAACTGTGGTTATAATGTATACAAAGTGATTACTTATTTTAATTTGTTATAACAGTAGTTCATTATATGCATTTCAACTAAAATATACAGCAAGTGGATAGTTCATTATGAGCATGTTAGTTCTAAATGGAGTTTACTGACTATCTATATGACACTATCCTGGTTAATATAGAACAAGTTTTTATGGATAACAACTTCTTTATTTCGTGAGTGCGACGTTTCGATACAGATTCTTGTACCGTTGTCAACATGGATAACAACTTCTTTATTTCGTGAGTGCGATGTTTTGATACAGATTCTTGTACCGTTGTCAACATGGATAACAACTTCTTTATTTCGCTGAGTGCGATGTTTCGATACAGATTCTTGTACCGTTGTCAACGGTACAAGAATCTGTATCGAAACGTCGCACTCGCGAAATGAAGAAGTTGTTATCCATAAAAACTTGTTCCATATTGTACGTCTCAACTTTTAAAAATGCCACTCAAACAAACTATCCTGTTTGTTGTTTATGTGTACTGCTTCTGATAGTGCCGTCATATAGCTGGAATATTGCTGAGTGTGGCGTAAAACAAAACTCACTCACTCTGATAGTGTATCATGGAATGGCTACACAGTTAGGAGTTGTCTTGTTCAACCACCAGTAACATTGTTATGTCCTGAGTTGCCATCCTCTGTGTTAGATTACGGTGTGTCTATGTCCCTCACTTCTGCAAAGCCAGACAGCTCATTGGGTCCAAGTCCTGAATCTGCATTGTCCAGATGTAGTACAAATAGAGCTAGAATATTGCTGACTGCAGCATTACTGTAGTATTGGCAAATAATGGCATAGTGTCAGCATATTGTTGGCATGGTGGTGTTTGCATTTTGCAGCACATTGAATGGATATTGTTGACACATTGTATGGATATTGTTGGCACATTGTATGGATATTTTATGGATATTGTTGGCACATTGTATGGATATTGTTGGCACATTGTATGGATATTGTTGGCACATTGTATGGATATTTTATGGATATTGTTGGCACATTGTATGGATATTGTTGGCACATTGTATGGATATTGTTGGCACATTGTATGGATATTGTTGGCACATTGTATGGTTATTGAAGCCACTTTGTTGGATATGGATATGTTGTCATGATGATCACATAGTTTAGGCATATTGTCTGCATAGCTTCCACGTGCATGTGTTGAATTATATCTATTGCTGACATCTGCTGACCGTTTACTCCTTCAGACCGCGAGGGCAACACCAACCTGACAGACTGCCTCGCCTGTACCGCCGGCCAGTACTGCCAGGAATATGGCCGTGCAGTGCCCAATGGACCATGTGACGAAGGCTACTTCTGCCCTGAGGGTCAACAGGTGCCCCGCCCAACCAACCTGGCCTGCAGTCCGGGACACTTCTGTCTGCAGGGCAGCTGGAACGAGAGTGGGTGCCCCTCAGGGAGCTACCAACAACACTGGCAGAAGAGTGACTGTGACGTCTGCCCAGCAGGATCCTACTGCACAGCCATTGGTGAGGAGAACATTTACAAAGTGATAATCAGGATTTCTGTACTTATATTGTGAACATTACAAGGTTTGATAATTTGATTACAGCAGAATCAACATAAATAAGTATGTATTTTTCAGGAGCAATTTGAAATAGTATCCTTATTTGTTTTCTGAACCAATAATTTTTTGTTAAATCTTACTTCTAAATACAACATTATGAGACTAGTTACAGATTTAGCGGGTCTTCTGTTAGTATTGTCATATTTTATTGTCTTTGTACAAATCACTAAGTGCAATCATATCTCCAGTTATCCACTATAAAATGTCTACATTTTTTAGGTGACTATGAATATCTTGATGACAACGTGACATCCAGTGGCAACTACTCAGGTCGTTACCGTAGTTACCGAGGAGTTTCCATACCAACGACCTGTCCACCAGGGTCGTACTGCCCCGAGGGCACGAAGTTCTTGACGGAGTTCCTGTGTCCGGCAGGCAGCTACAGCAACAGGACAGGACTGGCGGACTACACTCAGTGTTCTCCCTGCGAGCCTGGCAGATACTGTGCTGGGGAAGGTAGGCAAACATAGCGATGGATCTGTTTGGTCAATTTCATTACAGAAGGGCAGACATTCTTATTATTCAGTGTACTAGATCTCAATTCTGTTATAGTGGTCCCATTTCAATTCCAAACATCAACAAAGACTAGTGCTGTCATGGAGCTATGATCGTTTTGTAAAATGGGCCTCAAAACTTAAGGCTTGAAAGTGACATCTCAGTTTCTTGCTCTCTTACCACAGACGTTCTTTTGTACTTGTTTTTGATTTGATGACTATTTCAATCCTGACATCATTCCAGTCACCGTCATCATGATTTGGTGAAAGAGTGGTCCAAAATGAGTGATGAAGTTAGAGGAGTCTGATTCTCTAGGTATAGGCTCTTGATGTATTTATGTTCAAATGACACAGGGTAGCACAGTTGGTTCAGTCACCAAAGGTGCAGCAGTTTGCTATACAGAGTTGTGTCCCATATGTCTGATACAAATCTATGATCAGTGGTTCCAATCCCAGCTACACAATATCCACCGTGATATTGCTGGAATATTGCAAAAAGTGGCGTAAAACTAAACTCGCTCACTAGCTGATTCTAGGTTTGGTCCACTTTACCCATATTTGTGGGTTTCAACCAAGTGTTACTTTGTGCTTTTCAAGTGACATTGAACTGAAATACTGTCCAGAACTCCATGTTACACCAACTCCAGTGATTCAGGACCATTGTTGATGTTCTACCTTCTGTGCCCCATAATCAGGTAACACGGAGCCCAGTGGACTGTGTGCCTCAGGCTACTACTGTACCCACGGAGCCTACAATGCCACGCCCACTGATGGCTCCACCGGCGACATCTGCCCACAGGGGCGGTTCTGTGTTAACGGCAGCATCACAGGGGAGGGATGTCCGGTGGGGACATTCAGCAATAGGACAGGGCTACAGGCCGACACAGACTGCACTGCATGCTCACCGGGCTACTACTGTGGTCAGACTGGACTCACCCAGGAGTCCGGACACTGCTGGGCAGGTAAGGACAAGATTCTCTCAGTACTGACTCGTGATAAGCAAAATGTCTTGAGTTTCCTTGTACATTCATTAACCTTTGTACACTTTTTACCCACCTTGCTGTAGCATAAGAATATATAACCAAATACAAAAATTAGGATTTGTAACACATTACAGTACAACATGTGTTGTATCTTGCTTAACCAATAGTTATCTATAGCCTTAAAGGGAAGGTTGATTTACTGTCTGTCAAAATAACCTGAAATATTGTGAAGGTGTAAAATTACCCTGGATAAATCAGTACACATGGAACTTGTTGAGAAAATATTAGGGTTTCTTATGGTAACCACTAGGTTGAAAAACAAATAATTACAATGCAGAACTTTTCTGTATGAGCTAAAGACCATAAACCATGTACTGGTATTCCCTCAACCTTCAAACACTGTAGTTTCAAAGGACTTTTACATAGTGATGATTTACTTTTTAAATTCTGTTCAGCACACTTCATTTGAAACATAACTATGAAGTCAGAAAGCTGAATATTCTGACATCTGCCAAAGATGGTAGTTTTGGTAAGATGAATGTAATTAATACAATAGTTGTGTTAAATTTGAAGAAATCTATAGAGAAACTTGTAATGTGTGTGTTGCTGCAGGCCACTACTGTAGCCTTGGAGCCGAGGAGCCAGCTCCTGTTGGGAAGACTTATGGGGACTACTGCACAGCTGGACACTACTGTCCTAATGGAACATCCACCCCAGAACCCTGTCCCCCTGGAACCTTCCAGTATGCCACTGGAACAGGCGACATCGATGAGTGCACCAAGTGTACTCCAGGTATGTTAATTTGATGCTTACATGGAGGTCATATAGTACTGAAACAAATACCCAATTGGCAGGCAGTGTCTTTCAAAGTATGATCTCATTCTCAGTGCTCTGTTTTACTGATGGTATATAGACAACACTGACAGTTTTCTCTCCATCCATGTTCATTACTGTACAATGTTTCTTCACCAAACTTGGCACACAGATATATTGAGTGGTGAACTGGTGCATTTTGATAGGTTAGGATATTTAGTTTAAACATGTTTTTTTCCATGGCAACCACTGGCTGAAAATGGCAGTATTGCTCGTTCCCAGAAATCAACAGCATTTGTACTGTAGAAACATTTGCTGTTTGACACAATGATCACTTTAACATGTATTGTAATAATGTGATGTTTATTCCTGTAATAGAACTTTGAGTTGCTGTTATTCTGAACTGTTCAAACAATGCTTCTGTTTGACTGCAGGTTCCTTCTGTGAGACATATGGCTTGGTGAACGTGACAGGGCCTTGTGATCCAGGCTACTTCTGCACACTGGGATCAAACACAACATCACCTGTTGATGGTGTCATGGGTACAGTATTTTGTAATGAATTAAATGACTTGACTTGAGACCGATCTGGTAGTAAATCACACAGGGTACATAGTGTCAACTGATGATCATTCATCCTCTGTCACATGTGGATTTGAGTTATGAAAGATATTGACTGTTTCACCCAAATCCTTTTCAAACCAGCCATTATTCAAAGTTCATCAACTCATATCTCCAGCCAAAATTGAAAAATCAAGGTCTCACATGATCTATAATTTGCCTGTTACAAATTTCTATGGTATATTTTAAACAAATTTCAATCAAATTGGACCAAATGTTATCTGTAGACTACCTATCATGAACAACAGGTATGGTCTAACAAGAAACCAAATCAGTTGGAGATCACATAACAATACAAGAACTGTCCCAGGTGAAGTGTCCTGGTTGATTCTTACATTTCAAGAAGAATATACAGTAAGACCAAAACACAACTGTTACTGTCCCCCTCAGGTGCCATCTGCCCCGAGGGACACTACTGCGAGGAAGGGTCTCCTGGCCCAACTCCATGTGGCAATGGAACCTTCATGAACCACACTGGTGCCTCTGCCTGCTACATCTGTCCTGAGGGATACTACTGTGTCAACCGAGACCGAGCCGACATCTGTCGCCAGGGATACTACTGTCCTGAAGGTACTGGAGCTGACCTTCAACCATGTCCTACAGGAACCTTCGGCAACACAACTGGTCTGTTTGAGGACAGTCAATGCACACCATGTACAGGTAAATAAGTGGTTTGTGATAGTTCTGTTTGTGGAGTGTTTATAAAGTGGCTGTCTTATATGAACTATACAGGGCAAAAATATTATAAAATTGCAAATGGGAATTTCAATAAAGTTGAAACGGTTCAAATATTTTCACATTTTAATTGATCTTTTTTCATTTGTGTGAACCAATTGAATTATTCTCTTATGTATAATAAGTATTATTTGTCCATTTGTGGTTACAGTACTCAGGTACTGGTATTGTCTGAAAAGGTGTTTTAATGATCGTTTCCATGACATACAGGTGGACACTACTGTGCAACCCCAGGATCTCCCGACGTAGATGGAGAGTGCCAGGCAGGTTACTACTGTGTGTACGGCGTTGACACGGCAACACCTGCCGATGGTGGCAGTCACAAGGGGTCTGGAGCCGAATGTCCAGTGGGCTCCTACTGCCCCAAGGGATCCGCACAACCCCCTGCCCTGTGCCCCTGGCACCCATACCAACACACAGAGTAAGTTCCTCACTGAGTTTTGTTTTTGCAAACACCTGGTGTCATCACTGATTTTCAGTGATTGATTCATGTAATCATCACAGCTATTTTTTCTTTAACAACAAACGGAATGTATGTCTGAGGATAGTCAAGACTGGGTATTCTTTTGCACTGACGTTCTGTAATGTGTATACATTGAGAAACTCTCGAACAAGTGTCTATTAATATCAAATATATCAACATTCATCAACAAAAGGATTGGAGCTTGCTGAGTTAATTAATGGATGTGACTGTATTTCATATTAAAAGGCATGATGAGATTCAGTTTATCATCCATGTTCAAGTAACAGTCTTGTCATGAGCGTACAGCTAACCAGCTTCATTGGTAGAGAGATTGGTGATGTCATTTGATTGTGATGTCACTAAATCTCACCCAAGCAATATCTCATGTTGAATCCATTTTGATGAGAGCAGACTTAATCTTGGATCTGGTTGCCCCACTATATAACCTAGTGGATTGTTTCACATGCTGTCATGGTTTGACATGACTGTTTAAGGCTGAGATAAGAAGTCATTCCCTAACTCACAAATACAGAGGCAGTTGTGGAGACTGTCTGTCCTCAGTGTCCCATTTAGATTGTTATGATTTTGTGATTGCATTGATCAATACCTGCACATCTAGTGGTGTGTCTGCACCAGGCCCGACTAGCTATTCTCAAAACTTTTGTATCCCTACGAACTTCTTAAACCCATTCTTAACACATTGGATATGATCAAAGTTAATAATTCTTAGGGCTACGAACGTTTCGAGAATAAGGGCCCAGATTACACCATCAAAACTGTCATGGTTTAGCTGAAATACTACTGTTTATATTGGGTAGAACATTGTTCACTCACTCGTGGCAGATTCTCATTCCAGAGGCTGCTGTGATGGTGAAGGAATAGAGCTGACCATGCAGCCAAATCTTCACTTATTTACAGATTTAGACGTTATGAGGACTTTGTGTGACATTGTACTTTCTGATTCCAGGAAAGGGCTCTTGTGACCAGTGTCCTGGCGGCTACTACTGCCTCAGCAACACCAGCGATGCCACGGCGTTCCCCTGCCCCACGGGTCACTACTGTCCCCCGGGGACCGAGTACAGCACCCAGTACAAATGTCAGGCAGGCACCTACAACCCGCTCACCACCATGGACAGCTCTGGCGCCTGTCTGATGTGCACCCCTGGCCTGTACTGTGAGGGTGAAGGGCTGGAGACACCATCTGGCAACTGTAGTGAAGGCTGGTTCTGCTCAGGCGGTGCTGTCGAGTCCAAGCCAGTCACAATCGGTAGGATGAAGACTGTTAATGTTGATTATATTTGACTGATAATTCAGTCCTTGTGTCACACCAGTTTAAGCTGATCATGCGAAGATAACAGTAGATTATTCAAGTGGTGAAACCATAGGCTGTATTCACACTAAAACTTTGACTTAATTCCCAAAATAGGTCAATGTGTGAATCCTATATCTTGTGACCCCTACTGTGATATGGCTGAAATATTGCTAAAATCAGCATGAAACTCTCTTTCTCACATACATTAAATGTGTCGGACCTGAACAGATGAATGAAATATTTGACAAGTTATTTATACTGCTATGAAATCATGTCTCTTACGACAGGCAGTCATTTATTCTCACAGTTGTGTACATCATGAAGACTCAAGAAAAGCCTACATTCAGATATATCCCAGATAAATATTATGATGGATAATTCTGATGCAATTTCAATATAATACCATTATCTGACATTCTCATTGTTGCAATATGCTCTTCACTCCTTCCAGTTTAACTATAAGATGTCTATTTTTCCTTATCCTGACTCATGCTGTATTGCTTGTCTTCCTTCTGTTTCGATGATTCAGGATAAGTATAAAATATCAATTTAATCATAAAACTTACATTATTGTGACTGATTTTGTCCTGATCCAGGTAACTTCTCCAGTATTGACATGTGCCCATGCCCCTCGTACAATTACACCGGAGGCAAGTGCCAGCCGGGCACCTACTGTCCCCTCGGATCTTCCATACCTGTCAGTTGTGAGGCGGGATGGTACTGTGATAGCTACGAACTACCAGCCCCGAAAGGTATGTAACACTCAGTGACGTAGCAGCAAATTGAATAAATTCATTGCACTAAAAACCATAAATATCAACCTGTCATCACTCGTTCCTGATTTTCAGCTTAAGATCTGATTGCCAACATGTCCTTGTGCAGTGATTATCTGGTGCACCCCATTCACAAATACATCGTGGGGTGGGTTGGGAACCTACTGGTTAAAGCATCCGTTCATGACGCTGAAGAACTGGGTTTGTTTCCCCACATGGGTACAATGTGTTGAGCCCATTTCTGGTGTCCCCCACTGTGACATTACTGGAATTTTGCTAAAAACAGCAAAAACAGCATAAAACGATACTCACTCAAGTACTCCATGGAATGCCTGCTTGTTTTGTTTCAGCCAAGTGCGATCCTGGCTACTTCTGTCCGACCGGCCAGAGTGTGGCCAACCCTGTTGACTTCGTGTGTTGGGCAGGCCACTACTGTGTTGAGGGGTCCCCAACCTCTGTACCATGCCCCATAGGACACTTCTCCAACTCCACCGGCAACATCAACGTCACTGACTGCAAAGCCTGTACACCAGGTAGTACCTACATGTTTTGTGAAACAGAAGAAGTACCTTGATTGTTGCATGAATAGTCAGTCAGCATGTCACTAATTAAGGTCTTAATAAGCAAAAGTGATTACCTGTCATATGTATTCGAAAGTTCAGATTCGATATCTAGAAATGTGGACATATGCTTTGGATAATCTGATCTTTTTACTGACTCTTCTGAGTCCATTTATGTAAGCAAATTCAAATTTGAAGTAGAAAGGAAACATTTGTCCCACACTGTTTTAGTGAATGGCAGCTCACAGCAACTAATGTTGTTTAGAACAATCTGGGCGGTGCGGTAGCCTAGTGGTTAAAGCGTTGGCTCGTCACGCCGAAGACCCGGGTTCGAATCCCCACATGGGTACAATGTGTGAAGCCCATTCCCCGCCGTGATGTTGCTGGAATATTGCTAAAACCGGTGTAAAACCAAACTCAAGTCAGTCAGTCAGTCAGAACAATCCCAAGGTAATTCATGTCACACACCAAATTTAGTCTTCCAGTGTTTTTGTAAATATATACCCTCAGATACCTGCAAACCAGGAATGACTACCCTAGATACGTTTTGTTCAGTCCCTCGACTCGCCACTTACTGTGAGCCCACTGACGTACAGAACATCTCGGTATCCCTACCAACTGTTGGTTGTTATATGCTCTGTTATCATGTTGCAGGCTTCTACTGTGACGGTACAGGCCTGGTTAAGGAGACCGGCCTGTGTGGGGCAGGCTACTACTGCCCTGAGGGTCAGACCACGATGACCCCCCATAGCCACCATGTGTCCTAAGGGCATGTACTGCCCTGAAGGTAGTGCCCTCCCCATCAGATGTGAAAGAGGTAAAGGATGGATGCATTTTTGTTTCAAAATAATTTACAACATAATCATGTTGTATTTCTTGTGAATAATATGTTCTGAAAGCCTTATAAGTCTAATATCTTAATTATTATGTGATGTTATACATTTCGGAAGCAATGTTAAGTTGTTTGTTTTTGTTTTGTTTCTTTGTACGATTGTCAAAGTTTATCATGAAGCATTTGTCCATCTGTTTGTGTCACTCTCACATTATCCTAATGTTGTGAGGGGCGGTGGGGTAGCCTAGTGGTTAAAGCGTTTGATCATCATGCCAAAGATCTGGGTTCGATTCCCCACATGTGTACAATGTATGAAGCCCATTTCTGGTGTCCCTTCCTGTGACATTGCTGGAATATTGCTAAAAGCGGCATAAAACTAAACTCACTCACTCACTCACTAATGTTGTGATTTTACTGGCCGATGACAATAGGCTTCTGAATATTCTGCAAGCAATATTGACATTTATCTAAACATGCCCCAAACACACCAACCAACATAGCATAAATGTCATATTAACTATTATGCATTGAATTTGTATAAAAATGGAAAGGTTCTTTCCGTAATCCATAAAGTTCAAAATATAAGATTTTGAGGGTCATTTGGAAATAGCAATAAAGCGAAAGACAAGAGAACCCACTCAAATTGGAATTGTAATGTTGGATACAGAACCAGAATGATGTGGAATTGTCTACTAAAATAATTTTATCAATGCCCTTCACCCATCTTGAGCTGGAATTACATGGTTTGTGTTACAGGAACTTACCAGCCTTTTGAAGGGGAGCCAACGTGTGAGCCGTGCCCTTCCAGGAGTTACTGTGACCCTGGCAACTCCACCGTGGGCATCATCGACCCCGTTCCATGTCCAGCTGGTTACTACTGCCCCACCGGGACCAAGTACATGCATGAGTTCCCCTGTCCCCCGGGAACCTACAGTCCCTTCGGGGACCTGGAGTCTCAGGGTACGTGGTCCTTCAGAATATAGAACAATGTTTGACTGCCTCATTGAACATAGTAATCAAAGATGTGGGGGAGATTTGGCAAGATCCACATGGTTCCTGATACATGGTTCTGGTGGGAAACATTCAGAGACATTCAAGAAAAGTTTGGGGTGGGGCTGCTTCTGTTCAAGATATGTAGTACAGTAGGTAGATGGGCGACCCCCCCTCTAGTTTGTCCTGATGGTCCTCATGTATGCTCCAGGTGAATGTACGAGCTGCGAGTTTGGCAAGTACTGTAAAACTCCTGGCCTGACTGATGTGGAAGGCGACTGTCTGGCTGGATATTTCTGTGACCAAGGTGCCAACACCTCCACTCCCACTGACGGCATCACTGGAGATATCTGCCCCAAGGGCAAGTACTGCCCTGTGGGTTCTGTTGATGGTAAGTTTTGATTGGAACTGTAATTTTGTGTAATTATTAAGTAAAGGTATTACAACTTGTTGGTGAGTCAATAATAAAGTATACAACTTTATGGATAACAACTTCTTGTTTATGGCACAGAATGATGTTTCGGTGTAGATGTTTACACCGTTTTTCAAGCTTAGATAACTCATCGTATGTTTTGTTATTAAAACTTGGTTATCAATTTAATCTTAATGATTGAAAGAAAGTTTTTGAAATCTTTTAAATACACTGATGGCTTTTGGATAAAACTTTGTCGTGAAGAAAACCCTGTGGGTACCATGTGTCAAAGTATTAGGTATGCTTCTTCTTGAAGTTTCATATCAGCTTGTTCTTGAAGTATTAGGTATGCTTGTTCTTGAAGTATCGTATCTGCTTGTTCTTGAAGTATCGTATCTGCTTGTTCTTGAATCATCATATCTGCTTGTTCTTGAAGTATTCTATCTGCATGTACTCAAAGATTTCTAAGTGGCATTGTTTGTTTCAGGTGACCCATGCCCAGTGGGTACCTACAACAACCTGACCGGTCTGCGAGCAGCCAATGAATGTATTCCATGTGACCCAGGCCAGTACTGCCCCTCACCCGGGCTCATCGTGCCCTATGCCTACTGCACTGCAGGACACTACTGCGAATACGGCTCCAATGAACCCTCTCCCAGGAGTCAGTCCTATGGCTACAACTGCCCAACTGGACACTACTGTCCTGAGGGAATCACGGCTCCAGTGCCATGTCCACAAGGAACATACCAGCCTTCAGAAGGTGGGCAGTCAACATTCTGTTTGTTTATTTAACGCAGCACTTTGCAATATGCCAGCTTTATGATGGCGATCTCTAAATAATCAATAATGAACCAGACATGCACTGTACCTCACTGTGATCAGACATGTAATATGTGTCCAGCATTTCCAGAGGCCGAAGGAGGCTCTTCCTTTAAACCATTTTGCTTTAGGTTTCTTGATATTGTACTAGTTCTCTATTCGAAGTGGGTACAATGTGTGAAGCCAATTTTTGGTGTCCCTTGCTGTGATATTGCTGGAATATTGCTAAAAGCGGCGTAAAACCAGACTCACTCACTCACTCACTGTCTTCGAAGAGTAGATTCAAGACTTGTAAACTGAAGCATGTTTGGGACATATATATACAGATAAGTATCTGTGATGTTCATGTTACAATTGGAAGTTATGACATCAGAGGAAGGCACCGATAATGGTATTTAAAATTAAGATCAGAGTGGAAACTAATCCAAAATCTCTATTTTCAAGAAATATTCATTCATAATAACTTAAGTAATTTGTATGTTTTTGAAAATACGGGCTGTAGTAATGTAGATGATGAATGTCTGAGTAGTGTAAATATCCTACACACTGAAGCAGAGTGATCCACATGTGCATGTCAATGATCCAGGCAAACAGTCTGCAACCTCCTGTGTGGATTGTGACGCGGGCAAGTACTGTCTGGAAGAAGGTAACAACACCGTCACCGGCGACTGCATGGCAGGCTACTACTGCATCAGAGGAGCCAAGTCTCCAAATCCAACAGGTGAGCATACTTACCAGCATGTTGAAGCTTGAGCTGGGTTCTACTGTAGGAGCAGTCTGTTGGGTAAACTTATATCTCTGGGGCAGATTCTCCCAATTGATAGGATATGTTATTGCTATGTTGTTTGTGAGGCCTTTTCTTACTGCCATGCTCTCCAAAAGGAAGAAACTCCTCATTCACATTAAGGTCTCAGCCTCAGTCAAAGCAGCCATATATAAAAGCACCCTATTTTTTTTGGAAGCCCCACCTGTCAGATTAGCACAAAAATGGCTCAACCATCAAATATGTTTATCCATAACTAAAATACTGTCTAGAGAGATGTTAAATGTAAACAAAACACAAAAATGGCTCAACCATCAAATAAATCTATCCATACCTGAAATACTATCTAGAGTAATGTTTACTGTAAACTACACTATCTATATTTCAGATGGAACAACAGGAGCCATCTGCACTGTCGGTCACTACTGCCCCATTGGATCTCACATCCCCATACAGTGTCCACCAGCCTTCTTCATGAACCGCACCGGAGCAGCCGAGTGTGACCCCTGCCCCGAGGGCTACTACTGCACCGACGGGGCCAAGGCTGAACCCTGTCCGCAGGGCTACTACTGTCCCCAGGGGTCGGGCAGCAACTACAAGTCTTGTCCTGTGGGGACATTTGGGGGCAGCGAGAGACTGAGCAATGGGTCCCAGTGCACCCCCTGTACGGGTGGATTCTACTGTGACAGTGAACACCTCACTGCCCCATCCGGGCCATGTATCGCGGGATACTATTGTGTCACAGGTCAGTACACATTTCTGCTTTAGTAAACACCACTGTGTCGGATGTGCTGAATCCTGGGCTGTTTCAATGTGTTTTTCGGGTCTCATACAATGTCATGCGTTTGGTGTTCAGGGCCCCGTTCCTGAAAGCGATCGTAGCGCTAAGCTGATCGTAACTCCCATACTTTAACATAGACTTACGACAGTTGTAGCGCTACGATCGCTTTGAGAAACAGGACCCAGAATGGCACTGACTGTCTTCTGTCTTTTGAGTTCAACACAATGGTGTTCAGCAGTATAACATAATCAATAGCATGCTTCCACAAAGACGCATGCTTAGAGTACATAACATATTGCTACCCATCACCAGTTTTTTGTATTCACAAGACATTCTCAGCTTTTTGGGGAGCATGCAACCAAAACTGCAATCTATTCGATGGTCTTGCATTTACATCTACTTGGCACCAATCAGCTGATTCTCTGCTGTGTCCCTTACAGTGTGCCAGGAACCCTTTACCATTGGCTCAAATTCTAGATGCTTCTTGGTTAGTTTTTATGGTTTGATAACACTATACATTTACTTGTGGATTTGACGAAAGTGGTGAACGTAAGCAACCCACTGTCCTTCTTCATTAAGATGAATACTATCAAAGCATCATAAATGCAAATTCACTCTCCAGCCTGACTTGTGCCGTTTGCATCCTGCATCCATCCAGCTACTTCTACAGTAAAACAGCATTACTTCCTTTATGTTACAGGTGTGAATGTGGAGTCCCCCAGTAGCAGCGTGACCCACACAGGCGAGGGTGATGTGTGCCCACCTGGCTTCGAGTGCCCCCTCAACTCCACCTACCCTGTGCCTTGCTTGCCAGGAACCTACTCCCCCAGTCAGGCTGTGCCAAGTTGTCTCCCCTGCCCAGCAGGTACAGTGTTCATTGACGTACAACTAGAAATTGATATATAGTGATTGTATTTGGTCTGTATATATTTTGTTGGTCATGCTGTCTGATATAGGTAACTTAAACCACAGGAAGCTTGTATAGCTTGAGGTTATATAGCTTGATGATTGGCTGTCACCATTGTTTCCATCACCTTGAAGAAAGTTAGTTATCAACCTGGGTCCACCTGATCAAGGTGATGTTAGCGCTGTGATGATCATGACTAGCATACCCTAACATGGACTTACTATTGTCACAGTGATTGCTACATGTCAAGCAGGTTTATTAATGGTATTGATCTCATTATATATTGTCATAATAATTAAATCTTCATTCAAGAATCAGCAATATCAACCTTAAGGCTAGACAACAGACCACATGAGTCTAATGGTCACAGATGTGTTGACACATGTGCCCATTTCCAGATGATCCTGAGATCAAGTTTTAAGAGATGTGTTCTGAACCATGATCCAATTTGTATGTATGTTTCAGGGTCCTACTGCCTGAATGAGACGGTGACCCCCCATCACCTGCCCAATGGGCCACTACTGTACCGAGGGAACCAGCTTTGATGTGGAGCATCCATGTCCAAAAGGAACTTACTACAATGCTACAGGTAAAGACACATACTAAAGGCATAATCGATGCTCATGATGTTGATCACTGGATTGTCTGGTCGAGACTAGATTATTTACAGACAGCCGTCATATAGCTGGATTATAGCTGAGTGTGGCGTAAAACTAAACTCACTCACTCACTAAAGGCATAATCATATTGTGTTCCCTCCCTTTGTCATGCCAGAATCTGCTGGCAGTTGGTACTTGCTGGTGTATTTGAGCGTGCCATCACTAGACACATGCTCTGTGGTTTATCCAACGGTATCCAGTCTGCTAACATGCTGTGATAAGTGTGCATTCTGTGACTGGCAAATGAGCATATTTTTAGACAATTAAACTGGACTGGTCAGCTGAAATGATAAAATCATACTCATGTCTTGTTAAGATAACAACTTGCAAATGATGTCACATGTCACTTCACTGAAGTTAGTATAGTTTTTAAAGTTTCATGTATTTTTAATTGATTTAGTTTTTCTTTGAATATTTATTCTATCATAAATTATATCTAATCTCAGAATTACAAGTGGCGAATGACCTGCCATGACACTGATGCATTATTGCTAAAAGAAGTGTAAATCCAATCTCACTCACTCACTCTAATCTATAGTTTAAGCATGATGCTCAGGACAGATAATCTGTCATAAATCATAGCTTAGTTAAATATATCAACAACTTGTTCCTTTACAGGGAATTAGTTCATATCATTTTTTTGCATGCATTATTTATCATGACCTTGACCTTATCCTTGACCTTAAACATGACCTTGATGTTGCAGGTGCAAAGGCTAAGAGTGACTGTCTGGACTGTCCGCCAGGAGAGTACTGTGAAGGCCTGGGTAACATCATACCATCTGGACTGTGTGACCCTGGCTTCTTCTGTGCTGGGAAGTCCTTCCAGATCCGCCCATACGACCTCGGTAACCTCACCAATGCAGGGGGATCCAGCAGGTAGGACTGTCACCATGGTTACCATTCATCCCTGCATTTGGAGGTTTTCAGTTATAATAGCTGCCACTAAGGATTGTCAGTAAAATGTCCTGATTGAACCGTCAATGATTGCCTGTTTGCCTGAACCAAGCAATGGAAATTTGTCCTTGTACACTGTAGCCAAGTATGAGAATGTTAGTAAAAGTACTAGTGTATTTGACATTTCATGCATCCAGCTTTCATGCATGATGCTTATTGAAACTATCTTCTTCAACCAAGTAAACGTGCTCAATTCTTACGAAAGAGTTTGAATCTCAGATTTATCCTGATTGTTGTATTTGTGTGTCCTCACCATACCTCGTGGGTCGATATGAAAGTGACCCGGGAAGATCCGGGGTAGAATAGGTCTTCAACAACCCATGTGCTTGCCATAAAAGGCGACTATGCTTGTCGTAAGAGGCGACTAACGGGATCGGGTGGTCAGTTTCGCTGACTTGGTTGACACATGTCATCGGTTCCCAATTGCGCAGATCGATGCTCATGCTGTTGATCACTGGATTGTCTGGTCAAGACTCGATTATTTACAGACCGCCGCCATATAGCTGTGACATTGCTGAGTGCGGCGTCAAACTAAACTCTCTCACTCACTCACTATATGAAAGTTGTAGACGTTTTGACTTGTACATCATGATATAACTTGAGTACTGTTCAAATCAGCATTACACCAAATTCAAATGAGATTCAGTTGTAATATGAAAAATATCTTTACCACTCTTTATAGAGATCTAAAGATGGTATAACTATAGACAAAAGCTCTGTTAGGATCCTTGGAAATTATCCTTGGCAACTGGCTTGGTGCCGAGGCTCTTTGACTTGGTTTGTCTTCATGTTACTTCAGTAAACGATGCTTGAGGAGCACTTGTACAGTAAAAGCAGTACAGTTTATGATAGTTTGTTTGGACTTCTACTTTGTTAACAGTTTTATTGTGTTCCCAGTGGCCTGTACTCCAATGACACCTGTGCCCCCATGTGGGACTGTGTATGTCCTGACTTCGAGCTGACCAGTGGCGGTATCTGCCCCATGGGCTACTTCTGCCCACAAGGAACATACAAGCCTCAGGCCTGCACCCCGGGCATGTACTGCGAAACTCCAGGGCTGCCACTCCCAACAGGTCAGTATATCATCATGGGTCAATTTGAATAAACAGGACTGAATAGCCTACTTGCAATGTTGAATTGTGAAGAATCTTTTTCAAAGTAGTTGTTAATCTCTCAACCATCTATAACATCTTACCCTGGAGTTGAGTAAGTGCAGGGGCCGGTGGGGTAATCTAGTGGTTAAAGCGTTGGCTCGTCACGCCAAAGACCCGGGTTCAAATCCCCACATGGGTACAATGTGTGAAGCCCATTTCTGGTGTCCCCTGCCGTGATGTTGCTGGAATATTGCTAAAAGCGGCGTAAAACCAAACTCAGTCAGTCAGTCAGTCAGTCAGTCAGTCAGAGTAAGTGCAGTCAGGGACTGTAAACACTAGTCAATCAGGGTAATAAATATGATAAATGCATCTTTGAGAATGGTACTGCAAATCAAGTTGTAAATTTGACTGAAAGGGCTTTGTCTGAGACTATGAGTACCTGCAGTTTTCAAAACATATTTCTTTTGTTTCTTTTTGCTTTGATATTCTTACAAAAATTATATCCTACTTTGTAAACTTTGTTTTAAACACCCATCCATTGTGACAGGCAACTGCAGTGCAGGGTACTACTGTAATGGCACCAGCGCCGTCCCCAACCAGTATGTGTGTCCGGAGGGCAGCTACTGCATTGTGGGAACTTCCGTCCCTGAACCATGCCCTGCCGGAACATTTGCCAACAAGACCGGAACATCCATGGTGGAGGAGTGCCTCAACTGCACAGGAGGCATGTTCTGTCAAGGTGAGAGCCACTGTTCTGCTGACAGAAGGAATATGTTATCTGTCCTCCATTAAAAAAACTTCAAGATTGTTTTATAAGTTTCATGTCATTGAGGAATGTCCTTGATTGATGGATTTGCCAATTGTCAAATGCCCATTTCTTTGGAAAACTGAATATTCTGTTTAGTGCCAAATATTTTAAGGTGTGAGGCACTGAATATGTAATGTTTTGAATATTTTATCGCTTAAGAATCATCCTTTTCCAAGAATTGGACATAGCATTAATCTTGATATGGCAAATCAAAGGTCATGCTGTCCTTTTAGATATCATCTATTCCATTTGACTGAGATATTTTGTTGTATGGGACATTTGGATAAATGGTACAGTTGTCATTGACATACAATCAATCAACTTTCAGACAGTAATTATCAGCTGTATATGAACCATGCATGTTTGTATGTTATCGTGGTTATTGTGTTCAATGCATGCATAAATTCTCCAAGTTTCAACCAGATCATTGTCCTCCTAGGTCCTGGAGACATCCGCCCAACTGACTTGTGTGACCCTGGTTTCTACTGCCCTGAGAGCCAGACCTCTCCTACCCCCTCTGACCTGGTGTGTTGGAAGGGTCACTATTGTGAGCAGGGATCAGCCATTCCCACCATGTGCCCTGGGGGGTCCTACCAACCCAGCTATGGAGCAAGCACCTGTCTGCCCTGCCCTGAGGGATTCTTCTGTAACATGGCAACTGGGAATGTCACCTACATTGATGGTGAGTGACTCCAGTGATGTGATATTGTCTACTACATATTTCACCTTCTTCAAGGGACATAAAAACTAAAGATATCCACTTATGCCAATTACGATTACCATTGACACTAGAATTAATTATATTCACTGATATCTGACTATTATAGGGGAATGGTTAGCATTATTGGTCTGCAGCATCAGAGGTCATTGCCCAAAATGTGTCTGTTATCATTGAGAAGCCGTGAAGGTCCAGGTCAGAATGAACCTTCAGTAACCCATGCTTGTCGTAAGAGGCGACTAATGGGATCGGGTGGTCAGGCTCACTGACTTGGTGTCATTGGTTCCCAATTGCGCAGATCGATGCTCATGGTGTTGATCACTGGTTTGTGTTGTCCAGACACAATTATTTACAGACCGCCACCATATAGCTGGAATATTGCTGAGTGTGGCATTAAACAACAAACAAAATCACTCACTCTATCACTCACACATCACACGATCACTCACTCACTCCAGTGTTGCCTGTATTCAGTTAACTAATGGAAACAGTTGACCCCCATCATGGGGGAACTGATTGTATGTGTGTTGTGTCCAGGACACCCTGCAGTGTTCCCTGCTCCCTGTCCCCGTGGCTTCTACTGTCCCGAGGCAACTGACGCCTCCCAGACATTCCCCTGCCCAATCGGGACGTCCGGCCCAGACACGAGTACTACAGCAACGAAGGCAACTGCACCGAGTGCACCTCCGGCTTCTACTGTGAGAGGACCGGCCTGTCCACACCAACTGGAGAGTGTTACGCTGGATATTACTGCACAGGAGGGGCGTCTTCACCAACCCCCATCTATGATAAGGTAAAATGCAGATTCATACAACTGATTTTACCAAACACTATACAACATGTTTGGATACCACAGGGCATTGTCATACACTGATCCTTTGAATTTAATGACCATCAACTTTTGCCAGGAAGCAAGCTGGAAAATATTCTACAGAAGGTTCATTGAGTTTTAAATTGAGAGAGAGCTCTTGCATAAAGAACTCCCACTTATGCAACAGTATTCCAACAGCCATATATTTTCATTCATTTTGTTTGATTTTACAGATTGATGAAAGCCAGGTTGCCAACTTCACTGGCAATGATGTCTGCCCAGTAGGGTACTTCTGTACCAATGGCACTAGCTACCCCCAGCCCTGTCCCCTGGGGACGTTCTCCACCCAGAAGGAGGTGACTGGCCCTGAGGGATGTGAGAATTGCTGGCCTGGCAGATACTGCAACCAGAAGGCCTATGTCATCAGCTCCGAGGCTCCGAAATGCCATGCAGGGTGAGTGGATGTGTTGGTTTATTTGTAACATTATTGGACCGTTTGTGGAGGCACAGGTGGCTAAATGGTTCAGATTGCAAAAATTGTTTCCCATTTAGTCATTGTGGATTTGAATCCTGAAATATCCCACGTAGTGTTAGTCAGCATGTGAGTGTTGTACCTGCATTTTTGGATTTAGCCTGAATGGTGTTGGCCTAGCTGACTTTCTTGAAATATATAATTCTGTTATATAATTGAAATACTATTCAAAGCCAGCTTAACCACTCCCTTCCTTGCAGTTTTACAGGACATAAGGACTCACTGTCTCACACTCGCTCAGCCATACATTCTAAGGGGACTTAGGGTAGCCCAGTGGTTGTTGTGTTGACAAGTCATGCTGATCACCTTGGTTTTAGTCCCATATTGTCACAGTGTCTGAAGCCCATTAATAAAGTGCCTCATTGTGATATGACTGGAATATCATTGGAAGCAGAATAAGACTCTTCTCACTCATGCTTCTGTTTCAGCTTCATCTGTATTGGCGGTAGCACCATCCCGGAGCCAACGGATGGTATCCAGGGTTACGTGTGTCCAGCAGGCTTCTACTGTGAGGAGGGAGCTATCACTGAAGTGGGTTGTTCTATCGGAAGTTTCCAGCCCAGCGAGGGTCAGCACAACTGTACCCTGTGTCCAGCTGGTCAGATGTGTCCTCGCAGCAATATGTCAGTCAGTGAGCCGTGCAAGATGGGTGAGTATTGTCTCAGGTAGGCCATGGTAATAACAGAATCATGGTCATTCTGAGCTTCATTTGTTTAGGGGCCTAGTTAGAATTGATCTTCAGTAAGCCATGCTTGTCGAAAGAGGCGACTAACGGGATCGGGTGGTCATGCTCGTTGACTTGGTTTACACATGTCATCGTATCACAATTTTGTGTAGATCCATGTTAGTGCTTGTGATCCCTGGATTGTCTGGTCCAGACTTGATTATATAGCTGGAATATTGCTGAGTGCGGCGTAAAAATACATTCACTCACTCATTTATTTAGGGGGCAGTGGGTTAGCCTAGTGGTCTAAATGTTCACTTATCACTTGAAAGAGCTGGGTTCAGTTCCCAATATGGATACAATGTGTGGGCTGCTCTGGGGATTTCACAATGGTTACTGGATTGTCTGTTTCCTGATTTGATTATTTACAGACCGCTGCCATATTTGCTGAGTGTGGCGTAAAACTAAACTCACTCATTCATTCTGGTTATTCCAACTTGAATATTACTCAAAGCAGCATAAAATCATAATCACTCACTCACTCCCCTTTTAGGTCACTACAGGTTCCCAGTCCTATGGGGCGGTGGGGTAGCCTAATGGTTAAAGCGTTGGCTCGTTATGCCGAAGACCCGGGTTCGAATCCCCACATGGGCACAATGTGTGAAGCCCATTTCTGGTGTCCCCCGCCGTGATGTTGCTGGAATATTGCTAAAAGCGGCGTAAAACCAAACTCAGTCAGTCAGTCCCAGTCCTACATTCTTGTGTTAAGAACTGACTGATTGATAACATGAAATAGTGGATTGTTGTTCAAGCTGTCACCTGTATGTTAGCTTGGCCAAGATTTGCTCTAATGTAAGTTACACATGTCAGTGTTTAACATTTACAGGCTACTACTGTCCTTATGGGTCCTTGGCTCAGCCGTGTCCCCAGGGACATACAACAACAAAACAGAGATGTTTGACGAGTCTCACTGCATTGACTGTCCACCGGGACACTACTGTGCTGGCAACGGCAATATAGACCCATCAGGTACACCCCCAGTCTTTTAAGCTAGTGTTTTGTCATTGTGTAGGGCATCTACAGTGAACTCTTGTCTTTTTCAGTTACTCTTATGGCATTACAATAATGTACTGAGCAATCAGGTGCTCTGGACAAATCAGGTTCCAATACTTGTGTGCTGATAAGAATTCCACCTATACAGCTGTTTATCAGTCTTTGGTGAGCACAAGCAATATCTCCTCAGAACTGGAATGGTATCACAATGATGTCATTAGTTACAGTGATAACAATCACTGTTAAAAAATTAAAACTTTGATGAATGATTTTTTACGAAAAATAGATTTTGACCAAAGTGTGTTTGGATATGAAATAAATCTATGCTTGCTGGTGACTGAATATCTGGGCAGTGCTTGGTTCCAGATGAATCAAATAGTTATTGGATGTTATCACTTATATTGATAACATTAAAGATGTCAAGTGTTAGGGATTTCTTGATTCAAATGTTTATTGATCTTACAACTATTGTTGTTTTAAATGAACACTGATATCACTTTTACATGAAATGCGCTAATGATAATTCTGAAGCGTTGCCGATGAATCTAGAATCGGTTGGGATGTTTTCTTCGAAAATACACTTACCACGAACGCCATAGAAGCTTTCAGCCATATTGGATAGTGTTTACAAAATCACGTTTAATGAAGGCCGGCTGTGAGGCGCCTATTTCATCAAGTATATTTCATATTCAGCTTCGAAAATGCATCAATGAATTCCCATACATTTTAGAATCAAACTGCAACTGGTCTTTGTCACCAATACCAACTGTCTAGATAAAATGAGGCGAGAAACATATTGGGTGTGAAAACTAGCGCTGTGCTTTCGAAAAGACTGCGTGGCAACAGAAATGTAAAACAAAGACAAAACCTATTTTCCACTGTGTAGCATTTTCTGAAATTTTCCAACATTCATCCGTCTATTCATTTGCTTGCAATGGCTCAATACCTGGAATATGCGGAAAGAGTATCGTAAGCAAGAAATAGGAAATTATAAATAGATACAATGCAATGATTTGATAATTGATAAAAATTGTCAAAGTTTCCGTGCAGCGTGGCAGCGCCATAACTGACGTTAAAATCCGATAGAGCGACAAGGTAATTATCTGCATTTCTGGCTTTTTCTCTTACTTATAGTGAAAACGATAAAAACATATAACAATACACAGATAGTCAGAATCATTCTGATTACTTACATGTCATATTTATGGACAAACGATCCCTGAATCAATAGAAGGGTCCTTGCAAAATCCTGTGTACCCTTGTCAGCAAAGCCGCCATTTTGTAAGAAATTGGTCAGCGGTAGTGATGTCATACGTCAACATTGTTGTACATATTAGGCAATTTCTTTGAGGTGAAGGTCGGTTGAACAAGAGTAAACACAATGTATTATGGTGTATTTTTGCGTATAGTTAAGATACTTTTTCATGAAACTGACTTCAGTATCTACATTTAGCCTTGTTCAATATCATATCATACGCGCGTATAGGGTTTACGGTGTTTTATTCTTTGAAAGTTTTTGATTGTTTGCATCATATTTACATAAGAAATTGACATATTTAGTGCAATACACCATATTCTAAACCTTTACACAAGTGTTAGACGATCAAACATGAGCCATAATTGGCAACTACTTTAGTTCCTATTCAATTTATTTGGACTAATATTGCAATTTCATATGAACAGGTTAATGAACGGTGATTTAATTCAACCTTATACTAAAACTGATAATATTAATGAAAATGATTTATATATGGTATGAAATGTATATGCACACATATTTAAAGGAATTGTCTTGTTCATTGCATAAATTTGTGTCGTTTTATAGACAAAAAGAATAATGCATATTGATTGGCCAGGTGCGCGTTTGTTGGAAACGTTTTATGATTCTCTATCATTGTTTTTTCGATAATATAATCAATTCATATTCGATTAAATAATATTGCGATGACAGGATATCAAACTCTAACTACATTTATAGGAAAATTGTTGAATATATATATACCATCTCATATACCATCTGTGCTAATTCGACAAATCTTTACATCAATATTCTAATATATGGTTCCATATATAAAAAGCTATCTTTTTGCATCTTTCATTGCATAATGTATGAAGAGAAATAGCTACATAATCATAAACAAACAAACAAACTTCTTATCCCAAACAAAATATTTCGGTGTTGAGAAATATTATTTTTATTTATGTTAAGTTGATGCCAAACAGGTGCGCCGTGTTGTTCACAATAAGATACACTTTTAATCAAACCGTCCTAATTGATGATATATTCAGGACACTATTTAATGGAAAAATCAGTCATTTTATGTTTTGTTTATAGAGTGTTAAATTCTGGCGTAGAAGCCGAGAGACCTTTTAAACAATTAATGGAAATTAAGTTGAGATATATACTAATCAGCATACCAATGTCGAGTCCTTTTCCGACGCGCATAAAATGCATAAAACAAGCAATGACGCCAACTAAAATGTTGTGATATTTTCAGCAATTTCCTTACATTTGAAGATATGGCTAGTATTCTGGTAATAACAATGCAAAATTAGTCAAATACATCTACACAAACAGGAGAATATGGGAATCTAAGAACTAACTTATATATCGGATAGGGCCATCCAAATCGCCATTACGTGCTTTCACATGTAAGAGCGCGTTGTCATTTTTCTTGTAAATTGTGAAACTACCAAACTGCATCCGCTCACATTGGGGAACTTTGAACTGTAATAGTTTGGTTCACCATAAACATAAAATAACGAAAATATAGCGTCCGTATCCACAACAAATTCTCTCCAATTGACCTGAGTTACATTGACCTAGTGTTACGCATAACGGGTTATGCCCCTTATCATTATATCGCAGTATGACCTCTCTGTCGTCGCTTTGACGTCATCAGAAGAAAAATCCATTTTGACACTTATTGTGAGTCATTTCTAATGTTGAGCTGTGATAACGTTATGCACAAGCACATTTTTGTGTAATTAATGAATCACTTGCATTTCTCGCCACATTTTCCAGGTGAGTGTGAAGCTGGGTACTTCTGTGAGGGCGGTGCCAACAGCAGCGTGCCCACACCTACGCCGACCTACCAGAACAACGGGGTGTGTCCAGCAGGCCACTATTGCCCCCAGGGCACCACCATGAGGATCCGCTGTCCAGCAGGAACCATCAGGAACACTACAGGTCAGTCACAGCTGTATCATACTGGGTTATCAAAGAACCCTAATACAAAGTTAAGACAAAATTAAAAATGATTTTATGGAGATACTAAATAAAAAAAAAAAATTATGAAAAGAAGGATTTGGACTGTTTCTGTGATTCATTTTAATATGGAGGCCTTGTAAGTTGTTGAACTTTTAATTATTTGTTTTAACATAGGTGATGTTAATATGAAGTTCCATAAAGTTGTGTGATTATGAGCCCCCTAAATTATTAGTGGGTCCCTTCCAGACATTTGTATTCTAAGTACCAATGAATACACATGATATCAAACACTTAATGTTCTAACAAAATGAATACATTTACAATATTTTGAAACAGATTTGATATATACAATAATGTTTAAACATTGAAGGACCTGTAATGTTTGAAAGACATGTAAATGGTGGTAAATGACATTAGGATGATTTTGGGGTGTCTTAACCTTCTACATGTGATCGAATTCACAAATATATATCAATATTATTGACCCTGTCTACATTTCATGTTGTAGGTGGTGGCGCGCTGCCTCCGACTGCCGACCCTGCCCAGGAGGCTTCTACTGTGAGTCCGAGGGACAGACTGAAGTCTCCGGCATCTGTGCCACAGGCTACTACTGCCCATCAAATGACACCACCCTGGTGCCAGACCCCACCAACTTCGTGTGTCCAGTCGGCTACTTCTGTCCTGCAGGATCTGCAGCTCCAACCCCCTGCCCAGCTGGTCAGTATCAGCTGAACCAAGGAATGGACTTCTGTGACCCATGTCCAGCTGGGTCCTACTGTCAGAGCTCGGTGTCCGGTGAACGCAAGGACTGTCCTGAATACCACTACTGTCCAGAAGGTAGGGGAAGTATCAAAATTTATCTCACATGTGCAATGCCTGATTTCATTGGTCTATAATGTTTGACACAGCATGTTCAATGACAACCACCAAATACATTGAAAGGGTTTAAATACCTACAACATAGAGTATGTGTGGATAGAACTCTATTAATGGTCATTTGTAACTAGGTTTCCAAACAAAAAATTTTTGTTGACATATTATTTTTTGTACAAGGATATTTTTGTGATTAAACATGCATGGGATAATTTAAGTATTACATATCAATGTTTCCAATAACTTTATTGTTCAAATATTAACGTTTATGAACATTAGTTTACACTGATACACATGACCCATGTGTTTCTTGATGAAGGTAACGAGGACAATGATATGATGTTTTATCACCATTTTTAGGCACTGCATACCCAATACCTTGTGGCAATGGCACCTTCACCTACGACAACATGACCAAACTAAGGTCACAGAGTGACTGTCTGGCATGTGAAACAGGACAATATTGCAGGTACGTATCCTCTTCAGTTGCCTTATAATGTACAGGTTCTTCATGTTTACAGGTTCAGTATGTTTACATGTTCTTCATGTTTACAGGTTCTTCATGTTTACAGGTTCAGTATGTTCATGATACTGAGATTCTGAGCAGTTGTTAGGAATATTGTTTATGAGATTTACATCCACGTTTGAAAAGGTGCAGGGCTTGTACTAGTTGTATGAAACTGTTCAATGATTTAGGCACATTGACTGGCAGTGGGTGTAATTTGATGCATGAATGTTTGGTCATTATAAAGATCTTACAGTTAAAGGCACAGAGTAATTGAAATCTCAAAGAAATAGTATGTTACGTACCCTTGCAAGTATTTACAAATGTGGGGCTGCAACTTTCAAGTCATTATTTCCATATACAATATTAGAGATTCAAAACACAAGTAAGTAAAAATGAAAATCTCTACTTTATTACAGCCTCATGTAGAAAATAAATCCTTTCCTGTTTGTGTTTTCATGTTAGATGTGTCAGATGTGTCATTGTGATATGTCACGTTATCAGCTATATTGAAGGTCTTTTGTTGGCACAATACTTGGCTCATTATAATACTGAAAATTTATGTAGCGCTAAATCCATCCACTAAGTGGGTGTTCAAAGCGCTAAAATATATTCCATTCCATAATGTATGTTAGTAACACTTCACCTACATGTTCTGAAAACCGTACAAATTGGCTTCAGGAATGGACAGCTCTATGGCAACTGTACAGCAGGCTATTATTGCAAGTCTGGTTCCCCTAAAACCATGCCCAACGAAACTCTGGACTATGATGCCTGTGTGTCCGATGATCCTTGTGCTGGCTTCTGTCCACGGGGGTTCTACTGCCTTGAGGGGACGCTGTACCCAACGCCATGCCCAGCAGACACCTACAGAGACACTGTTGGTGCTGCCCAGGAGAGTGATTGCGCACCTTGTCCTGCTGGCTTCCTGTGTCCTGAAGGTAAGACCACATAGAATATATTCTCACAGCTATGTCCCCATTGGGATTACAGTGTCCCAAGTTGCCCATGCTAGTCAGAAAAGGTCGTCATTAAACCATGCTTGGCTGACTGATTCAACTGAACAAGACTACGGGCTTCTCTTAACTATATGATGGTTAATTGAACTTTGGCTGAAGAAGTTTAACAATCTTGCACATTTTTCAATGAAACTAATATGCAATTTTTATGAAATGTGTTTCAGGTTCTGCTGACCCAGATCCATGCCCCATTGGCTTCTACTGCACCCTGGGTAATGGAACAACACCCTGTCCTCGCCTCACTTTCCGCAACATCACAGGGGCCAAGGTCATCACCGAGTGTTTCCCATGTCCAGCCGGCTTCTGGTGCAACCATACAGGTAGATGGCTGTGATCATTGGTATCTTCATTGGTAGGACAGGAATTATTGAAACTCAGATACAAATCCCTTTCTCGTCTTTTATAGCATTAATTCTTTGGAGTTACACAATGTCAACTCTCTTACAGGAGCCTCATTTGATTTATTGCTTAAATTAGTATGAAACATTTGGCACTTGCTCATAAACTTGCAACATATTGTTATTCAAATTACTTCAGTATTAGTGATGTTGGATGTTTGGGATGTCTCATTATCTTAGTCTCTCTACCAATATTCAGGGATCTGAGGACATCCCATTAGAGGTCACATCAGAAGGACGTTTTGCAAACTTTAAACTTTCAATGAAATGACTAACATAAAGTTGACGTTATTAAAGCAGCTTTTTCAAGCTTATGGCAATAGTTTCAAAATGCTGACTTCCATTCTAAACTACGGTTTAAAAAATAGTTTGACAAAGTTCTTGATTCAAATTGGAAACTTGAACAAAAGAAATGATTGTTACCAAAGATTTTTCATTTACCAAAGATATTATTTCAGTCAGCCTAATTCACACATTGCACATTTGCACACAACTCTACCAGAGGCTGTATTTCCTCCCTTGAAGAGTTCTATTTGTGTTGCAGGTATGGCTGATTATTCCGACTACCTTTGTCCACCTGGTTTCTTCTGTCTGGAAGGAGATGAGCCTCGTCTGTGTCCTGCTGGCCGGATGAAGGCCCTGCCAGGTGTTGATGCTCCTGAGAACTGCGACCAGTGCCGATCAGGCTACTATTGCCCGAATGACACAGCCAACACGATGGGCATCCCTTGCAGGGAGACGTACGAATGTCCAGAGGGAGCTTCTATTGAGATCGACTGCCGACCTGGTCACTATTGTAATGGAACAACTGGATTGCCTCCCTTGTGTTGGCCTGGTTTCTACTGTCCAGCCGGAACAGATACCCCGATTCTGTGCGAGTATCCATTCTACTGCCCCGAGGGAAGCAACATGACTTTAACATGTCCTCTTGGGCACATGGCAGAGATTCACTCAGGAATCAGATACGACTATTCCCGATCTTGTCGCATCTGTCCCGCAGGTTACTATGGCAACTATACGGACAGACGGCAGTGTGACCTGTGTCCAGGCGGCTACTACTGCCCAATGGGAACCGGCCATGGCACAAGCAATCCCTGCCCAATAGGATCATACTGCCCACCAGGATCAGCTCAACCCACCCAATGTCCAGTAGGAATGTACGGCAAGCTGGCAAGAGCAGATGAGTATGGTGACTGCTTTCCTTGCCCTGTAAACACCTACAACAATATCCTGGGTCAGAAGGCGTGTCGACCTTGTGGTAGTTCCTCCACAGCTCCTATGGGCAGTGCTGAATGTATTTGTAACGGCTTGTACAGATCCTTCCAGGAGTCGGATGGGTCCTGTACGTGTCTCTCTGGCTTCATCTACTACGATGAAGTTGACATGCAAAACTCTCTGAGCAATAGTAACGAGGACTGTCAGCAGATTGTCGATGTCCGGTGCTCCCAGTACGAGACCCGTCATGCCAGTACTAGAGGGTGCGTGATTCCGGAATCATATGACTGCAGCGCAGCCTGTCCTGACAGTAATGGCGCTTTCGATGTAGACCTGGGAAGGTTAGTAGAACTTGGGTACTTCCACAAAACAATTGTAACTCTAAGGTGATTGTAAATCAAGTACTTTAAAGTAGTCTTATGATCCACAAAGCAATCCTAGCTCTAAAGTGATCGTAAATCAAATACTTCATCATAGACTTATGATCCACAAGCAATCCTAGCGGTAAGGTGATCATAAATCAAGTACTTCAACATAGACTTATGATCCACAAAGCAATCCTAGCGGTAAAGTGATCGTAAATCGAGTACTTCAACATAGACTTATGATCCACAAAGCAATCCTAGCGCTAAAGTGAAAATCAAGATAGACTTATGATCCACAAAGCAATCCTAGCGGTAAAGTGATCGTAAATCAAGTACTTCAACATAGACTTATGATCCACAAAGCAATCCTAGCGGTAAAGTGATCGTAAATCGAGTACTTCAACATAGACTTATGATCCACAAAGCAATCCTAGCGGTAAAGTGATCGTAAATCAAGCGGTCTAAAGTAAAGTGATCGCAATGAATCGAAAATACTTCAACATAGACTTATGATCCACAAAGCAATCCTAGCGGTAAAGTGATCGTAAATCGAGTACTTCAACATAGACTTATGATCCACAAAGCAATCCTAGGGCTAAAGTGATCGTAAATCAAGTACCTTAATATGGACTTATGATCCACAGCAATAATAGTGTTAAGGCGATTGTAAATCCAGTACTTTTATATAGACTAACGACTGTGGTAGCACTTTGATCATCAAGCTTCATATGAATATGTCACTTCATTGTTAAGTGACTGTTATTTCATCATCAGTTTATCATTACTCTGATATTTATATATATACACATATTGCACGTGGCTCTAATTTAACAATATTTGATGTGGAGTGGCAGTCATAATATAAAAAATGATAATTTTATGCTGTTTGGAAACATGTTGATAACTTACCCTCGACCCCACTGTTATGTTACAGATGCCAGTGTAACGTGTACACTGATTCAGACGAGATCTGTAACCAGCAGTGTCGCCAGTCAGAAGCTCCAGTCATCACTGGGGAACTCACGGCAGACGGCTTCATTCAAGTGACTGTTGTTGATCCCTTGTCTGGAAATGTCACCATCACGGTAAGTCCAGTAAAGTCACGAGTCATCCAGACCTGCTCAGAGGCAGATATAAGTCAACAGCAGATTGTATATATATATATCCATACAGTTCAGGGACATTTATATTATACTATTCACACCAGTTAAAAAACCAGAAGAAACAGCCAGCCTGACACCCATATATAAACTGGTAGCAAATTCTAACCTTTGAAATCAGTTCTTTTATCATCCAAAACACAGGAGATGCATGTGTGAGATCAAACGATATCTCCTAGGAGATATTGTTTTGACAGTAGATTTTGTACAATGCCCTCATAATGCTATGACGTCATGAACTTAATGACATCACAATGCTATGACATTGTTTCACTGCAAGTCTAATGGCAGTACCCGGTACTGTGTTCAGAGATGGACATTTTCATTGAAAACTAATGAAGAGTGATTTTTTATCATAAATAGAATCTCACCCTTTTGTCTTCTGATATCAAATATATCAACACTCATTGATAAGAGTAAAAATATCCTCGGTAAGCCTTGGATATTTGTAACTTTATGAACTTGTATTGATATAATTGATATCAGAAGACGCTTGGGTGAGATTCTGTTTATATACTTCCAAGCTATATTACACAACTTGATTGACATCCAAGCTTACATCCCAGATACATACAATGGTCTCTCATACCACATACCTACAACACAGACAATCGATCACTACTTACATAACTGCCCTTGCATGTCCCCACTCCAACAGTGTCACCCATCAAACACCATTCATTGTTCTAATTTTGGTCTTGACACAGATATCAGTAGAAATATCCAAAATTAGAATTAAAAATTTTCAATTCGAAATAATATAGTCCAACTAATGTCATGGTTTTGTAACTTGTAACTTGTGTAACTAATAAGAGGACTAATACAGAGGAAGAGGCTAAAAACACCTGAGGATTAAGATGAAAACAAAATTCAGAAATCCAAATATGACCAAATAATAAAATATTTTCCCTCAGTTTAGAGTCCAAATAAAAAACATCTATGAAGATCCAGGTTAGAATTGATCTTCAGTAACGCTGACTTGGTTGACACGTCATCGGTTCCCAAATGTATAGATCGATGCTCATGATGTTGATCACCAGATTGTCTCGATTATTTAGAGATCGCCGCCATATAGTTGGAATACTGCTGAGTGCGGCATAAACCTAAACTCACTCACTCACGCACTCACTCCAGTCTGTGGTGTTTTTACATTTACTCACTAACTCACTGTTATTGGTCTGGTTATTTGCAGGCTCTTCGTGACACATATGGGCCCCTGGAAACAAGTGTTGGGCCAAAGACTATAATTGTTGCAACCATGTTCTCCGACCGAGTGACGGCCACGTTGTTCAGGGACGCATCGGAGGCTGCAGATCTGTTCAGTGAGTTCACCATAACAACGAGATATGTTCTTGTTCACTTCCTGCTTGTTAGAAAAGCGAAGCTGTGGAACGACAGTGTAATGATAGTAACAGCACCATTTTGATCCTACCAGCATTACAACCATGCATGCAACAGTCATACATAAAACAAATCTCCATTCCTCAGTTAAGTGTCTTGCTTGTCTTAAAATGCACTGAAAGATTTTCAGACTCCAAAAGTCTATCAACAAATACAAATCTTTATCTACTGATTGTGAACAGGCATTGCAATACATGAAACAGACTATGGTGAATAGTGCACTACGCTTATTATGAATCAAACATCAGGGGTGGATCCAAGATTTTGGAGAAGGGGTTGCACATAAATCATGAAGTCCAAAGGTTAGTGGGAAATGCTCCTCAGGGAAAATTTGTTGGGGAGTGTGAGTGTGTGTGTGTGTGTGTGTGTGTGCGCACGCATGCACGCACGCACGCACACACACATGTACATCACTAATTATAGTGTATGTGGCAAGCTACACTCTTGAGGCAGCCCATGAACAGAAATGAAAAATCACCTACAATATTTTTTAAATGTTCACTCAGTACTGAGAGACTAGACCAAATGGAGTAAATATACACTGAATGTTGAAAGAAAACTATGAATACCCAATATGAATGTACCTGAAAGAAGTATCACTTGTATTATATAGTTATTTTTATATGCTGCTGATAAGGATGTTCATAATTATATACCAAAGTGATGTACAAACACCATTGTTGAAGGGACCTACGGAAATACTTGCTATTGTCTTAAGTTTGACACCACTGAAAAATGATGAATAAACAAAGCATACAAGGGGACCAAGTTTTTACTTGACTGTATCTGTGAAATATGTAAATATCCTTCTGAAAGATGGAGGAGAATACTGTATTCAACGTTACAGATACATTTCTGAGAATATTAATCAAACACCTACATGTACAAATACCCGAGGATTCTTTTCCAGAAACACCACAAGAGGTGCTTGCTGGCATTATTTCCGGCAGAAGACGTCTCCTAGCAACTATTGTCCCAACCAATCAGATCCCTAACCCAGCAATCTGTCTGGAACTGGATGACATGGTGATGTTTAAGATCTGGCTGAATGACACTGACCGCACCAAGAGCCACTACCCAGTGTACCAGAAAGACCATCTCTCCAACACTAACCCGACCTTTGACTACGGTGCCTTCACGCAGATGGCCAGTTTGGTCACCAACACTAATGTCACGGTCACTACTTTCGCCCATGTCTTCACCGAGGCTGGAGTATTTGTGTTCCGTGACTCACAGGAGCCAGACAGGTCACAACCACATCTTATTAAACATACCCACTTCTAATATTCTGGAGTAACTGGAATTATTCCTTGAGATACTCCTTTGTTTACACTGCTTTGTTCGCTACAAGACTTCATGAAGCGACGTGACTTTAAATTTCAACTCTCTCACTCACTCATGAAGCAACCCACATTTAATATTTGTTAGGACACTGTTTTACAGTACATTTTATTATAACATAAAACTTGTTAGTCCTTCCTTGCCCAGTATTTTGTGTAATCAAGGTTGTAACAATTACCTGCTTCTGGTTACAGTGAGATTATCATAACCGTTAAAGCTGCTGGCACCACCTGTCCCAACGGCGTGTCTCGTATCCTGCCATCGACGCCAGCCAACATCGCCGCTATGGGAGTGTACAAGCAGAGTGTTGCCAACGAGGCACCCGACTGGGGACTTATTATCGGTCTAATCGCATTTTTCGGAGCATGTGTGGTGCTCCTGATTGTGGCTGTGTTGGTGTGGAAACCAAGGGACTCGATTATCTATCCCATGAAACACTGGAAGCCTAAATATCGCAGCTTGGGAGCACCACCTCCCGTGCCATCTTATATGCGATATGATGTGGACCACTGGCCAGAGAAGTAAGTGGAACCTCATTAATGACATCTGAAGTCAGGGATACCACAATATGCTGTGTAGAGTTGTGTCCCTTTGAGACAGATTTTTTGACAGATTTGAACCCCAGTCACTCACTAAACTTTGGTAGATGTAAATAGACAACATCATTGTCCTTATTGGATGTATGATATAATATTAACACTCCAAGTTCCTAGACCAACAGTAGACTGATTTTCAGGTATTGTTCAAAGGATAATTCATTCACTTTTGTTCAACCTGACAACCATCTGATATCTTGTGTCTTGACTTCCATGTAATCTCTTTATAATGCCGATATACAAAACCTAACAGTATTTTAGAGATGATGAATATGTATAATAAGATCTGTTGATTTGGATATCTTATGAAATATCAAATTAAGTTTTGAAACATTCATCAACAATTTTTTATAGAAATGATGAGAGTACAGAATATGAAAATCAATCAATTATTTTCCATTTGTATTTTGCATGTGTTTCCTGTGTAGAAGTGTGGACCATATTCTGTTTCAGATGTGGTGGTGGTCATCTTGGACCTCGACCAAATGGAGATGGAGCTGAAGCTTCATCAGCATCTTCAATGGGTGAGGTCATTCTTGGATACGGTGATTCCATTAAAGTTTTCTGGATTTCTCAGCTGACAACCAGTGTTGTGTTGAAACCATTGAATATTTGTCATGTATGTTTATTACCTTGTGCAAAAATGTATCTTAGTATTCTCTTAAATCTGTTTGAAATGTTTGTTGTTCAATACCTGATCTTCATGTCTAGATTTCCACAAAGACCAAGAACTGGAAGACTTTAATGTGCGGGTTCTGTACGACAAGCTGGAGGACCAGAACCTTCATATGGCATCACAGTTGGCACGACAACAAGAGGACCTGCGAGGATTCTACAGCCGAATCTGTGCCCAGAATGATGAACTGAAAAAACTTCTGAACAACCTTGACCCTGACAAACTGGCTGATCTTGAACGACGCCAACAGAATCGTGGCAAAATGGAGAGAGAAGGCCTACAGCAAGGTGCTAGTGATGGCCCCACAGTGGTCAATGCTAATGTCAACATGGGAGGCCACAACAAATACAGATTTGGTAAGAAGATGAATGTTTACGAAGAAAGATTAATAATAGTTCACTTGTTATTTAAGTGACATGTACTGTTCAGTCTAAGATGTCATGGTGCCCCCTGCTGTGATATTGCTGGATTATTGCTAAGAGCATCATTAAACTAAACTGACTTACTAAGACGTCATGGCTTTATATAATAAGGACATTGGTCTTTAACTTTCCATGCAGACAACTCTAGTTCTTGTAAGTGATGTGTATACAGCTAGATCAGACCAGAAACCCATCTTAATGAGTTCCAGTCTTGTTTCATCCTGATTATAATCTCCCGCCACAAAGATGATGGGGACAGATTCTCCCAAGAACTGTTGTAGATAGGGAAACCAAATTTTTGAAAAGACAGGCAGACAGACAGACAGATTTTATTCAATAAATAGGCCTTGGGCCCATGATGCATACTGTCTTTGTGATAACAAATAATACCTAAGTGAAAATAGACTTGAGCAGGCACACTATCCCCATGGGGACAGATTTTGTCATCAGAAATGAAGGGCTGTAGATAGGAAAGTGTTGGCTCTCACCAAATTTGATATGTTTTTACTATGCAGGATAGAGACATTACTATACCGGTAATGGAGTTTGATGGAGTTCAATTTGTTACAGAATTAAAACTGTGTCAGAATTTGTTACAGAGTTATAGGCCCCAAATTTGTTATGCTTTCAAGACTTGCCTTGAGTTCAAAACGAAAACTGTGTCAGAATTTGTTACAGAGTTATGGCACGGTATCTCCAGTGTGATTAAGCCTTGTGGTTAAAAAGTTCGTTCATCACCCCGAAGACCGGGTTTGATTCCCCACATGGACACATTGTGTAAAGCCCATTTCTGGTGTCCCCTGCAGTGGTATTGCTGGAATATTGCTAAAAGTGGCTTACTCACTCACTCACTCTATTCTAGGCCAGACACGTGAGTCTGAGCTGATGGCAGCGCTGCAGTTACTGTTGGACAAGCTGAACTCCGGCAACATTCCGATGTCACGGGAGATGTGGGAGAAGATGCAGCGAGGGGAGGCGGGCGACTCCACCTCCAAGTTCAACATCAACAGAACAGGAGGAGCACAGGTACACAGGACACAATCTGAAACATACAAAGTCTAGAGTGCTGCAGGGAGGTTGGGTAGTCAAGTGTTGCTCATACATGGTGCATAGAACACTTTTCAGATGACTGACTTCTTTCTTTTTTCTTTCTCAGAAACTTAATAGAATTACTGGTTCAGTAAACTATGATGGATATGCTTATGACAAACTGACAATGTGTTAAGTCAAACTTTTAGTTTGTTGGGCTGTGCCATGCTCTCACACTTGATGGTTCAAACAAATTAGGGAACCCCCATTTATGTGTTTAATGTAAAGGAAAAATTAGTTTGACCATTGCAAAACTAATATCTGAATTAAGATGTATATCTTTGTGCAGACGACACAGGATCAGGCGGAATTGCTTCGGCGCCAGAATGGAGAGAAGATGGAACTGGAGCGTGACCTTGAGAAGGATGAGAAGGAAGCTCTGGATGGTGTTCTGCAGGACCAGGATGCCAAGAGACGTGGCATCATGGATGGCCTGGGCCAGGCGCTGGCTGTCAAGTTGCAGGGTGAGTGTATGTAGTCAGCTATGTAGTCTGCATGTCTGTATGCTTTCAGAACATGTCTCTGTGAAATTCTGGGATTTCCTAGTGAATTTCAGGGCAATCCCTAATTTGATAATGGCAAAAGAAATGGTAGCTTGTCAGAAATGTTTAAACCTGTCACATGATATCTTCTAGTGTATTGTCAGGTCAGGAGAAAAATATGTGTGAAGATATTCCTTTCACTACAGGTGACCTGAAGGACTCAGAGGTCAAGGACATCTTGTCAAAGCATGATCACGACCTTGAGGTTGCACTTGCTGCCCACAACAAGGAGAAGGACAGATACTTGGATGGTCTGCGGCATAAACTTGCAGAACGGCGTAAACAAAGGGAGAGCATGCTCCGAGAAAAACATCAGAGGGAGGTAAGTTGTGCTTGGCTAGTGGGTTCCTGATTGTCTGAGGTTCTGCAACATGCAGTGTAGATTTGTTTGCCTACTGGTTATTTGATCAAATCTCATGTTTGCTGTTATTACAATATCTACATCACTGTTTGGACTTTGTCACTCATTTAGTTGGCATTTTGTCACTAAACATTTGGGGCTGATGTCAAACCCCAGTCCCTCTTTTCACTGAGCATTAGTGCTTATGGCTTTGTTTCATGGTTCCAATGATTAACCTTTACAATGTATTTTGAAATTGTGAATTTGTGTGTTAGAATTGAAATGGCCACCCGAGCCATTACTCCTTTGTGTAATATTGACGTATTATGGTCAGTTTGCTGAAATTGATGTATACACTGCATAACTAGTAGCACAAACACACAAGAGAGTAGTCACATTTGTATATTATAAATTTATGTCCATTGATACAACTGTAAACGTACTTATTTTCGCGTGGTGCAATTTTCGCGGAATTGACAGTTTAGACTACATCGCGCGGTCAATTATTCGCGCAATCAGTAATTGCTGGAACTGCCAGCTGTCTCTTTGGCCGCCACTAATAGCAGTGAAAACAAACAGAGTGGCTTAACCTATCAGGCAGCGTTTAATGCTTACTCACAGGAAATCCCTATCTGTGCGATTTACTAGTACATATACTGGATAAGTATATAGTAAACCGTTTACTCACGGAAGAGATGAAAAACACATCAGTCTTATGTTCCGAATTCTGACGATCTGACGAATTAACTTCTACTGTATATGAAGCTCTTTGGGATTTCAAACAAGCCGGGTTGTTGTGAATGAGATGATTGAGTGTTATGTGACTATTCGCTTCATGATGTACTGGTAAATAAAATCTAAATGAATAAATAAAATACTGCTGTATTATTTCTTTCCGAGTCGTTTCATGGTAATCTGTTTTGTATCAAACCATCTGTCATGTGACCAATTTCCATGGCGGCCACAACACACATTGCTGTTTTCGCTAATTCGGCGATGGGATTTGGCTCATTATTTAATTATGTTTTGGGAAATCCATTACAGCGACAGTTAAGTATGATTCTTTATTCTACTATCAGTCGTCATTTTAAGATTCCCGTAGATTTCTGTCTTCAAACTTGATGTGTTATGGTAACAACTCAGGGGTGAGCGTGGCTAGACTGAATGAATGACAGGTTTATTCGCGGTGTATAAATTTTCGCGCTAAAATGTTTTGCGCCGAAAAGCGCGAAAATAAAACCTGCGCGAAATATAAAACGTTTACAGTATTTATATATAACTGAGTGAGTGAGTTTAGTTTTACGCCACATTCAGCAATATTCCAGCTATATGGTGGCGGTCTGTAAATAATCGAGTCTGGACCACACAATCCAGTGATCAACAACATGAGCATCGCAATTGGGAACCAATGACATGTGTCAACCAAGCAAGCGAGCCTGACCGCCCGATCCCGTTAGTCGCCTCTTACAACAAGCATGGGTTACTGAAGGTTCATTCTAACCCGGACCTTCACGGGTATTATATATAACTGTGTATGAAGATGCAGGAGTATTGTGTTGTCAAAACAGAGAGCTATAAGTAACATTCTCCACTTTATATATTCATTTAATTTTTCTAAGAAAGATGGCTCTGATGATAATGGGAATTATCCAAATAGTTATTACTGACCTGATTATGATCCTCTTCAATGTTCTTCAGGCAGAGCAAGCTGGTTTGCCCAAGCCTGTAGTTGGTGCAGATGACCTTGACATTAAACTGAAGACAGAACAGGAGTTGATGAACACGCTGCATTCAGAGGAGATGGCTGGATCAGCCAAGTCTGAGTCAGATGCTGTGCCGGCCATCTCTGACATTCATCGAAAGAAGATGTCAAAGGGAATTAAACAAAAACTTGTAAGTGTTCCATAAGTTACCACAGGATGCTGTTTCAGGAGTTCCATTCTGTTATTAAAATTGTGGTTTTTTATGTTGTATATCCCTGGCTTATCTTAAAAATAGGAATTGTTCGGAATAACAGCATACATATATGTCATTTATGCCAATTTATTTGGATCATTATCCTTCAAATTAACAGTTCATGTATAAAAGATGATAACCTATTTTTATATGCAAAACAATTTATCATAAAGATAAATGTTATTTGCATGCAGAAAGGTCAGAGTCCTATAAATTATTGACATGACATATCTCCAGAAATCGCTGGGTGATGAGAAGCTGGTGCAGGAGGAGCTAGTTGACCGTCTGCTGCAGTCCCAGCTTCAGCAGGAGGCAGAACTGCAGCAGAAGATGAGGAACCGGCAACAGCAGCAAATGGAAGCCACTCGTAGGAAGATGGCAGACCGGCGCCGACAGAGACTAAACAATCTGAGAGACAAACAAGAGAAGGAAATGGCAGAGGTGAACTTGATTTAAATATTTTGTAAGCCATATCATCTTGATCAAGGATGTTATCAAGGATGTTATGTTCTAGTCACTTTTAGAATGTTTGTGTCCTGATTTTCTAACTGGAAGTTACTTCTGCCTTCAAAGTCAAGGATATATACATGTATGAATTTTGCCTGTTTTCCCACTGCAGTTGTCGACCAAGGTGATCCAAGATGGTAACCCAGAGCAACTGGACCGACTGAAGAAATCCCTAGATGATCAGCATCGTCAGGAGCGTGAGGCTGCGGAGGCCGAACTGGATGCCCAGGAGAATGAGCAGATCAGACAAGCTACTCTAGCCATAGATGAAGACCACACAGTTTCACTCAAAGACATTCACAGAGACATTTTGAAACAGGTGAGATGAAGGTTGTGTCTCAAGAGTGGCCACTCAACTAGAGGGTTGTGTAGCAAGCACTGTTGTGAATAAGATGCTTAGCCTCTTGTATTCAATACAGAGCAGATGTTTATGGGAGCATTATTTTCTGATCAACACTGATGGTCTGTATTCTTCTTGTAGATCAACAAGCAGACATTGCCTGGTCAGGAGCTGGCTGTCCAGAGGATGTTGGAGGACTACAAGCAAGAACTGTCATCTCTGGATGCTGAGATGACCAGTGAGAAGAACAGGCAGCTCAGTGACATAAGGCCAGGTAGGTGGGGGCATGGGTATGGGGGCAAGATTCAAGAGGTGGGGACATAAGGCTGAGGACATGGGCTGAGAACAATATGCAAGAGTTGAGGACATGGGTGTGGGGGACAAGATGCAAGAGGTGGGGACATAGAGCTGAAAACAAGTTGCAAGATGGGGGGACATAGGGCTAGGAACATGATGGATCCTTGGGAGACAGGGAGGACAGTTTCAGAGGAACATGGCAGAAATAATCACACTACTTTTTGCAGGGGAAAATAGCTGCACGTCGTGCTCGTCGATTGAGGGATGCACAGCGAAGGATGGAGGAGAGAGCAGCTCAGAAGTTTGTAGAGGAGCAGACTCTCCAGATGAAGCAAGCGGGCTCTGGGACAGGAGAAATGCCTGGAGCGGACCTCCATCACATGCCAGAAGTCAAGTATGGAGAGTCCATCCAGGAACAGGCACTCAAGAAGGAACAGGTGAATACAAGTAGACTCATCACTATACTCATACATATAAGCTGCCTAAGTGGCAAGGGTTGAATTTATTATCTCTCATTCATATTGTTGTAATGCTCATGTTCAGTACATTGTTGAAGGGTATAACTTAATTGAAAGGTTCAAAATGCACTAAAAAATAACTCATAACTGTGGACAAGCTTACAGTCTGTGTGCCCTTTTTTGTGACTCCTGACTTGATATGGGTGGCATATTAGTAAAATATGCATAATATACACTCACTGTTCTGACTGAAAGTAGAATTTGTTGTTGTTAACGATACATTTGTCCCTAGCAACGTGCCAAGGAGGAGCTGCGGAAACGGCAAAAGCAGGATCGTGAGCAGCTGGCAAACAAGCTGGAGCAGGAGGCAACAGGCCAGGAACAGGACCTGAGAAACAGCCTTGACATGGAGAGGGAGAAGATCCTCCGTGAGAGAAAGAACAAGTTGGCAGCCGAGGCAGCTGCTCGGTCCGACCTGAGCCAAGAACAGCTTGCTGCAGTGAGTAAATTGAAATGAAAATATTTATGAAAATCTTGCAATACTTGTACATTCTAGTTCAACCATGTTGCCATGGTGAGTTTATTCATACATGAACATATGAACTACAATACACTCCCAGGTTGTTGCTTGTGCCTCTGTAAAACACTGACGTTTTCAAGTGCACACAGCAACACTTATTTCTGACATCTTACTGGTGTGTACATCCATCCATCCATACATATCAGCAGGAGTTGGATGTAGAACATATAGAGAGGATGGTCTCTCTATGATGGAAGACGTCTGCTTAATATTTCCGTTACTAGCTGAACTGCATCAATCTGAGTAGTGTCTGTCCCATGTATGATGATGTAAACCATCTGGTTCAATATTTTCAGCTGCTGGCCTCACACCAACAGGAGTTGGATGACCTGGCAGACCGTCTGGACACAGAGCGCGACCGCCAACAGCTTGCAATGAGGGAGAAGATGGCGCACAGACGTAAGCGTAAGATGGATCAGCTGAGACGCAAACAGGAGGCCGAGATGACACAGGAGATGCTGGAACAGAAGAAGGAAGTGGATGAGATCAAACTGAAACAGGTACAGGAGGAACAGATTCACACATCTGGGCATCTTTACAGAAGGATGACAGAATCAACTGGCATGTGTCTATGTTGAAGTATACAAGTAACAGCATAGTTATATGATAATACAAAACTCTTCCTCCCCCAGTAATTAGTTGTATTGGTGCTACTCGCAGGTTCTAACATAGCTTTGCGGAACAAACCATTTGTGCTCTGTAAGCACAGAACAGTTGTGTATATGCGGAATATATTGGTTATCTTAATACATTTATCATATCTTTCAATGGGCTACAAATATGTCTTATCACTATGGAGAAATGTGATATAACTGTGTCACCTGTACCTTTTATAGGTCTGCATTTGGTCATATGAAACTGCCATTTTACTTCACTACAATGATGTTAAAGGTATTTCTGTTGGGAAACCAATGAACATGTTGCTGTTTGTATCCCCCATAGGCAAAGGCTGTTGAGCAGAAGGCAATCGAGGAGGGAATCCGACAGAATGGCCAGGAGGACAGTGACAAGGTCATCAAGGCTGTTCTAGCCAACAGACATGCTCAGGTGGGTGATCAGGGTCATCCACAACTTATCAGCTGGGGTTAGAAGAGGTTTCCAGAACCATGTTGCTTGTCCTGAGAATGGACAAGATTGGACCTGATGGTCTGTTTTGTCCTGAAGATGGACAAGATTGGACCTGATGGTCTGTTGTTTTGTCCTGAAGATGGACAAGATTGGACCTGATGGTCTGTTTTGTCCTGAAGATGGACAAAATTGGACCTGATTGTCTGTTGTTTTGACCTGAGAATGGACAAGATTGGACCTGATGGTCTGTTGTTTTGTCCTTTAGATGGACAAGATTGGACTTGATGGTCGGTTGTTTTGTCCTTTAGATGGACAAGATTGGACCTGATGGTCTGTTGTTTTGTCCTTAAGATGGACACGATTGGACCTGATGGTCTGTTGTTTTGACCTGAGAATGGACAAGATTGGACCTGATGGTCTGTTGTTTTGTCCTTTAGATGGACAAAATTGGACCTGATGGTCTGTTGTTTTGACCTGAGAATGGACAAGATTGGACCTGATGGTCTGTTGTTTTGTCCTTTAGATGGACAAGATTGGACTTGATGGTCGGTTGTTTTGTCCTTTAGATGGACAAGATTGGACCTGATGGTCGGTTGTTTTGTCCTGAAGATGGACAAGATTGGACCTGATGGTCTGTTGTTTTGACCTGGTTGATTGCATATTATATTACTTTGACAGCATGGAACATTACAAGCCGCTGTGATATGGCTGAAATGTTGCTGATCAATCAACTGAGTTGTGGTCCTTCAGTGTTAGGTTCCACAGATTCTGTGTTCAAATCCCAGACTGACCCTAATAGCGATCCTGACAGACACTGTACATGTGTTCACAAGCTTTTTTGGTAGACTTTTCATCACTCTGAGCATTCCTTGCATCACAAGACCTACCGGTATATTGATTTCGATTACCCAGTAACCCATGATTACTATGCAAAACACAGGCTTTATGAGTATTTGTAATTGTGATACTTCAGGAGCTGCGTGACTTGGAGAGTCAGTTTGCGGCCCAGAAGAAGGTGATAGTTGATGGAGCTCTGAGCAAGCTACACGACAAGTACGACAATGAGAGGGATGTCATGTTGAAACGACACCAGGACGAGCTCAATGAGCTTCAGGTACACTTTCCTTCAGACATTCTGTGGTTAGGAATGGAACTTACAATGATTTGTAAGCCCCTTTGTGCCTCGTTCAGTTGTGACAAACCAACTCTCAATGATGATGTGTTGAACCTGTTGTGTATTGGGCAGTGATGTGATTGGTTAAACTGGAACAGTCATCTTTATATAATGATAAAAAATGTTTCTCACATTACTAAGAAACAAAAACAGAAATGCCAAAAACTATATTGATCCAAAAAGGTTATACTTTCTCTAGCTTTCTCGTTAAATTGGAAAACCAAGAATGAGGAATGAATATATCAAAAATTAAATCAAATTCTGACTGAAATTTGTCATCTCATTATTACGTGTATTGAGATATGATAAATGCTGCCATTGTCTTGTTAGTGGATAGCAAGGATGAGAACTCAATATATAGCAGAATAATGAAACAGTAGATACCTGCTTACTGCCATGTTTGATCATAGCCAATCCCTACACATTGAATACATAGTAGTATTTGAAAAGAAATAACTGACATTTCAGTTGATTCATAACCTCAGTCAGCTTGAAGGTGAACTTGTTGCTAGACCTTGGGTCTCAAGATGAAATCCAAATATTAAGCCTTTAACAATATGTCTCCTGTGTAGAATCAAGGTCTGGGCCCCCAGGAGCTACAGGACCGTCGAGCTGATCTACTGAATCGCCAACAGATGGAGTTGTCTGACCTTGACCGCCGATTGGCCGCAGATGAGAAAGAGATTGAACGTGGAGCTCTTGCTGACTGGGAGGTTCAGTTTGCTCGGGCACAGCTTGAACTGAAGGAGAAGCACTACAAGGTAGAACATGTTAATCCCACTATTGTATACTACCATAGATAATACAACCTGACTTGTATTGCATGTTATGTAAATTATGTTTTAACATCATTTGTTTCGGTACAATATGTACATGTCTATTGGTTTTAGTGATATGATTTTATAGTGAGGGAGTTAAAATTGTCACATCAGCAAGATTTCAGGCATATCAGGATTATTGTATAAAAATATCTATATTTACAATATGATGATCGCAGGAGTTTGCTGAGGCCTTGAAGAGATACTCCCCAGAGAATGAGGATGCAGGTCAGGCTGAGATGGCTGCTGAGGAGCTGGAGGAAGTGAAACAGAGGCTGGATGAGCAGCGAAGGGAACAAGAGGAACGTCTCAAGAAGGAGCAGAAGGGTTAGCTTCCTTTGTTCTGACAATTGATCTCCACTTCTTCTCGTAACAGATGAATAAACTGTGTATCTGTAATTGCTTTCTTTTGGTGACTTCCCCAGTATCCAGGCGAGCTATTCTCGAAACGTTCATAGCCCTACAAACTTCTTAAGCCCATTCTTAACACATTAGCTACGATTAAAGTTAAGAATTCTTAGGGCTACGAACGTTTCAAGAATAAGGGCCCTGGTACTTTATACTTGTCTTAAGATTTGACAAATATATGCATTGGGTGGTAGAAGAAATGTGTAGTTTCATAACCATCTCAGAGTTGACTAAAACTGGAATTGGGCAAGCATTGTCACTGAGGGTGTCTCGGATGCATCAAGAGTAGTCACCAGTTGGAAGAGACCAGAACACTGAGGATCACTGTGGTGTGACAACCAGATTAGATGTTATCTTTCCAGTTTGCTGGTGCAAGTTCTACTAACATGCAGCTGTATTATTACAACCTGGCTTAAGTTGCCAAACAAATGTTGTTCATTTCTGCTCATGGGTATAGATTCTGCACTTAATTCTCCCATGTTGCAGAGTTTGAGAAAGCAGAGAAGAAGCGACTGGATTCTGAAATGGAGGAGTATGCTCGACAGCTGGAGGAGGATACAAAGCGAGACAAGGAGAAACATGAGAAGAACATCCAATCCCTCAACAAGAGGAAAGATGATCTGGTGAAAGAACGCAAGCAGAAGATGCAGGTCAGATGTAGTTGTGTCTCTGCAGATGTAGTTTTGTCACTGTAATGAAATTGTGCCAGACTGTTAGTTGTCAATACAGTAGAATACTCTGATGTGCCATGGAAAAATATTTGACCTGACCATTGTAAGGTTAGCAAAGATGTAGAACACAAGTTTGTGTGATTTTCACGCATGATAGAACCACAGTATTCTAAACTGGTCAAAAGAGTTGCCAGTGCAGATTGGGATTGGACCTATGACGACTACAATTTGGAATTTATCTGTGTATGATACCCATTGTTAATTTTAAAATTCTTGCTCATGCTATAACCCACTGGTTTCATCTCAACCTGAAATATTGTAGACTGCAGTGTTCAATAACATTCACTCACTCCTTTGCTGCATGTTCTACAGGAGGAGCTGGAACGTCTGAAGACCGAAGGCGCCAGCAAGAGTGAGCAAGAACGTATCATGCAGCAGCATGATAGGGACCTGCAGTCTCTCCTCAACAAGATGGAGGCAGACAGACTGAGGATGAACACCAGCCTCCAGGAGAGGATCAGGAAGAGGAAAGAGGAGAAGCTGAAGAAGAAGCAGGAGGAGGTGAAGGACAATCTCCGCGAGGAGAAGCTCGACCTTGAGTCCCGACAGAGGAGTGAAAGGGACAGACTCAAGGCTGATGAAGTGAGTTTGATGATGACTTGACACCATGTTTGTTCCCTGTCCTTGTTTCTTATTTTGATCCTTCCAAATATTCAGTTGTAGTACCAACAGCTCATTTTTGTTCATTTTCAAAGTGGTAAATTAATTAATTACTGTATTACATGAAATTTGTTTATATGTGAAAATGAACATATACTGAAGGAATTTGTTTCTTAATTATTCCTGCTTTCCTAATGCAGATGCTTACTCTGCAAGAGACACTGAACATCGACCTGTTGAGCAGACAGGACCCAGTGGGTAGTTCCGCACCAGCTCCACAGGAAGTCACCCCTCTGACCTCTGCCCCTGCTAGCCAGCCTGAGGCACTTCCTGAAACATACAACATGGCTGCACCCCTGAATGAGGCTGAGTTGATGAGTCTGCTGATGGCGTCGCCGCTGTACAAGAAGCTGGAATCCATGAAGCAAACCCTGGCTAATGGCGCTAACTCCTCCACACCAACTGCAGGTAAAGGGCAGAATGTTGGTATAAAATATAAGTACCACTGACAAAATTTGTATAGAAATTTTGGAGGGGGGTCGGGTTGGATGTTTTCTCGGTGCCAAAATTATTTGTGAGAAGTCGTTAGGCCTAAGATGATTTGTGAAATATTTTGTCATCTGACATTGGACTTCCTGTTGTTTCCAAGTATATAGTTTAAAGCAAACAACACATGACTTTTCCCAGGAGACTCCTCCTTGGATTCGAGAGATGCAGACTGGGCGAATGACAAGGAACTACAACCAGTTGACCTGAACAAGGTCACCTCAAGGTCTTTCATTGTGTACAAGTTCGGCTGCTTCATAGCTGACCTAGTAGGTCGCCATTGTCATCATGCTCCAGTCACCATCCTGCTGGCGGACAAGATCCCAGCCAATGAACATCTCACTGGAAACCTATACCGCAACTCATTCCACTTCGATGCCAACAACCGTATTCTGTACCTTCGCTCAGCCCGTCTGGACTCTGTGGGAGAGTTTGTCTTGGTGATGGTGCACTGTCTTGCCCATATCAAGTCAGGTAGGTGTCTCTTTCTTCTTTTGAAGCAGATTTGTTGTTTTCAGGGCAGGAGAAGTTTGTTGTACTCGATGTATAGTGAATGCAAGGACTGACTAAATCTGTCTTTGTGTTGATAACATAGGACTACATTAATACTGATTCTTAATCCCAGGTGACCTACGAGATGATGCTAATCCAGCGTTCGTGAAGGAATACCAACGGGCTCTCACTGTCATATGTGACGACCTGTTCTTTGCCCGCTTCAACCGATCATCCTCTGCTCTGTCCAAGCCCAACGCCAGCAGTGACCAGGCTGCAGAAAAGCTGCTTCAGAACCTGTTCAACAACCACCACAATGAGGATGGCAAGTCCAGGGTTGTGGAGGATCTCCTGGATGTGAAGCTTCTCCCCACTGTAGACTCCCAGGGTTTGCGGTTCACACAGGACAGGATTGAAGACAGGTTGGTCAAAGGGCCTTTGTTTGTGTTAGATGTTAAACATTCAGATACACACCGTACCCAGTGTGGAAACAGGTTGTTCTGAAATACTAGGGCACTAAAGTTCACTGGCAGGTTCCTAAATACTGATGTCAGAATCTGATCAATGTCACTAGCATCAAATTCATCTTTGCTCTCCTCAAAAGGAATCTTGAGTCATCAAAAGCATTTATGAGCGTTGGGGTAGCCTAGTGGTTAAAGCATTCATTCGTCACGCCAAAGACCAGGGTTCAATTCCCATCATGGGTCCAATGTGTGCCACCCATTTCTGGTGTTGCCTGTTATGGTATTGCTGGAATGTTGCCTAAAGTGGTGTAAAACTAAACTCACTCATTCCCTCTAAATCATTTATTTATATTTCTGTGATTACACTTTCTTGTGTCCCCAGACTTTCCAAGTATTCGAACTTTTCGATGACAAACAAGCTGCAAAGCATGCTGGGAGGTGTGAGTGACAAGATGGTCCAGGCAGAAGCCCAAGGAGCCACCCCAGCAGTCAACAGAAGGATCGGGGAACTCAGCCAGAAGTACTCCACCACTGGTAAGTGTCATCTTACTGCATGGAACTCTTGTTCTGTTTACTGTGTGGTGTAGTGGATCAAGTGTTTGCCTAGGGAGTGGAGGGTTTGTGGTTTGCTGCCCTGTGCATCATACCAGATATGTTGGTATGATAGTGGGGTGTTGAACTGTGGTATGGTATCCCTCTGAGTTAACACTACAAAACCGACATAAGTCACAATAGTATCTCCCCACATGGGTACAGTGTGTGAAGCCCATTTCTGGTGTCCCCGACATGATATTGCTGGAATATTGCTAAAGCCGGTGCAAAACCCAACTCACTCACTCACTCACTCACTCACTCACTCGCTAACAATAGCATCAGTAGAAGTAGTCCCTCGCATGTGTAGCACATCAAACCCTGAACTCTATTTAATGATAATAATAATAATTCATATATATAGTGCCTAGTATCCATCTATCTAGTTGCTCTCTGGATGCTGTAATCAGAATCTGATTATTATTACACCGAATAACCTAAACTGCCTGTGAGGCGCTTGAAAGTTAATAGTCACATGACTTATCTCACAGGGTACCCATTTTCAGCTGGGTTAACAGAGGCAATTTTAACAAACTCACTTGCCTAAGGTGAGCATGTGCTTCATTGTGGGGGAAGGACTGATGTCCTGGAAACTCTCGGGAGTCAAGCTGCCAAACACGGTCACCCATCCAAGGACTCTCCGTGCCTGACGTTGCATAACTTATGCACAGGACCACACGCCACCACCACCACATATATTTCACCCCCACCATTACTTTTGCTCTCAGAATAATTAGATTTAAATTCTATTGAATTGGTTATATCACTAATGAAACAGATGAATGATTATATTAAATGGATTATTATTCAGTTTCTGTTATGCTTTCGAATGTTTGTAGGCACAACAGTGCTGACTAGGCATGTTCCGCCAAGCTTCGTGGTGGCCAACATGACAGGCACTGCCCTCTACAATACAGTCTTCAATAGCATTGGCAATCAAGGGGAGACTACTTCTACCACGGAAGACACCAAAGAAAATACTCAGGTGAGCAAACTAATAAATAATTAAACCCCTGAAGATCCAGGTTAGAATTGGTCTTCGGAAACCGTTCGGGTGGTCAGGTTCACTGACTTGTTTGCATCCCAATTACAAAGATCGATGCTCATACAGTTGATCACTGTATTGTCTGGTCAAGACTTGATTATTACAGACCACCACCCTATAGCTGTAATTTTGCTGAGTGCAGCATTAAACAACAAACAAATAATTCTTCTTCTGGAACTGGTCCTAATCAATCAATGGCTTCAATAGTGCAGTGTTATTTGGGAATCATTTTGTTTATATTTCTTCACAGCTTTTATAAATCATGAATCTTTGAAACATTCGCTCCTTACACCCATGTGCTGGGTTTGATTCACCGAGAGTGCAGTGTGTACTGGAATTGTGCTAAAAGTGTACTCACATGTTCTTTTGTGTTACCAACAGGACAAGTATGACAATCTCTGTGCTGACTTTGCTGAGGTCAACCAAAACATCCTGAAGGTCAGTGAAACTATCGGAGCCCTGGAGACAGAAGTTACAGCAGAGATGGACCTTGCTGAGAAAGGAGGAAGCAAGGATCGGGGCAAACATGACAACCTCCGCAAAGCTGCGGCTGGGAAACTTACCCAGGCCAAATCAGACCTTGCAAAACTAGAACTGGACAAGAAACGGATTCTTGACCTGATGAATGACAACGAACCACATCCAGACCCAGATGCTGAACAATAATCCTTCCACACAGCATACATGTTGGTCAGATAGGTCTACAATTCAGATAAATCGTCTATAAATGGCATCATTGATTTATCTTATGGTAATTGTTCAAGAAAAATAACATATGCCTTGATATGTGTTCTTGAAATGAAGTGACTGTCATAATTATGAAATGTCTACAGAAGAAGAGAAGTCATGTCGAATCCTGTGTGAAATTGTATATGTGCATATTTATATTGGAACATGAGACTGTGATAAGCCACTGTGATATCTATGTGTACATTCTTTAATGTTATGTTCATGTTAAAACTCTGTCAGCATTATACGTTTATATTTATATGATTAAATTCAGCCTTGTTTCTGGTGACAAAGACACTTTAGTCGAATGGTTTATTGAATCACTTTGTTTGAATTTGGTTTCAATCATGGCATCTTTACTTAAAGGTCCAGCATTACAATATATACAATACTAGCAGTAGGATGACAAATCTGATATATGCAATCATTTGTACAAACTTTAATCTACATGTTGATCTGACAGAATCAAAAATTATATAATTACCTCAGACTTTGCATTTTATACTTTTTTTAAATGTCATTATTATTATTATAATATTCGCAGTTTTGTTTGAAATATGTGAAATCCTAAAGTAATTCCTGCATAGTGGCACAGGTACTATCACCTTGATTATCAAAGGCTGTCAAAGATTTCACATGCTAATATGTTTTATTATATGTCTACACAGATCATTTATGTATTGTTTGTTCTTAATTTCTACTTTATTTATTGTATCGACTAATAAACAATGTAATGTTATTTCGTGAAGCAGAACCAGGTGTCTCTGTATTAGACACCCACTCCGTCCACTTTGTTTTGCTTATGGGCTGGTTTATGTCGCCTTTTTTATTGAGATGATCTTTTTGTAATAATAATGTTTACATATCATTTACAGTATTGATACAGATATATAAAAATGTGAAGTAAAATTATTTGTTTGTTTTATGTCAAGTTTTTCAGTGGCTGGATTTCCAAGTTTGAATAATACTGTATACTAAATCATCTCTGAGACAAGATGATGTGGTGTGACCGGCATGAGCATGGTAAACAAGGGAGACAACTCCACTAACCTTCAATTGACGTTCACCTCAGTTTCCCTGTACTGCTGGTTACTCTCGTGTTTTGATCAGTGAATATTAAGCTGTACAATGTTGATTTGAAACAAATACCAAGGATACTTTAATACAAATTTACCACTAATAGGTAAGCATTGTGGGTACCAGTAAATTAGAATTTTTTTATATATTATTGTTATTTTGTGTTGGAGAAATATTCATGTCTTGTGTAATAGTTTATTTTCACAAACAGTGAGGTAACATGAGAAATGTCACAGCCTATAGTGAAGATAGATGCATCTCCTGAATACACCACTGAGTTTCCTGCTGAAATAATTTGCTATAACCATTGCATTATTCGCAATACAGCAGCTGTATTGCTGATCCCCTTACATTTCTAGTGTACATGGGGGCAATACACCAGGCTTCATGTAGGATAAGCCAGCTGATGTATTGCTGATCCCCTTACATTTCTAGTGTACATGGGGGCAATACACCAGGCTTCATGTAGGATAAGCCAGCTGATGTATTGCTGATCCCCTTACATTTCTAGTGTACATGGGGCAATACACCAGGCTTCATGTAGGATAAGCCAGCTGATGTATTGCTGATCCCCTTACATTTCTAGTGTACATGGGGGCAATACACCAGGCTTCATGTAGGATAAGCCAGCTGATGTATTGCTGATCCCCTTACATTTCTAGTGTACATGGGGGCAATACACCAGGCTTCATGTAGGATAAGCCAGCTGATGTATTGCTGATCCCCTTACATTTCTAGTGTACATGGGGCAATACACCAGGCTTCATGTAGGATAAGCCAGCTGATGTATTGCTGATCCCCTTACATTTCTAGTGTACATGGGGCAATACACCAGGCTTCATGTAGGATAAGCCAGCTGATGTATTGCTGATCCCCTTACATTTCTAGTGTACATGGGGCAATACACTTCATGGCTTCATGTAGGATAAGCCAGCTGATGTATTGCTGATCCCCTTACATTTCTAGTGTACATGGGGGCAATACACCAGGCTTCATGTAGGATAAGCCAGCTGATGTATTGCTGATCACCTTACATTTCTAGTGTACATGGGGCAATACACCAGGCTTCATGTAGGATAAGCCAGCTGATGTATTGCTGATCACCCTTACATTTCTAGTGTACATGGGGCAATACACCAGGCTTCATGTAGGATAAGCCAGCTGATGTATTGCTGATCACCTTACATTTCTAGTGTACATGGGGCAATACACCAGGCTTCATGTAGGATAAGCCAGCTGATGTATTGCTGATCCCCTTACATTTCTAGTGTACATGGGGGCAATACACCAGGCTTCATGTAGGATAAGCCAGCTGATGTATTGCTGATCCCCTTACATTTCTAGTGTACATGGGGGCAATACACCAGGCTTCATGTAGGATAAGCCAGCTGATGTATTGCTGATCCCCTTACATTTCTAGTGTACATGGGGCAATACACCAGGCTTCATGTAGGATAAGCCAGCTGATGTATTGCTGATCCCCTTACATTTCTAGTGTACATGGGGGCAATACACCAGGCTTCATGTAGGATAAGCCAGCTGATGTATTGCTGATCCCCTTACATTTCTAGTGTACATGGGGGCAATACACCAGGCTTCATGTAGGATAAGCCAGCTGATGTATTGCTGATCCCCTTACATTTCTAGTGTACATGGGGCAATACACCAGGCTTCATGTAGGATAAGCCAGCTGATGTATTGCTGATCCCCTAACATTTCTAGTGTACATGGGGCAATACACCAGGCTTCATGTAGGATAAGCCAGCTGATGTATTGCTGATCACCCTTACATTTCTAGTGTACATGGGGGCAATACACCAGGCTTCATGTAGGATAAGCCAGCTGATGTATTGCTGATCCCCTTACATTTCTAGTGTACATGGGGGCAATACACCAGGCTTCATGTAGGATAAGCCAGCTGATGTATTGCTGATCCCCTTACATTTCTAGTGTACATGGGGCAATACACCAGGCTTCATGTAGGATAAGCCAGCTGATGTATTGCTGATCCCCTTACATTTCTAGTGTACATGGGGACAATACACCAGGCTTCATGTAGGATAAGCCAGCTGATGTATTGCTGATCACCTTACATTTCTAGTGTACATGGGGCAATACACCAGGCTTCATGTAGGATAAGCCAGCTGATGTATTGCTGATCCCCTTACATTTCTAGTGTACATGGGGGCAATACACCAGGCTTCATGTAGGATAAGCCAGCTGATGTATTGCTGATCACCTAACATTTCTAGTGTACATGGGGGCAATACACCAGGCTTCATGTAGGATAAGCCAGCTGATGTATTGCTGATCACCTTTTCATTTCTAGTGTACATGGGGCAATACACCAGGCTTCATGTCGGATAAGCCAGCTGATGTATTGCTGATCCCCTTACATTTCTAGTGTACATGGGGGCAATACACCAGGCTTCATGTCGGATAAGCCAGCTGATGTATTGCTGATCCCCTAACATTTCTAGTGTACATGGGGGCAATACACCAGGCTTCATGTCGGATAAGCCAGCTGATGTATTGCTGATCCCCTTACATTTCTAGTGTACATGGGGGCAATACACCAGGCTTCATGTCGGATAAGCCAGCTGATGTATTGCTGATCCTCATTTCTAGTGTACATGGGGCAATACACCAGGCTTCATGTAGGATAAGCCAGCTGATGTATTGCTGATCCCTAACATTTCTAGTGTACATGGGGCAATACACCAGGCTTCATGTAGGATAAGCCAGCTGATGTATTGCTGATCACCTTTACATTTCTAGTGTACATGGGGCAATACACCAGGCTTCATGTAGGATAAGCCAGCTGATGTATTGCTGATCCCCTTAACATTTCTAGTGTACATGGGGGCAATACACCAGGCTTCATGTCGGATAAGCCAGCTGATGTATTGCTGATCCCCTTACATTTCTAGTGTACATGGGGGCAATACACCAGGCTTCATGTAGGATAAGCCAGCTGATGTATTGCTGATCCCCTTACATTTCTAGTGTACATGGGGGCAATACACCAGGCTTCATGTCGGATAAGCCAGCTGATGTATTGCTGATCACCCTTACATTTCTAGTGTACATGGGGGCAATACACCAGGCTTCATGTAGGATAAGCCAGCTGATGTATTGCTGATCCCCTTACATTTCTAGTGTACATGGGGGCAATACACCAGGCTTCATGTCGGATAAGCCAGCTGATGTATTGCTGATCACCTAACATTTCTAGTGTACATGGGGGCAATACACCAGGCTTCATGTCGGATAAGCCAGCTGATGTATTGCTGATCCCCTAACATTTCTAGTGTACATGGGGGCAATACACCAGGCTTCATGTAGGATAAGCCAGCTGATGTATTGCTGATCCCCTAACATTTCTAGTGTACATGGGGCAATACACCAGGCTTCATGTAGGATAAGCCAGCTGATGTATTGCTGATCCCCTTTACATTTCTAGTGTACATGGGGCAATACACCAGGCTTCATGTCGGATAAGCCAGCTGATGTATTGCTGATCACCTTACATTTCTAGTGTACATGGGGGCAATACACCAGGCTTCATGTCGGATAAGCCAGCTGATGTATTGCTGATCACCTAACATTTCTAGTGTACATGGGGGCAATACACCAGGCTTCATGTAGGATAAGCCAGCTGATGTATTGCTGATCCCCTTACATTTCTAGTGTACATGGGGCAATACACCAGGCTTCATGTCGGATAAGCCAGCTGATGTATTGCTGATCCCTTTACATTTCTAGTGTACATGGGGCAATACACCAGGCTTCATGTAGGATAAGCCAGCTGATGTATTGCTGATCCCCTTACATTTCTAGTGTACATGGGGCAATACACCAGGCTTCATGTAGGATAAGCCAGCTGATGTATTGCTGATCACCTTACATTTCTAGTGTACATGGGGCAATACACCAGGCTTCATGTAGGATAAGCCAGCTGATGTGTATTGCTGATCCCCTGTACATTTCTAGTGTACATGGGGGCAATACACCAGGCTTCATGTAGGATAAGCCAGCTGATGTATTGCTGATCACCTTACATTTCTAGTGTACATGGGGCAATACACCAGGCTTCATGTAGGATAAGCCAGCTGATGTATTGCTGATCACCTAACATTTCTAGTGTACATGGGGGCAATACACCAGGCTTCATGTAGGATAAGCCAGCTGATGTATTGCTGATCACCTTACATTTCTAGTGTACATGGGGCAATACACCAGGCTTCATGTAGGATAAGCCAGCTGATGTATTGCTGATCCCCTAACATTTCTAGTGTACATGGGGCAATACACCAGGCTTCATGTCGGATAAGCCAGCTGATGTATTGCTGATCCCCTTACATTTCTAGTGTACATGGGGCAATACACCAGGCTTCATGTCGGATAAGCCAGCTGATGTATTGCTGATCCCTTACATTTCTAGTGTACATGGGGGCAATACACCAGTGTCGGATAAGCCAGCTGATGTATTGCTGATCCCCTAACATTTCTAGTGTACATGGGGGCAATACACCAGGCTTCATGTAGGATAAGCCAGCTGATGTATTGCTGATCACCTAACATTTCTAGTGTACATGGGGGCAATACACCAGGATTCATGTCGGATAAGCCAGCTGATGTATTGCTGATCCCCTTACATTTCTAGTGTACATGGGGGCAATACACCAGGATTCATGTCGGATAAGCCAGCTGATGTATTGCTGATCCCCTTACATTTCTAGTGTACATGGGGCAATACACCAGGATTCATGTCGGATAAGCCAGGCTGCACTATAAGTATCCCTTGTTTCCTCAGTAGGTATGCTTTAGGC